CCCCCCCACCTACTCGGCTTCCCGGCAACCGATTGCAACGCGGCTCAATTGCGACTTCAAGCGATTACGTTATATTTTACAAATTCTAAACTTTGAACGAACGAGCTTTTCGCTGTGGGACAAGTGGACAAGATGATCGCATGACCGCGCGCGCGAGAGAGAGAGAAAGAGAGGGAGACAGAAAGAGGAGGAGGAAGAGGAGGAGGAGGGGGGATTGGATTTTCTCCGTACGAGCGAAACCACTACCAACTACCTTACCTATCCCTAGGAGGTAGGTAGGGCCTTGTTTTGGGTACAGTATTGATTTCTTCTTCTAGGAGGGAAAAGAGATCAACAAGGATTGCGAGAAGAAGATAATGCACTTTCAGGCCGACACCTTCATTTTCCCCACGTTTTGCGGAACTTCTTGAAAGAAGTACCTACCCACCAGAGGACTTGACTGAAGAGAAAACAAAAAGAGAAGATTTGGAAGAATATGATGTCGATGATGATGATTCAGAGGGGGGAATAGGTACCTACCTATAGCTCGGCATCGTGTTGCCGACTAAGAAGGGTTTGAAGCACACTACCACACTACCTCCGACCTCCTGATACCTCTGTGTCATGGCATGGCATGGCACGTGGCGGTGGAGAGGAGAGGAGAAGAGAGGAGAGAGGAGAAGGAGCACTGTTTCCGGACGCCATTTGCAATACACTGCGGATTTACTTTTTTTTTTTCGATCGGTCATCAGTAAGTGTCTTCTACTGCTGCTGCTGCTGCTCAAAAGTATGATGATGATGATGTGCCGCTTTGCCTGTGTTTGTTATTATGATTATTATTGGTGTTATTGTTGTTGTTATTTTCTTCTACTTTGACTGACTGCGCTGCTGTCGTCGTCGTCGTCGTCCTCGTCTGCGTCGCTTGGAGGGTATTTTGCTTGCCTAGGTGGGATTTGATTATTGTTATTCTCATCATCTCTCTGGTTGTGTGCTTTCTCTCTCACCCGACCAAGCAGCAGTCAGCAGTTCAGCAGTCAGCGATCCCAGACGACGCGCGCTGTTCCTCGCCAGCCGACAGAGAAGACAAAAGATGCCCTCATCCAAAACAACGACCTGGCGAAGAAATCTCCTCGACTTCGATCTCGACCGCCATCTCAACCCATATATCCCCCACAACCGCCTCTCGCGCCTTCCCAAAGCAATTTCCCGCTGGCTGGGCTACCGCCAGGAACCCCAAAAAGAACCATTACAAATCGCTCAATGGCCCATAACATTTCTCGCCACCGTCGCCGGACTCTGTCTCATTGGCGGCATAGACAATTACGCTCCGGGGATCGCAAAATGGCATCCTCCCGTCATGATTGCATCCATGGGCGCCAGTGCAGTTTTGGATTTCAATACCATCAAATCACCTCTTGCACAACCGAGGAATTCGATTATTGGGAATACTCTTGCGGCGATTTGTGGAGTGGCGATAGCGAAACTTTTTCAACATAATTCGGGATTTGGAAATATTGAATGGGTTTCTGGTGCTGTGGGTTGTGCTCTTGCGTCGTGGGTTATGAGTGTTACGAATACGATTCATCCTCCTGGAGGTGCGACGGCGGTGTTGGCTTCGACGCAGGCGCAGGTGATTTCTATGGGATGGAAATTCGTGCCGATTGTGTTGCTGGATAGTACGCTCATGGTGACGGTGGCGTTGCTGTTTAATAATGTTCTGAGGCAGTATCCGATGTATTGGTGGACGCCGGCGACGGTGGGGAGGAAGTTGAGGAGGGAGAGGAGAGAGGAGGAAGAGAAAGAAGAGAAGGAAGGGGACAAGCATGGCGGGGATGAGAAGGATGCGGAGAAGGCGGAGGGTGCGGAGTCTGCGACGTCGGACAGTAGCAGGTATGTGATTTTTCTTTTTTTCTTTTTCTTTTCTTTTTCTTGGTTCTTTTACTGATATTTTTGGCACAGTGACCGTACACTTCAACGAGAGCTGAGCAACCGCGTCGACTTTGTAGATGGAATCGAAGATATCCACATCACGGCATATCGGATACAGATGCCTCATCATGTCAAACTGGATCCGCAGGAGGTCTCGATGCTGGTGAATATTCAAGAACGGATTCGTATGCATGGAGAGATTAATGCTCCGTGAGATTATCGTTGGAGAGTATGATTGGTGGTAAAAAGAAGAAAAAGTGTAGCGTTCAAAGCGGATTGTTCCTGGTCATGAATACATCATTTCAGCGGGTGTTGGGGGTTCATTGATGGCATAAATGTTTGGTTACGAATCAATGAGAAAGAAGTTCACACAATCAGCATAGGAGGTTGTCTTTTTTGAAAAATCGTTATATTCGCATCATCTACTTTTCTCATCCACCTCCGCTCGCCCGGGTATACCACTCTCTTGAAAAAAAAAAACCGCAGCACTTTCTCAGCACGACGCCCATCATACTAACCACACTCCCCTTCCCGTCCCCCTCAAGAAGCCGCCGCCACCCCATCTCTCACCCTCAGATACTCCTCCCGATACCCATTCCGATCCGTCTCCTCCCCTCTCTGCAACGGCGTCCACTTCGGATCCTCCTTAAACAGTCTCATAGCCTTTGTATAATTCCCCTCATCCGTAGTAAAACGATGATAAATCCCAGCAGGCATAATCATCAAATCGCCCTCTTCCAAACGAATTCTCACCCACGCATCATCTTTACTGCGCACATCAAAATAGCCTCCTCCAGCGAGAATGTAGCGAATTTCTTCGTCTTCGTGCAAGTGTTCGTGGAAAAAAGTTTTGACTTTTTCTTCGTAGTTGGGGAGTAATGTGGGGGAAATTTCTATCTCGTCGCGGTTTTTGTAGTTGCGTTCGGATGCGATGCTGTTTACGGCTGCGAGGTTGGATGGGAGGTAGTGGTGGATGATTCCGAGGGAGCTGAGATATTCGGGGTCGACGGGTTTGCCGCTGTCGTGCGGTTCGCGTTGGTCGCCCTGTGAGGAGGATTGGTGTGAGTAGTGGTGGTGTGAAGATGGGAGGTTTGGTGGTGGTGGTGGTGGTGGTGGTAGGTGGTGATGGCGGGGGATATGGAGTCAACGTACGGGGAGGTTGTCGAACCAGTAGGCTTTCATTGTGGCGTTGGACGGGGAGGATCGGTTGTTGATGTTGGCGTTGCTGGTATTGATGTTGGTGATGTTGTCGTTCTGGTGAGTAGTCGTGGGTATATACAGAATGATTATAATTGTAATACCGGTAGGAGGTATTTAGTTCAACCTCGATAAACTTTGCCATTTGCAACATCGACCATGACGTGAACTACCCCACTCACGTATCACGTATCGAATAATTGACACGTGGTTGGCTACACCAGGAGGAGGAGGTACCATTATTCACCGCACCTCTCGGATAATATATATACCTACCAGGTATATCATTGTATTAATTCACCTGCGGAATGGTCATATTCAGGCTTCACGGTGTTTATTCTGCCATAATTTAAACCTCATACCGTTGTGGAATGACAAGTTCAAAAAAAGAATGTACAAGACGGGGCACGATATGAAGCTGAACAAGTAGTTTTCAATTACTCTGTTCTCTATCGAAAGCCAACAGCCTCGCGGACAGCCTTCATGGTCACTTCAGCACTATTGCGAGCTTCTTCAGCGCCTGCTTTTGCAATTCCTTCAAGCTCCTCTCCTTCTCGTTCCATGATCTCCGTATATCGCTCACGAATCGGCCGTATTAGATCATTGACAGCTTGAGCAGCTCGGTCTTTCACCACTCGCATAGTCATATTTTCCATCTCCCGGGCTAGATCTTCTTGGTTCCCCGCCGAGGACGTGTCGTAGCCAGAGGCGTGATAGATCAGGTCAATCAGATTACTCACACCAGGTCTAAGTGGTGGATTGTAGCTGATGCCCGACAAGGAATCAGTTATAGCCGACTTCACTTTCTGCTTAATCACTTCCTCAGAGTCCGTAAGCAAGATTCTAGACTTCGGGTTGCGATCCGACTTGGACATTTTAGACACGGGGTTAGTCAGTGACATGACCCTCTTTGCGGGACTAATGATCGTCTCTGGTGGTGTGAGGATGTTGGCCCCGTACTGGTGATTGAAGCCATTGGCGACTTCCCTCGCGAATTCCAGATGCTGGGCCTGGTCATGACCCACGGGAACATGTGTCGTGCCGTGTACGAGCACATCTGCTGCTTGTAGAACAGGATAGGAGAACAGACCCAGCTTGAGCTTTTCGTGCCCATCTTTCTCGTTTGACGTCTTATCTTTCCATTGTGTCATCCGACTGAGATATCCTGTCGACGCCTGGCAGGAGAGTATCCACATGAGTTCTGTATGTGCTGCTACGTCGCTCTGATGGAAAATGGTACTGCGCTCAGGATCCAGACCAATGGCGAGCAGCATTGCAAAGGACTCCTTCTTCCATTGCCGGAGCTGGGCCGGGTCTTGTCGTATCGTGATGGCATGCAAGTCGACCAGCGAGTATATCAGCCGGGTATTGTTGTCATCGGCTTCATCTTGTAATTTGACCCATTGTCGAAGAGCTCCAAGGTAGTTCCCCAGGTGTGGCACCCCTGTGGGCTGAATGCCGGAGAAGATGATTTTGGATGGCGTCTCCGTCGCCGTCGACCAGAAACTCCTCCTCGTCCTCCTCCTTCTCACAGCTCCATATTGAGGCCCATTTGCAGTGAGCAGTCTTCTTACAGAACCGCCCCGATTACTCAATGCCGAGGACATGAAGCTCGATGGAATGTTTGTTCTGGAATCTGGATATGAGGCTTGGAACGGGACCGCGGCTAGAACTAACTTAGAGCACAAAACTTAGTCCAAATTATTGTCACGGCTTCTCCATCTTTTTAATACCCACCACTTCAACTACATGTACCACGACGAGCAGCATTACTCCAGCACATCTGCCAGGCAGTATTGTTGTCATCAACATGGCGGCGACGTATTCCAATATCCGGCCCAACACATATCTGTTCTTGCGGCTGCCCAGCGATCTCCTCAGACTCGTCGAGATCAAAGTTAACACGTAGGTCAGCACACCGTTTCCAAGCGATATGCCACGATTCGAGGAGTCCTGTATGCTGAGGAATGGCGCAGGATCATCGAGGTTGGCAAGCTTGGCTCATTTCCTTCGAATCTGTTACTCGGCCGCCCATACCACCACACTTATGAGATTCTCGAAAAGAGAGAAGGAGAGCAGTATTCGAGACTGCGCATTGTGTCGCAAGCCGAACTGAATGCCGAAGCTGGACTAGACGAAGCGACAACTGCGGAATCGAGAGCAGAGCCGGCGGTGCCCAATGGGACGAGCAGCCTTCCGAATGGCTACGAATTACTCGGCGAGGATGGCTCAATATTGCTGAAGAACAACCGGCTCACCATAGACGATGCCACGCGACAAACGCTATCGCAGGCCGAGATCGAAGAGCTCAAGAAGTCAGCAGGCGCAAAGGAGGTGATTGAAAAGATCATGGCAAGCCATACGGGTCTCGATGAGAAGACGGTGTTCTCGAAAGCGAAGTACATGCTGCGGAAGAACAAAAAGTACTTGAAGCGCTTCACAGCACTACCGATGGACATTGGAAACTTGATTGACTACATCACGGACAAGGAGCCTCCGCGAATCATGGACATGCGCGAAGAATCGCTGGGATTGATCACCGCCTGGAGTCATGCGCATTACAGTGGCATTGATGGATTGCCAGATCAGAAAGACGACGGGACATCGTACGGGCGCTGGTTGGTGGCAGAAGATACCGGAGGCCTGATTGTGGCTGCCCTGGCGGAGCGCATGGGCATCCTTCACGCCTCAGAGTCGAAGGACAGGCCGAAGGCCGAAAAGGCGCAAATCGAAGCTGATGCAACGAGTGCTGCAGGCCAGGCACTGAACGGCGAGGCTGCAGAAGCCATCAAGTCACAGCCGGTGCACCGCGACTACCCACCTCCGGCCACCTCAAATACCATCACACTGGTCCATCCCGCTGTTCAGCCAAACGTCTCGGTGCTCAAATATTTTGGCTACGATACTAGCAGTACCACAGGCAACGCCGATCAAGCCGAACATCCTTTGCACACTCACTTTAAATCATTATCGTGGCTCCAGCTACTTCAACCCCAGGAGGATCCTCTCTACGCTGAGCCAGAGCAGGCATCAGAAGAGGTCTTGGCGTCATGGAAGAGTGGGAAACGAGGCACATATTTCAAAAAGCGCCGAAGATGGGAACACTGCAAATCCATTGTCGATGAGACCAGACTCGGCGAATTCGACGGACTCGTCATTGCATCCCCTATGGATCCCGTCAGCATTCTGGAGCACACCGTACCTCTGATTCGCGGTGGTGGACATCTGGTTATGTACAGCCCTACGATCGAGCCGCTCGTAAGCGTAATGGATCTTTACTCAAAAGAGCGAAGAGGCGCATACATTGCACATCTCTCCAAGAATGAGCTTCCAGATGCTGACGACTTCCCTGTGGACCCGCGTTTACTTCTTGCACCATCAATACAAACAAGTCGCATCAGAGATTGGCAAGTCCTGCCGGGAAGAACGCATCCTCTGATGACTAGCAGAGGCGGCGCGGAAGGATACGTGCTTACGGCGAGGAAGGTCGTGCCTCTTGCTGGGGGTGTTGATGCCAGAGGTAATTTTCATGGCAAAAAGCGAAAGACATTTCATTCGGATGTCGCTGCGCCTGTTGCACCTGCAAACGACGTGAGCGATGCATCCGCCAACGGTACAGAGGCTGTTACGATACCTGTATAATATAGCGATGAGGACCTTTTGTCTGGTGCCAGTCTGATTGGGTTGTCCTGGAGAGAGAGACACTCTTGTAATACCTTACTTAGACCTCGAGAACGCGCGCGACCGCATTTTGCAGCTTGCATTGACTTGCACGTCAGCAAAGAGTGCTCAATCGCCCTGGAGCGAAGTAGTCGACGAGAGCCAGAATGATCGGCGGAGGAAATTCCTCCTGTTCTAGTAGAATGACTCAAAATATGCCACACTCCAATCCACGAACTCAGCCCGCCACCAACATATTGATCAAGGCAGCCAGCCATGAACGCTAATGATATACCTAGGTAGCACGTCACAATCTCCAAGACCAAAGCGAACGTGAACTGAACGACGTGATGCAGTTCCTTCGCTCGGAAACAGAAAAGCATGGTAGCCCAAGGCCTCGCAAGAGTCAATCTCGACTGTATGGAGAAGCGATTTTTACAAATTGGGACATGTGGCTGTTCACGCAAAACATTCAAACCACCCTTGTTGATTAATGGACTTTCCCCATATGTGTTGTTGACCCTGAGTTGGTTCTTCCTGATGATGCTATTTATTGCTATTCAGGCAGATATGCCGAGGCTGCGAATGCGAGATCTACCTCAGTATGAAACCAGTCTGAGGAGACGGTTATAGGGCTTCCCAAGACTCAGAGTCTATATAGGGGTCTGTAGGATGTAGGCTGGGGTAAGGCGCATGAGCTGGGGCTAGCTTAAGACGAATGCTGATCCTCTGATAGCCTTGGCAGTCGATGATCGGTTCACTGAGTAAGGTAAGGTAGTTGATACCTTTAGGAGGTAAGGTAGTGATAGAAGTCGTTGTTGGAGACAGGAGGTTCGAACGTTAATTCTTTCTCGCTTTCGTACCGAGTACCGGAGCTTGGCGCTTGTCTCGAGGGGCAAAGGACAGCCAACTCACCCTCCTTCACCTCCTTCACCTCCTTTCACCCTTCCTGCATCAACACCGTCCTCAACAATGGCCGCATCCACATCACACCGCCGTACCAATGGACCCCGTTACTGAGAGACGGGTCGGTTGGTTTGTTGAGATCAAGACATGGCCAGCAACAAGCTCAGCGACGCAACTCCCCCGAAAGCATAATGCCTATAGCAAGACCTATAAACATCCATAATTGGAACACACACAAGACTCAGACTTGCGAGTTGCGACACATGGCCCTGTGTGTGTGATAGGATCCTCCTTACAACAATCACACTCCTACTGATGTCTCACAACGGCGAACGCGAGAGATTGTGAACTACATGTCCGAATCCGGTGCACGCCAGTCTCTATATATATCGTCAACTCTGCATTGCGGAAGTACCTTCAGGCAATATGTACGGAACGTCCTCAGCGCAATGAAAATCTTCGCGCATGCATCTCATCTGCAGCACCGAATACCGAATCAATATGCAACTAGTCCAAGCCGACCGATTCAGATCTGCACCTGCGGGACGCCACATGGGGTCTCTCGAGTCAGCATATTCTTCCCAAGCCTGCTGCTCACAATGCTTGTCGCGCTATATGCTTATACACCCACACTGTGGTCCGTTGGACTAATCTGACAATCCGGGGCAAGCGGGCCTCCAGTCCGGTCGCACTCAACGTTCGTCAAAAGTAAAGCGACGGGCAAGTCTATGCATTGGACCAACTTGATGCTAAAGTTCGCGATGGAGTCGTCCCACAACGCTTCCGTTTTACATATGACACGGGTCACTGGCGACGTTATTATGGGTGATGAAGCCCTTCCAGCAACTCGCTTCTTCTCCTCGTATTGACATCTCAGGGTTGCTCCATTCTCGAGTGAACACTAGGTGCAATCATCATCTGCAATGAAGTGCTGGTTCATCGCTTCGGTGCTTCTCGTCGCAACTTGCATGGGTCATGCTAGTGCACAGTCTTCCACTCCGGACTTGTCTCCATGTGCAGTATGTATGCCCCGTAGTAAACCAATTCAAAGTCATCACTAGGAAAGTACTGATTACTGGGGCCAGATCGAATGTATCTCGAAGGCTGTGCCCATTTCAGGATGCCAAGCAACAGACACGACGTGCTTATGCGAAAGCCATGCGCTTGAGACGAGCGTGAGGGCTTGCCTCAAAGAGAACTGCTCCGTGAAGGAGTCTTTGTGTGCGTACAAGCCATGTTTTGTATCTTTGAACTGGTACTGACGAGGTTCATTCGTAGTAACACAGCGTTTTCAGGCAGCGACATGCGGAGCTCCCGTGCGAGATCAGGGTGATTTGACAAGACGAATCACTTGGTCATTATTTGCCATTGTCGGATTCGCCATCTTCGCCCGCTTCGCCTTCCGCGCACCTTTTCTCCGAGGTACTGGCTTTGGCTTCGACGACTGGACCATTTTCCTGGCGGCTTTGATGATCGTTCCTCTGAACGCCTTGATTCACGATGGCAGCCTCTCGGGGCTGGGTCACGATGTGTGGGAAGTATCATTCCCCCACCTGACCAAGATTCTATACTTGTTCTGGATTGGAGAGTTTCTCTACGTGTGGATCATGAGCATCTCCAAAATCTCCGTCATTCTCCTCTACCTTCGCGTATGGGCACCGGATACGCGCATGCGACGAGACAAGTTCCGCATGGCGTGTTTCTGCATGATCATCTTCCTGATCGTCTTCCCCATCAGCTTGAGTCTCGCCCTCGGATTCGAATGCAACCCCATCAGTTACGTAAGTCCTCCCTACCTACCTTAGCCAACTCCCTCAGGTAACAGCGATCCTGTATACTAATTTCAAATTCCAACATCAAAAAACAGGCCTGGCAAGGCTGGGACGGCGAACACACCGGATCCTGCTTCAATCTCAACGCCCTAATTCTCTCCGCCGCAGGCCTCAACGTCATCCAAGACCTCATCGTCTGCGCCCTCCCACTCCCCAAACTCCTCGCAATACCCTTACCTTTGGCCAAAAAAATCCTCGCCATCACAATTTTCCTCGTCGGACTCTTCGTCACGATATGTTCCATCATCCGACTCGCATTTCTAATTAAATGGGGCTCCACAGAAAACCGCACTTGGTATTACAATTCCGTCACAATCTGGAGTGCTATTGAATGTAATCTGGCCGTCTTTTGCGCCTGTTTACCTTCGATTGCGGGCTTGGTTCAGCGGATTTATCGCGCCAGTATGGGTATTGATGCGGCTACTACCGTCGTCGCTTCGAGGTGTACCGAGGGTCGCTCGACGCCTATGCAGATGCAGCGGCAGCAGTGGCATGAAATGAGTGGAGTGGGAGTGGGTGAGATTGAGACGAGGAAGGGGTTGGTGGATAGTCGGATTGAGACTTTGCCGGGTTATCATCGTGGGAGTGGTGAATATATGTATGATGCGACGGATCGGTCGGGGTGGATATGAGTTGTCCATTGTTTTCTTTTTGGGGTTGGGTTGGGTTTGCTTTGCTTTGGTTTTGGTTTGGTTCGGTTTGTGCGTGACAATTCGAAGAAAAGACGAAACGACAATGGACGACGAGATATGAAATACCAGGTAGCGTGGGAAGAACAGATTCTGAATGTCAATGAATACCTATGATGATATTACCGAACTTGGTGACACCTATGAATAACCTAGGTACTTCAAGTCTTCATTATGGTATTATACCTGCCTGCCTGCCTGCCTGCAACATACGCCTGTCGTCATCTTGCCATGTTCAAACGCCACGCACGATTGCCGTGTTTTGCCGACTGCCTCGTCGTTCTTTCGCCTGGGATGATAAGTGCCATCTTTGCACGCACGCGCGAACGCATTTGGTAGCTGTATATGGGATAACGCCATCAGAGGGAAAATGCGATTAGTCAAGCATTCGAAAGAACTGATCAAGTGATTCCTGGGACAATGACAAGACCAGGTGTACCTATGATAGGGTCTTCCGTCCTCGGGTCTGAGTCCTTTCTCCGCTCTTCAAAAGGTTTCGAAACATCAACCAAAGGAGGAGCGAATGTTTGGCGAGATACGCAGGTGGCGTAGGAATGATGGAGTCCAGAGATCTGTGGGTCACCTCATGACGTGTTCTGTCGATACCTGTCTACACACACTGTACGATCTTGGAGTGTAGTCCTTTTCCTCTTCCATCAGATGGTCATCGTGTCCGAGACTTGCTTGTCGTGGTATCCTCGATCCGTGCATGCTATGGAAATGAAAAGATCGAGTCGCAAATCACGTAGGTAGTGCGTAGAACATTCTTCGCGCCGTGTAAGGTGGCGGTGTGATGCCAGTGATAGAAGTATCATTCCACAGAGTCCGAGGAGCGCACGGCTGAATGCCCAGTGACTTTTTCTGTCCAGCGCGATGTATGCAATGGGCCTAGAGCAATGTCGCTTGAGCGCCTTCGACGTCCTACTCGCTACTTCTTGAGCGAAGCCTGCAGTTCTCGGGTCAGAGCTTCCAGCTCTCCCACAGCCGCCTTTTCAGGCCCGGCCCTCTCGAACTCCAGACCGGTCTTCGCGAACTCCAAGGCCTCTTCTATTCTCCCCATTTCCTTCAGACACTGCGCTCTCCTCCACCATGCCTTCACGTTCCCGATTCGCTTCAGCTCCACGGCAATCTCAGCGTCCACAGCGGCCGCTGCCCAGTCTTGCTGTGCGTACAGCGCTTGTGAGCGATTGCCATGCAGAAGCGACAGCTCCTCCCGTGCCAGACCCGAGGCTTCCCACGGCGGGCGATCAGCAGCCATTTTGATGGCAAGATCGTACATTTTGATCGCGTCCGAGAAGCTGCCCTTCTTATAAGCTGCGTTGCCAGAGTCCTTTAGTTTGGTGATTTGTACGCTGCGTTTGGGGTTGACGGGCGCGGGCGGAGGAGTGACTTGGTTGGGAGTCTCGAGCTGTGTGAAGGCACGAGCAAGGTGGTTCAGTTGTTCGAGGTCGTTGAGGAGAGAGGCATCGCTGGAGGAGACGGCCTTGGTCTGCGGATCGATGTGGAGAGGGAGAAGCGTGAACGTGTCCTCGCCGACAGTGGCCATGATGTCCGGTGTAGAGTATGTGCCCGTCTGGTCAATATGCGGTGTTGTAGAGTTATGTTCTCGTAATTGGGGTACGCAAATCGTGGTTCAGGTACCTATGTACGGTATGGGAAGTGGGAGTCGCAGCTGATCGGAGAGTGGACAGTTGTGAATGAATAGAACAGATGGCACTCCCGGCGCCGGGAATAGATAGTTCTAGCGCTAGTTCGTGCCAAGACCCCGCTTGTTGCCTCTCCCTCTCCAGTCTCTACAGTTCATTCCAACCTCACCACGCACTTCGAACCAATGGAGGGACATACATGCATTAATCCACCGTCAACAACTGCTCAAAGAACCCCGCAAACTCCGCCCCCTTCGGCCTCAAATGCACCTCCAAAATCCAATGTCTCCGATTGCCCTTTGAATCCACCTCATCCATCCTCTGTTGATTTCCCTCCGTAATATAATTCGTCACCTTATCCCTCGGAATCCTCTCATGAGGGAAATCTCCCACAATATGTCCCGCAATCTGCGTCGCGCCCCAATCCCATCCATCCTCGGCCGCAGTCTGCAAAGCAAGATTGTACAGTTCCCCTCCCGTCATACTCGGATTCCGATCATAGAGGCGTTTGATTTTCCACCACATGGGTTCTAACGCATCGCGGAGTTGGAGTTTTTGCTTCGTGGCGTCGATTACTGTTGTTGTCGTTGTTGTATTAGAAGAGGAAGAATTTTCTTCTGGTAGGACATATGTTCGACCAAAATCTGCTTCCCACTCCTCGAACACGGGGCCAAGATCGATGACGAGGATGTCGCCTGGTTGGATGGTGCGCGTGGGAGGATTGTCGTGAAAGGGTGAGAGAGTGTTGGGGCCACTCCGGACGAGACGTTTGTGCCAGTGGGTTCGGACGTGGCATGTGGTTTCTCCTAGTTGGTGGATTTCATCGCTGAGTTGCTTCTCCGTAATACCGGGTCGAATCAAGTCTTTGCTGATGAGGTCGAACAGCTCGATGGCTTTGTTTTCTGCTTCTCGCAGGGATTGGGCTCGAGCTTGCTCAGTGGTGATGGTTTCCGTGGACATTCTGATGTGGTTGGGGTCGAGCTGCGGAGGGCGATCGAGAACTGTCTGTCCACTTCTAATACAGAATACGTATCGCCGGTGATTCTTGTGAATAACAGACTGGCCTGTGAGAAAGAGGATAAAGGTAAGAGAAGTTGGTTAGCTATGTGCCCGAGGAGAAGCTCGCATATATACCCCGCTTCCGGCAAAGATTCAGCGAGGTGACTTGCTTAGTAAGGTAAGTACGCAATGAGATTCCAGATGCTGCATACAGTGAATGCACAGTGATACATCCTTCACTGGAGGACAGCTGTACTAGATCGGCAGTCTAGTGAACTTCGTAACATGCTTATCACCTCGATGGCCTGCTCAAATACCACCCCGTTGGCCGAATTGCCCGGATCGTACAGAGACTGTTCTTTGACGTGTCAGATAGGCCATCCAGCGAGATGCTCATCGCCTTGCGGCCAGACTACGGCCATGATTTCACTCTCTATACGTAAATTCTGTACAAATTTCACTCAAGATCACGCTGTGCATAGAAAATTTCACTTCCGGGGCTCACTGGTTCCTGGTTTCATAGGTATCCACTCCCCCTGCTCATCCCACTTGCCAGCATTGGTATAGTCAGCCGTTCTGCTTCCGGACATGTACGCAAATCGAAAGTACTCTGGCAACACATCTTCGAATATGTCAACACCTCTCTTCCTTTTCACATCTTGTTTCCAATCCTCGTCTTCGCCGAAGCCGGGATTGGCGAGCGTGATTGCCATTCCACTGCCAGGCTCACCACGTCCGGGTCGATGTCGATTCCAAGTCCAAGTGTAGTTTCCAGTATCTTCGAGTCCATCGCCTTCCCAATAGGATAGGTCATCCGGATAACCACGAAAACGCTCAACATCATTTACAAGTACGGAAATGCCATCATATGTAACGTCGAGCTTTTTATCAAAGACCGGCAGTGTTCCAAGACTGAAAGTGATGTTTCGTGCTCCAAGAGCGAGGACACTGACGGCAGGTAACAAGCTACCTTGCGCGGTGCCCCTGAGCAGATCGGTCGGCAGCTCAACGATGGACGCGAATCCCCAGCGAGCAACGCCGTTGATGAAGAGCCCGAGTAAAAGACCTTGATAGATCAAACTGGGTCGATTCTGAAAGCTCGTCCCTGGTAGAAGCAAAAGTGCGAGAATGTAATGATGAATTCTCAAGTTGAGACCAGGTATGGCGAGGAATATCAGTAAGGCCACAACAAATGACGCATAGATGGCTAGATATCGTGGCATTCGTCCTTCAACACGGAAAGCCCAAGCTTGCCCTAAAGCGATGAAGAAGATGGACAGCACAATAATGATGAGAGCGGGCACTGCACCAGGCTGTGCTTTGAGATCGTGGGGTGTCAGTCGCTGGATGGGAATCCTGTCGAACGTATAATTGTTGAGACTTCCCACCCAGGCTGGTCCGAGCCAGAGAACTGTCTTCTCAATTTGTGCTGTTAGTCCCGTCAAGCTCCTCTTGCTCGTGAATCGATACGTGACGTAGGCGCAAAAGCATGCGGGGAGAAAACGTCCAATCGCAATACTAATGAGTCCATAATAAGTAGTATTGGCTGGGGGGTCTGAAACGAGGGCAACATGGAAGAACAGGGCCACGAAAATGGTCCAGAAATGGACTGCCGGATCAGTCGTGAAAAGCGATACAAGGATGGTGAAGATCAAGGTAGGAGCCAGAGCAGACCACCGCATATCTTTGCATTGCGTCTTCGTGCCGGAGAGGAACCCAAAGGTCTGAGGGAAGTAGCTGTCGAAGCCAGCGCTCTGTATACTGTTGCGTATGCCACTGGGAAACTTAGACTGCTCGCCAGTAAGGGTCAGCACGCCGCAGCCACCTTCAATGTCTCGTGTAAACCCCGCGTGAACAGCAGAGGCACAAATGAAGCTGTCGCCGCGATATATGGCGTTCTCCACAATCTCATCCTCAAACCCAGTCTGCTCTTCCTTGGGACCACCAATGACCAGTGGCTTGAACTCCACCTTTTGGTCACCAACAGCATGTCCAAGAGTGATTTGCTTGTGACAGTCTGCTGGACATCGAAAAGCCAGACTGGCGTTCGAGAATGGTCTGCACATGTTCCCATTGAGACCACAAATATTACCATCGCCCCAGTACCTCGCCGCACAACCGAGACGTATCGGCGTTCCATGTCCCGGAATCTGTGCAGCAAATGAGGATTGATACAGAATGGACGAGAGCACGAGCAGCCACGAAGCAATGGCAAGCACTAGTAGCCAGAACCTCCGTATCCTGCTGGGCGCAACCCGATCCAGCAAGGCCAAAGGGGCGCGCTGCACCTTTGGGAAGACTGGCCGTATCTGATATATGCGTGGCGGATCAGGTCCTTTCACCCACGTCACCACCGCTGCCCAGGTGTTCTTCACTGGCTTGGGCAGACGGTCCCCTAATGTGTTCTGCAATGTGTTTCGGGCGCGGGCGGGCGAGGCATCGAAATCGTTGGTGGGCGAGCCTCGCCGCACTGGCGGATCCGGTCCGATGGTATCATTATCGTCGTCCTCGCTGTCAGACGGCGAGTCTTGGTATCGGTCATTGTGGGTGGTGTAGCCGTTGCTGCTCGAGCTGGAGAGCAGAGCTTCGTCGTCTGTGATTGCCATGTGCGCCGCCGATTTGAACCTAATCTCCGCGACGAGACTACCCTGTCCTGAGGGAGACTTGGTCTTTGCTATCGATATCCTGTACAGGTCCACGCCATTGCGAAGGGGGACGGGAGTCCACGTGAATGGACACTATAGGAGGTACCGCGAGCGAGTGAGACGGGCGAAGAGCCCAAGAAGGCCGTGGCGTGGATCGGCCACGACTGCGCCTCCAGTCGCCAACACAGAACGCCGTCCGCCGTCCGCCGTCCGCCGTCCACTCTGACGTATGTACATGCCAAGAATATATGAACCCCCCTTCATGCCCTTCGTGTACGTTCTCCTCACTACTGACCTAAACAACTACAATCACCACACGGCCGCCAAATTGAAACAGCCACCATGTCCGCTCTACCACATCAAACCACAGGAGTCAAAGGCGAGGCACCATCCAACTCCGAGACCGCAGTCGGAGGCAGCGCTGGAGGCAATCTGGTGCCTGCGCCACAGGCCGAGCCCGAGAAGCCTCAAATCGGGTCATCCAAATCCACCCCGGGCAGCGCTGAAGAGGCAGCTGAGAAATTATACGAAGAGAGGATGGAGGAGGAATATGCCAAGCGCGAAGGCGGGGCCTAGTCTCTATACACTTACCTTACCTGCCTACCTTATCTTGCACAAGAAGTGAAGGGAGGGGGACACGGGAAGTCAACGAAGTCAACGAACACTTACTGCTGGACTGAAATGGCCTCTAATTCGGCACTCACTCACTTACACTGTCGAGTCGGAGGGGAGGGGCCTTTGCCTGACTTGAGGGACGATCCAATACGATACGATTAGGTAGAAAGTTCGCCAATCAAACTACGCTATGGCAATTCTTGTAACAAAACTGGAAACTAGCAGAGACATTTTACTCCCAAAAGTGAAGGACCGACTTTGCTTATTGAAGATCGACAGAATTATACAAACAGATTTCGGAATACAATTGAATGTCGTCCTTTTTTCTTTTTTTTTTATAAAAGAAAAACAACTCAACCTCTTAGCCCTAAAGTGCCACCACGATCAATTACCACCTATCTACTCTCCCCAAATCTCGAAATTGAAGGTTTTTTCTTCAAGTCATATGATGATGAAGATGGAAGATGCTCACTCGTGTCGAGCACGACAAGGGCCTCGTCTTGGTGATTACCTAGTGATTGATACTTGAATAAGGTAGGTTTTACGACGAAAAGTGGTTTGAGGTGGAGCTTCCGAAGGGGAGAAGACAAAAGCCCCGAGGCATTGGCACGACCTGTTCACTGCTGGAAAACGCCCAAAGTTATTTCTCGAAAAGAAAAAGAAGAAAAAAAGGAAAGTCCCAAGCGAGAGGAATATAGGTAATTTCTCCACCATTTACATGCTATTTATACAAGTAGTCGACATTTCGCGAGGAATAAGTCTTTCCGACACACGTCTTTTTTTTTCGGAGGACATACAGGACTTGTGTTCATGTTCACTTATGTGCGATAGTCCCCGTTGATAGTGACATACTCATGACTGAAATCACAAGTCCAGAATACGGCCTCGTGAACTTTCCTCTGGGGCTTGTTGAGCTCAGTAGCGACGTCGCCATCCCGATCTTCCAATCGTACCAAAATCTCCAAATCTTCCATTTCCAAAATCTCCTTTGCACGAAACTCGTCCACGTCTTGTGGCTCGCCCCTCACCAATAATTGCAGCTCCTTCGTCCCATCAGTGGGAATGAATGAGACCGAAGTGCATGCAGGTGTGACTTGAGGTATTTTGTCATAGGGAGTTTTCGTTTTCATTCGACCCATCATACCCGACATCAAGTCACGAGTGTTCACTTCCTTGGTGGACATGATTCCGGGTGCATACCCTATAGCGCAGAGGATTCGACCCCAATTGGCGTCTTTGCCGTACAGGGCAGTTTTCACCAGTGCTGAGCGGGCGATGCTGATGGCGGCGCGTTTGGCTGTATTGAGTGATACGTCAGATCGAACGCGGATGGTCACGAATTTGGTGGCGCCTTCACCGTCGCGTACGACGAGTTTGGCCAGATCTTTGAGGAATGAGGAGAGGACCTTTTCCAAGGCGATCATGTCGACGGGTTGTGGTTCTGCGGAAAGGCGTCGGCCGCCTTCGCTGGCAGGGGCACGCTTTGGTGAAGAGTATTGGATAGGTGATGAGCCAACTGGGGCGGCAGCGCCGTTGGCGAAGAAGGCGAGGGTGTCATTTGTGCTGGTATCGCCATCAATGGAAATGCTGTTGAAGGATTGGGAGACTGTCGCTTTGAGGAGTCGATTCATGGATTCCCCATCGATCTTGGCGTCGGTGCAGACGATAGCCAGGAGGGTGGCCATGTTTGGATGGATCATGCCAGCGCCTTTGGTCATGCCCGCAATCGAGTAGGTTGTGTCTGGGTGGGACGGGAGGGTGAACTGTCGGGAGAGAAGCTTGGGGAATGTGTCAGTTGTGCAGATGGCGTTCGCAGCATTCAGCCAATGCTCGTGTGTGCTGCCGATGTTTGATTTGAGCGTCGGAATGGCATTTGTGATCTTTTCGATAGGTAGCTTCTGGCCAATGACCCCCGTGCTCATCACCAGTGTCGATGGCACATTTGAGTCTCCTGTGCTACCGAACGCAGAATCGGTCACTCGAGCCATGTGTTCGGCATCCTCGCGACCTCTGACGCCAGTCACGGCATTGGCACAGCCCGAATTCACCACTACGCCTCGAAATCCTTGAGAGAGCTGAGAGCGCCGAGCGCTTAAAATTTTCTGCGAGACTTGCACGGGAGCTGCCTTGAAGATATTTTGTGTGAAGACTGCGGTGGCTGGACATGGTTCTTCTGATACCACCAGCGCGAGATCGTCGTACTTGGTATTGCTGGCTTTCACTCCCGCGAACGCACTCCCAGCCAGGAATCCCTTGGGATACGTTCCCGAGGTTGGAACGTACTTCTGCTTGGCAGCAGGAATGGACCGGTCTGCAGGCGCAGAGTAAGTGCGCACTTGTACCGCTGCGGCAAGCAGCCTTTTTGCTGCTGTGCCTTTGGGCGCCATGTCTCAATACCGTGGACCACTCGGGGAGTCTTTTGCTTCCCACAGTGACCGCGACACTTGCACACCAGGGACGAGCACGTCTTGTGCACAGTGAATCACAGATGGAAGTGCGATGGATGTTGGTGATGTTGATGTGATTGTGAGAGTGAATGGCCGGCGAAAAGTGAAGCCCAGGGTGAAAAGTGATAGAAAACTAAGCGAGTGATGTGCCCCAGGCACCCGAGAACTCTCCGCCGGGGGAGACGGTCTTTCCCGAACGAGCTTATTAAGGCACACGGCTAGTAGGTACTGCCGTATTGGGACGGTACGGTACAGCATATCACATGTGAGGTACCTTCTAGTGGTAGTGAGGTGAAGTACATATAGAGAGGCTGACTGACCATCACATGCCACTCGCTACACAGGTAATGTTGACGAAGCTCGCTCGCTGCTTCTCTCCTGCACACGCACACGCACACGTCGCGGCTACTCTTCGTTCCTTGTCCACCACCGCGCGCCTGTGCAAGCCCGTGGAGATGGAGACGGTCAATACCACGGATCGCTTGCAGGCGCTCCGTCACTTGATGAGCCAGCACAAGGTAGACCTCTACAGTATGGCCTGTTCGTGTGTGATATGCAGTGATGGCTGACTGACTCTTGCGTAGTCGTACCCTCCCAGGACGCACACTCGTCCGAATACATAGCCCCCACCGATGCACGGCGGGAGTTCATCTCGGGCTTCTCTGGCTCGGCGGGAACAGCTATCGTCGCCCAGGATCGGGCGGCGCTGGCGACCGATGGACGCTATTTCAACCAAGCGAGCCATCAACTCGACTCGAACTGGACCCTCCTCAAGCAAGGATTGCAGGACGTTCCAACCTGGCAGGAGTGGACGCTAGAGCAGGCAGAGGGTGGAAAGACGGTGGGCGTGGATCCTACCACCATTACAGCTCCCGAGGCTCGCAAGCTGGCCGAGAAGATCAAGAAAAAGGGCGGCAAGGGATTGGTCGCCATCGCAGAGAATCTGGTCGACAAGGTCTGGGCTAAGGACAAGCCCGCACGACCCAATGAGCCAGTGCGCGTGCTGGAGATGCAGTATGCCGGCAAGAAGTTCCAGGAAAAGATCGAGGAGCTTCGAAAAGAGCTCGACAAGAAAAAGGCTGCTGGTTTCGTGGTCAGCATGCTCGACGAGATTGCCTGGCTTTTCAACCTTCGCGGAAGCGACATTCCCTACAATCCAGTTTTCTTCTCGTACGCCGTCGTCACACCGACAACAACGACGTTGTACGTGGACGAGACAAAGCTACCGGACAACGCAAAGGCCCATCTTGCTGGCATCCATATCCGACCATACGACGATATCTTTTCTGATATTGCCACGCTTGCAGCAGAGACGCCAACGACAGATGGCGAAGGCAAAGCAGATGCGATGGCGAAGAAGAAGAAGAAGTATCTCATATCTACGCAAGCATCGTGGGCTCTACAGCGCTCCCTTGGGGGCGAAGAGAATGTGGATGAGGTTCGGTCACCGATAGGTGATGCCAAAGCCATTAAAAACACGGTCGAGCTCGAGGGCATGCGTCAATGCCATATTCGTGATGGTGCGGCTCTCATCGAATACTTTGCCTGGCTCGAACATCAGCTTGTAGTCGAAAAGGTGGAGGTCGACGAGGTCGCAGGCGCAGATAAGCTAGAAGCAATTCGCAGCAAGCATGACAAGTTTGCAGGCCTGTCTTTTGATACCATCTCCTCCACGGGTCCCAACGCTGCCGTTATCCACTACAAGCCGGAGCCTGGCAGCTGCTCGGTCATTGATCCCAATCAGGTCTATCTCTGCGACTCTGGTGCGCAGTACTACGACGGTACTACAGACACAACACGAACATTACACTTCGGCACGCCAGACGCAAAGGAGATTGAGGCATATACGCTAGTTCTGAAGGGCAACATTGGCCTCGAGCTCGCCGTCTTTCCCAAGGGCACATCCGGGCTTGCATTGGACACGCTAGCACGTCAGTACCTGTGGCAGAACGGGTTAGAGTACCGACATGGGACTGGGCACGGCGTCGGCAGCTTTCTGAATGTGCACGAGGGACCGATTGGCATTGGCACGCGCCCACAGTACTCCGAAGTGCCGCTGTCCGTGGGCAATGTCATTTCCGACGAACCTGGATATTACGAGGATGAAAGCTTCGGCGTCAGGATAGAGAATGTAATCATGGTGAAAGAAGTCAAGACGAAGTACAACTTTGGCGACAAGGCGTACTTTGGCTTCGAGCATGTCACAATGGTTCCGCATTGTCGCAGACTGACGGATATCTCGATGCTGACGAAGATTGAGCTCGATTACATCAACGCCTACCACAAGGAAGTGTGGGAGAAGACGAGCCCGTTCTTCAAAAACGATGAACGGACGCTCAAGTGGCTAGAGAGGGAGTGCCAGCCATATGAGCAGTAAGCCAAGCTTGGCCTTCATGTATCGGAGAGGGATTTCTGACCAGACGAGTGGCCACCGGTGGGGTGCACGATACTGTCGAGGCTGTACTGGTCAATAATGTATGCTCGAGAAGACAGTCGCCCAATAGATACATGTAACTTATTACCTACCGTTCTCCGATAGCCAAGACCCTAGGACCACCACCAGATAGATGCCGAGGCTGAACTGGAACCTTGCTTTCATCTGCTCCGACTTTCCCACAAGGTATGCTTTCTTCTCATACTCCTACGATGCAGCTACACAAGCGACTTAGTATAAGCCATTCTGTTTCCTGCAAGGGTTTAGTATCTTCTACGACCCTCTTATGATCATCATTTAGGCTCACAGAAACTACTTGGCGCCTCACCTTGCAGCAGCAGCATCATCATCATCATCAGCCTCCACCTCTCTACACCCACACATCTATATAGATCATGACCCACGACGTCGACACCACCTCTCCCTTCCTCCGCATCCCATGGACAGCCCGTCTCCTCTCCCAACCAAACATTCTCACCGCAATCCCCCAATCTCGAACACCCAAAGCGTCCACCGAAGACAGCCTCTTCGCCGAAATCCTCAAAACCTCTCGAACTCTCCGTAGCTGCATTCTTTTCTATCGCAATTCTGACCACGTGGGAGTGGAAGAAGTTACGGCATTGTATTTTGTTGGAAATGGCATGAATGGCCATTCGGGAATTATCCATGGAGGTATCACGGCGACGTTGATTGATGAGAGTATGGGAATGTTGCAGACTGTGAATTTGGAACGGGAGCGGGAGGGTGGAAATTTTGGGGAAGAAGAAGGAGGGCTGGGGAGTTTTACGGCGTATTTGAATGTGCAGTATAAGAGACCTGTGAGCACGCCTGGTGCTATTGCGGTTGTGGTGAAGAGGGTTAGGAAGGAGGGGAGGAAGGAGTGGTTGAGCGCGGAGTTGAAGCAGTGGAGTGGTAGTGATCGTTCTCGTGGGGATGGAGATGAAGAGGGGGAGCTTGTGGTTTGTGCTACCGGGGAGGCGTTGTTCGTGACTCCGAGGGCTGTGGGCAGTAAGCTGTGAGAGATGGACTATTGTAAGAGATGGGCATTCTATCAGAGCCAGGACGATGGAGACATCAGATCATGGTTGCAGGAGAGCAGAGAGCCGCAGGACGATCATGGTCATATGTGCAGCTGAGAGATGAGGACATGAAAATGTTCAAGACAACACTACGAACATTGCAATTGAGGACACGTCCTAGCCACAAGCCGAATGTGGTCACGAAGCTCGCGGCAGCATTGAAGGTACATTCCGACACCTACATCCTCGGAGGCGGCCTTGATCTTTATACCGATCCTGGCATTTTGTCGCCTGCTCAGGCAATACGGTCGACCTGAGCTGGGAGGACTCCTTTTCCGACCAATTGACGAGCCGGGAAGCCTCCAAATACCAGCGAGTCAAGATCCGATCGAACATTGCAAAGAGGACATTGGGCCAGAAAAAGTGAAATGCACAAAGCGTCAGTTGCGCTGTCCTCGTAGCGATTTAAATGCTGGAGGACTGATTATTCGCAGCTCCTTATGGAGAAGTTGCGCTGGACCGAGCAAACGAGTCCATGTGTGCTCCCTGAAGCAGTGGTAGGTACTTCTCAGGGTGAATACACTGTCCTTCCTTGTCCTTTATGGGAGCAGTACACATGCTACCACTCGGATACCTGTATGCGGAGAAGCTACAATGGGTAAGGTACGGAGGAGGTAGTGTTACTTTTGTACCTAGGTAAACAACAATGTGCCGTTCAATGTCGCCATCGCCAATACCACAATAGGTACGCGGCAGCAGAATGACCTGTTATTCGCAAGCCTTTCCTGATCAAAATAAAACGCTGAAGCGAGCAGTCGAGAATCACAATCCCGTGTCTTTACCTCCTCCTCCTCCTACCACCCACGCGCCAAAAGATAAAAAAACTCCCCACATTTGCCATGTAGAGGATTTCTACAAGGCTGGAGATAGAGCTTTCCCCTTTTTAGCAGCCGGACCCGACCCGTCTCACACATGGTAAACTTTCCAAGACTCCGGGCTTCGTCACCCTTATCTCTATGCACATTACCTATCACACTAAGGTACACTCATTCATGTAGCTAAGGTCAGGTCAGGTATGGTAATGGGGTACATTGTACAGGGTGATAAGTAGGTACCTACATGTAGTTTTTACTACATCTCGTCGTTGTCGGCTCATCTCATCCTCCGCTTTGATATTGTTGGATATTGTATATGTATACCTGACTTGATTTTTTTTGTGTGTCTGAGGGGTCGGTATAGGGACGGGATATACCTGACTTGACTGTCTTGCACTTTTTTCTACGCTGCTTCGTCTTGCCTTTTTTTACCCTTGCGCCTTGTTGTAGGGTGAAGGAGGGAGGAGAAGAAGAAAAGGAAGAGGAAGAGGAAGAGGAAGAGGAAGAGGAAGAAGAAGGGAGGATATAGATACGTATACTGAAATATCGCCCAACGACTCGACAAGAAACCGGAACAAAAGAAGAAGAAGAAGAAGAAAAAGAAGGAATTTACCACATCACTCCATTTCGTCCTCTGGACCACCACCACCACCATGGACATCGAAGCAAACACCCCCACCCCGACCCCCTCCAAGCCCACAGCGCCAACAACAAAACCCTCCACCTCCACCACCTCCCTCCAACCCACTTCCTCCTCCCCAGCCCTCGAAACCGGCATCATCACACCCCTCCTCACGCGAAAATTCGATCTCAAATCCATGCTAGCCCTCTCCTTCTCCGTCCTCGGAACCTGGGGAACTCTCGCCGTAGGCCTCTCCTCAGGTCTAAGCAACGGCGGACCAATTTCGATTCTGTGGGGGTTCGTATTAGTTTTTCTCTGCAATGTGTGTATTGCGTTGTCGTTGGGGGAAATGTGTAGTGCGATGCCGACGGCGTTGGGACAGGCTTATTATGTGCATCGGTTGTTGGAGAGTGGGGATGGTAGTGGGGGAGGTGGGGGAAGAGGAGGGGGAAGGTTTGCGAGTTATATGTGTGCGTGGATTAATACATTTGGATGGTGGACGTTGACGGCGAGTCAAGTGGCGTTTATGACAGAATTTATGTTGGGGATTAAAGTCATGTTTAGCGCAGAATGGACCGGAGCGGGAAAAGGGTGGGTACAATTTGTGTTGTATTTGGGCATTACAGGGTTGTTTACCGTGGTGAATATTATTTCGTGTCGGAGAGATGAGATATTGCCGATTTTTAACGATATTGTGGGAGCGTGGTTTTTGGCTTTGTTCGTGATTATTTCGTTGGCGTTGTTGATTTCCGTGGGCACGAGAGACGGGATGCAATTTCAAGAGGCTTCGTTTGTGTTTGGACAGTGGTTGAATGAGACGGGTTGGGGGGATGGTGTGGTGTGGTTTACGGGACTGTTGCAAGGTGCATACGGCTTGACTGCGTTCGACGCCGTGATTCATCTGGTCGAGGAGATTCCGCAACCACGCAAGAACGCGCCCAAGGTGATTTGGCTCGCCGTCTTAATCGGAGCTGCTACGGGATGGGTCTTTATGGTGGTCTGCCTCTTCAGCATTCAAGATCTGGCTACCGTGATCGATGGACCGACCGGCCTTCCCTTTACCGACCTCATCCAACAAACCGTCGGACTACAAGGTGGATGTGTCCTCCTCGTGCTCTTCGTCGTCAACGGTCTCGGGCAAGGCGTCAGTATCGCCACCACAGGCAGCAGATTAACATATGGCTTCGCCCGAGACGCCGGAATTCCCTTTAGTGCATACTTCTCTCACGTGGACCACTACTGGAAAGTCCCAGCGAGATCCCTCTGGCTCCAAGGTCTTCTAGTCGGCTTGATCGGCATCCTCTACTTATTCGCCAGTACCGTGCTCGAAGCCATTCTGAGCGTCGCCACCATCGCTCTAACAATTTCCTACGGCATGCCCATCCTCGCGCTCCTCTTAGCAGGCCGTGAAAAGCTTCCACCGGGAGGCACATTTCATCTGGGCAAATGGGGACCGTTCATCAATTGGGTGTCAGTGATATACTGCAGCATCACCACTGTCTTCTTCTTCTTCCCCTCCGAACCAAATCCTCCCGCGGCGGATATGAATTATGCTATTGCAGTGTTTGGCATCATGTTGGTTATCGCTCTCGGCTTTTGGTTCATAGCTGGACGAAAGACCTATCTGATGACGGACGATGCAGCCATGCGGATTGAAATGGCGAGACGGCTAGAAGGGGAGGAGGACTTGTCCGATGCTGTAGTCATTACGACTTCCAAGACTAGTTGAAATTCCATCAATAAATTCATTCCAATCTACTTACTATCTTTTTACGCCAAAGGTAACCAATCTCCCCAACCCAACAACTCTTCATCGTCATCATCCTCCACCTCCTCCCCCCTCCTCTCCATACAGGTACAGGTACCCCAATTAAGAAAAGAAAGGAAAAAGAAAAAACGACCACTTCCAATAACCGCGAATTCCGCCTTCAAAAGAAAATCTGCTCCTCCTCCTCCTCCTCCTCCTCTTCCATTATAATCATCATCAACTCCCCAATTCGATTCGATTCGATTCAACGCAATGCAACGCAACACAGCAGGAGCGAGAAAGCACTTCCGGCGTAGGTGTGGAAGAAGAAGAAGAAGAAGAAGAAGAAAGAAAAAAAGAAAAAAAGAATAATAATTAAAAAGTTCATTTCATCGTAAAAAGTACCTAGATAAGGTAGGTACCTATGTAGGATGTAGGACGGAAGCAGCGGGGGTGAGGGATTGAAGTTGCGATAGGTAGGTACCTTAGGTAGGTAGGTAGGTACCAGGTATCAAGAGAAAGACGATACAGGCTCACTCAAACAAGGAGTAGGCCAATTCTCTTGTATCATGTAATTCGTCATCATCATTACTTTCATTCTTCCCTGTTTGAAAAAAGAATTGAACAAGTCAGCCACCAAAAGTCCTACTCTGTGGAATCAAGATTCATGCTACCCGCCTGCGCTTATTTGATGTCTTCTGCTGTTCAGACACCTCTTCACCCTCCGTATCCGCTCCTTTCCCATTACCCTCGGGTGCCGCAGGGCTAGGAGCTTCGCTACTTTGCACACTCTCCACCGTGCCCACTCCCTGCGGCGTAAGATGATTTTGACCTGTGTTGTCGACCGTTTTGCGAATCTCGGCTTCTTTGACAGCGCCAGCAGCAGCTTTGAACATGTCAGCTCCAGTATCTCCTACTTCGCCGAAATAGTCATCGTTCCAGTCCGGATTGGTCTGTTCTGCAGCAGCTTGAAAGTCAAAGTTGTTATCGAAATCGTTGAAATCACTATCATTGACTGCACCCTGCAGCAATTCATCCATAATATAGTCGGGTATGTTGTTATTGGTGTCGTCTCCGCTGAAGGTGGCGCCAGGTGAGAACTGTCCGATGCGATCCTGAATGTTCTGGATGGATTCGTTGTTCGATGCTTGCATGGCAGTCAAGGCTTCGATCTGCTCCCTGTTCTGTTTGATGTGATCCATATGATGTTGCATGTTGGGTGCATTGGGCGAGATGAGTGCGTTGTTCTCATTTGGTGCCCCGCCACCGTGCTGGTTAATCATGGCGAGCATGTTGCTTCTCTGCTGCGGCGTGAGGCCACCAGCGGCGTTTGAGTAGTCGCCCAGGGCAGAGATATCGAATGCAGGCGTATTTTCGCTGGAAGCACTCGTAGCATTGGCATTATTGATGTAACTCATGACCTGGTTATTGTCAGGCACTGAGTGAAGATAGTTTGGTGTGTCGGCATCGTCCTTGACGATTGGACTGGCCGTCGATACTCCTCGACCAGGGATCGCGCTTTCGGCCTGCAGGGTGCTTACACTGTCGCGCTTCTGAGGTGAATTGCTTTCTGGTGGGCTAGCAGACGGTCTGGCAGAGCTGGGTGTTGCAGCATCATTATTCAGCACATTCGGAGCCCCCAGGAGTAATTGCGGTCGCTTATTATAGCGCTGCAGCTGCTGGTTGTTCGCATCAGTCATTCCATCGGTGAACTCCTCAACAACACTACCTTGCTGTTGTTGCTGCCCATTCTGTGTCTGGTTGCCAAACATGTTGACCGCATTCTGCCCACCAGAACCTTCAAGACTCCTGTTGTAGAAGGTGGCGAGAAAGGTCAGGATCGCATTGATGGAGTTTTCATGCCGGTCATGCAGCTGCTGGAACGCTGTAGCTTGCCGGTAAAAGTGCTCGTTTTGCTCCTTCAGCTGGCTAATCATTCGTGAGATCATGCTTTGCTGCTGCTGAAGCTTCTTGAGCTCTGTTCGAACGGCCGCCATCTCTGTTCGAGGCATCTGTGCGAGGCCGTTAGCGCCCAGGTTGCCTAGCTCACCCAAAGGCCTTCCATCAGGTCCTGGCGAGTATTGCCGCTCATCATCACTGTCGCCGTCGCCTTTGAGTGTGCCATCGCGTTTCCGCTTGGCATTAGACTTGCCTGTGGGCTTTTGAATGAGCCACAGCAAGTCGGGGCGGTTGCGACGAAAATATGGATGCGAGTACATGCTGGGCGGCTTCTGACCCTTGCGTGCTGATTCGGACTGACGTAGCGAACCATCTGCGATGTCGACTCTCTTGTGAAAACCGTACATGTTGAGCTGGCGCACGAAAGAAGCGTAATTGTTGTGCTTGAACAGTTCGGGAATGAGGGTTCGAGCGAATTCGTCCTCGTCGAGTACTATGAATGATCTGCCGTCCTCAGACCACTTGATCTTATCGGCGTTGTCCTCCTTGTTTAGAAAGCTTTATCACATGTTAGCGTGTGCTTGATCGCAGTGTAGGAAAGATGGTGCGAGACTCACCTGCTCAGCTTCATCACAAACGGCGGTATCTGCTTTCTCTTTCCCGAAGCTTCCCTTTTAGCTAAAGCAACTTTGGCCTCCAGCTCCGTCTCGCTCTCCTCTTGGCCATTGCCCGTCATGTTGTTGTACCCAGTGCCATTCCAGCCCTCTTGATGGGCGCCGCTGATCTGATTTCCACCGCCTGCCGTCGCCAGCTGATTCTTCGCGCGCCTTACCAGATCGGTGGACGGCGCAGACGCGGTCAGTGTCTGTGGCTGGGCGCTGTCGAAGGTTGCCGCAAACTGATTGTTCTCGTCGAGTGCTGGAGGAGCGAAAGAGGAGTCGGCAAAGCTGGTGGAGAAGTCAAAGTTGGCATTGTTGAAGTCGGCAGTGTTCTCGGGCACGGGCTGCTGGTAGTAGGAGTTCTGTGGGGTCATGGACTGCTGCTGTGCCAACGGCGAGGTGCCTGGCGCTTGGCGTTTGCGCGATCCCACAGACTGCTGCATGGTGGCCCGTGATGATCTGTTTCTTCTTTTTCTCGTGACTCTTTTCTCTCCCTGTCTCTTTCTTTCTTTCTCTCTCTCTTATCTCTCCCTCTCTCTCCAATGGCTCGAGCGTGGTAGAAGATGTGGTTGAGTCGGTGTCGGTGAATGAGGCCTGTGAGTGTGCCGTAGGTGCAGGCAGCAGAAGAGAGCGGAAGAAGTAGAGTCTACAGGGTGCGAGACGCGGAGAATTGTCTTGTATATAGGCGGATGTCTTATTTGGCCTGCCTGGCGAGGAAACGACCAGCGCAGTCCTACACTTTTCGCATTGTTGGACGCACAAAGGTCGAATGAAGGCCTGGGTCAAACAGTTGGAGCGAGTGTCTAGCGTGTTCGACCGAGAGTCCTTCTTCTCCTTTCTCTTCCCGTTCCAAACAGTGAGGGTAAGCGCAGGTGCCCTCGTCTTCTGCAGGCCTGCAGCTTGTTCCGGGCCTCGAGTCCGCTGGTTGCACAGCCTCCTGGTCGGCGCAGGTAGTCCGCTTGTGATATCGGCTCGTGTGGCGTATTCGCTCAAGGCGTGTATTGGTGGACAGTCGGTCGTGATTTGTGTGTTTTGGAGGGGATGGTCAAGAATACTCTCTCGCCGGTTCCCAGAGACGTCAGAAGCCGAAAACCTACTATAGCGCGTGTTTGGCGGGAGGGCGGGAGTAAGCGAGCTGGAGCTGCCCGCGACCGGGGTATTTGTGGCTTGTAATGGAGATTCCCACTACTCTCCTCGATCTTTATCGATTGCAATCCTCGTCGTGGCCGTGAAAAGAGCAGGGGGTGGTGGATAGCTTCCGCGGGCGAGACCACTCGAGGAGGCGAGCACATTGGACATTGCGAGGAAGCACGGCAGCAAACGGACAACTGGTGACAACTGGTGACAAGACCATTCATGAGTCTGTTAATTTGAAGATTTCTGGTCGATATTCGGTGCAGCATGTTCATCTGAATCATCTCCCTCCCGTCATTTCACAATTACTCACTTCTGGGAGTCCCGTCCTTCCCTCCTCCCGTCAGTCCTTACTTACAACTTGGCTCTGCCCCCCTTCAAATCCTCCCACTCCTTCCTCCCAAATTCCCTAAAACTGTCCATTCCCGGTCCCGCCCACAAAATCACATCCTCCCCTCCCGTCTTCTCATGTTTCCCCCTCAACTCCGGATCTACTCCCTCAGCCCTCAACCCCACTTTGTTCTGCTTATGATTGTGAATATGCGAACTCGCCTTCTGAATCCTCAAGAAGACCGGCACGGCATATCTGGGCAACGACTTCCGACACTGCGCCAGTACATCTCTCCTCCAAGATTCATTCTCGATGACCGATAGATCTGAGAGATGCAACGCCGCACAACCCGCACGGCCTTCATACCCGGGGATAGCCACACCATAAACATTTGCCTCCGTAATTCCCGAAATGTGACCGAGAACTTCCGCGACTTCAGCGGTCGACACATTTTCGGATTTCCATCGAAATGTATCACCTAGTCGATCGAGGAAGTACCAATGTCCCTCGTCTGAACGGCGTAACGCGTCTCCGGAGCGATAGTACAAATCCCCCTTCCGAAACACGTCCGTCGCGAATCGTTTATCCGTTGCGGACGGGTTCCGCCAATAACCCCCAAAGGCATCTTTACTCGGTATGGAGACGAGGATTTCGCCTCCTTCATCGTAAGATGTGCGAGTGGCGAAGCCGGTAGTGGGAGACCGGTAGATGTCTCCTGTGTCAGTGTCGATTTTGACGGGGACGTAGGTGTTGTTGTATAAACGGCGGAAGAGAAGACCATGATGGCCGACGCAGTTGGAATAGTAGGAATTGCGGGAATACACGACGAGGGCGAGCATGCCCTCGGAGGAGTTGAAGAATTCGGCGATTTCCGGAATGTGGAAGCGGGATTGAAGTTTGGACCAGACATCTGGTCGTAGACCGTTTCCGTATGCGGTGCGGATGTTGTGTTTGGTTTCGAGAGGGTGGGGAGGGGCTGCGAGGAGGTAGCGGGCCGTTTCTCCGACGTATATGAATAGTGTACTTTTCGAATCGTGGATGTCGGGCCAAAAGTTTTTGACGGAGAAGCGGGGAGCGATGGCAATTCCTACGCCTGCGAGGAGGGCGTTGGAGGATGTGATGATGCCTGTGCCATGGTAGAGGGGCATGGGCGAGTACCAGCAGTCTTTGCCCGGAACGGTGTTGAGGGGTGGGGAGAGGTGAGAGCCCATGAGCCAGACGCGGTTGATGAGGAAGGGACAACCCTTGGGAAGACCGGTGGTTCCGGATGTGTAGATGAGACAGTAGGGTTGAGTGCCTTTCATGCCGTTGCGGAGGGTGTCCGGGGGCACTATCGCTTGGCGAGAAGCAATTTGAGATTTGAGGGTGTGGTCGAGGGTGATAATTGTCATCCCGGCTGCTTCGATGTCTTGTTGGCTTGCGGTGATGCGGGCTTGACAACCGGAGTCGGCGTCTACGATGAGGATCTTACTTTCACACACTGCGAGACAGTGCATGAGAGCTTTTCCTTCGAGATTGTAATTGATGAGTGCAGGACCGGCGCCAATGGACAGCGTCGCAAACATGACCATGAGGAACTCTGCAGAGTTATGCAAGTACATGGCGACTAAGTCCCCGGGTTGCACACCCTGCTCGAGCATCCATTGTGCGTAGCGAGCAGTTTGGTCGTGCAGTTCTTGGAAACTCCAGCTTCGTTCGCGCGTCCAGATGGCTCGGTCATTGGGCTGACGAGCACATGTCTCGGCGAGGATATACCATGGTGATACCTTATCATTTTTGACTACGGTAAAGGGTCAGCTGAATCATGATCGAAGGTGCGATATGCCATACCAGCCTGTGCGTAGACGCGTTCTGCCCTTTTTGATTTGAGCAGGGAACCGAGATCTCTTGTGAGTTGGTATTTGCCATCGAGGTATGTGGCCGTGGCCGCAGCAGCTGCTGCAGTGGCTGCTACTGTTCAGGAATTAGCTTTTGATACATACCTGTACATATGATAGTTGCTGGGGTGTATACGGACCCAACGCCATTGGCGGTGTCTCTCAGTTGTTAGGGTGATGGTGATGAAGCGGGAAGAATGTGTGCTTGACTGTTTGTTGGACAATGTTGAAGTAGCAGTGAAAGACCAACTCGTTGGTAGGTGGTGTAGTGAATGTCTTCCAAACACCTAGACCTTACCGAGCAGTCTGAACTACAACCTACAAGAGCCGGTCCACTACCCATGCCCCACCTATATGCGCTATCCTCGGGCCCTGGGTACGCGGCCTCGGCAGATGCCCAACAGGCTGCTCGGTGTTTGGTGTCACAAATTCACAGTTGCAAACATGGCTGCAACAATTGGTGCGTTCCAGACGTTTCATTCGGCACGGGCAGCAGGAGATATAGCCTAAAGCTGATCTGCCATTACGAATGCTCATTTTCGCTCTTCGTAGACGTCGAAACCTGGTATGAATGCCCGGGCTCTAGCATGATGAGGGCTGCGGCTACCATACCCTTCGAATTTTGACCAGGCGAGGATGCCAGGCAGTGAGCTTCTGGAACCTGGGATTGTTCGTGGAGCTGTCGTCTACGGCATACATGGATCTTGTGCAAGTGGAAGAAGTGATGTCTGGAGACGGGAGCAGAGTTGATTGGGATTGTGATCCCGGCTATACAGTCGGACCGAAGAGTTGTTCCTTTGCCGCTCTTCGCGAGAAAAGTTCAGATTCGGGGCGAGTCGAATTTGGGGAAGCTGTATACCACAACTACATTACACATTTCTGCATACAAGTCATTCACAATGGGAGTTGGTCGTCGCATGGGAAAGAAGCAGGCTGATCCTGGGCCTCTTGATGAATCGCTGGTAACGAGAAAGCGCAAGTCGGGCGCACCGACAAATGGAGCAATCAAAAAGCAAAAAGTGGTCGAGCAACGACCGCAAAAGCCTGCAAAGACGCTGAAGAGAGCGCAGACAAACGTCTCCAAGCAGACAGTGCCAGGAAAGCCGCTCAAGGTGAAGAAGGCGAAGAAAGCGGCAGCCGCTACTCCTCCCACAGACTCGGACGACGATGCGGCATCACTGAACGGCGATGCAATTGACGATCCAGACGTGCTCGAAGATGCTGTCGGCGGCATTGCAGAAGACCTTGACTTCGACGATGATTCTTTCGGCAGCGATGCGGATGACTTTGCCGATGCGCCCAGCGACGACGATGTTGATGTGTCGGACACAGAGATGCGAAAGGGCAAGATGTGGTCAGATGATGAGGATTCAGACGCGGAGGAGACACTGACGGCTGCCAATATTGCGGGTCTGTCGCGGAAACTGGACCAGGAGAGAGCGCAAGAGGCAGCAGAGGCAGCAGAGGAACTGCAAGACGATGCGCTGCAAACGAACATCGCTGCAGCAGAATTGTCCGACGACGAGGAAGGAGGAGCGCGGCTGGCACCAGACTTACAGCTCCTGCGCACGAGGATCACAGAGATCGTGCGTGTTCTAACCAGCTTCAAGGAGCTGGGAGAGCCGGGCAAGAGCAGAGCAGAATACACACAATCGCTCCTCAAGGACATTTGCACATACTACGGCTACTCTCCATTTCTCGCCGAGAAGTTATTCTCCCTCTTTCCGCCACAAGAGGCGCTACAGTTCTTCGACGCCAACGAGACACCTCGTCCCATGGTCATCCGCACAAACACGCTCCGCACGCATCGACGAGATCTGGCGCACTCCCTGATCAATCGCGGAGTCACCCTCGAACCTGTCGGGAAATGGTCCAAAGTCGGTCTGCAAATCTTCGAATCGCAGGTCCCACTCGGAGCCACGCCTGAATATCTTGCCGGACACTACATCCTTCAGGCTGCGTCTTCCTTCTTGCCAGTCATGGCACTCGCCCCGCAGGAACATGAACGAGTTCTTGACATGGCCGCCGCACCCGGAGGGAAGACCACTCACTTAGCAGCACTCATGCGGAACACTGGAGTCATCTTCTCCAACGACTCCAACAAAGACCGTGCAAAGGGTCTTATCGGTAACATCCACCGCCTCGGCGTCAAAAATACCATCGTATGCAACTACTCCGCTCTCGAGTTCCCCAAAGTCATGGGTGGCTTCGACCGCGTTCTTCTCGACGCTCCCTGCTCAGGAACGGGAGTCATCGCCAAAGACGCATCCGTCAAGACCAACAAAACCGAAGCTGATTTCCTCCGTCTCCCACACTTGCAAAAACAACTCCTCCTCGCGGCTGTAGATTCCGTCGACCACGCGTCCAAAACTGGAGGCTACATTGTTTATTCCACATGTTCCGTCACAGTAGAAGAGAACGAGCAGGTTGTACAGTACGTTCTCAACAAACGTCCCAACGTCAAACTCGTACCCACCGGTCTGGTATTTGGTAAAGAAGGTTTCACCAAATTCCAATCCAAGCGCTTCTATCCCAGCATGAAAGAAACTCGAAGATATTATCCCCATGCGTACAACGTGGATGGGTTCTTTGTGGCGAAATTCAAAAAGATTGCGGTCACGCCGACGAACGCCGTGAGAGCGCAAGGGAGTGCGGAGGAGAAGAAGCAACAACAAAAGCATTCTGGCAATGGCGAGGAAGAAGAGGAGATTGTAGACAACGAGGAGATTTTCGATGATGAAAAGAACAAGAACGCCGACGGAACAGAAAAAGATGCTGATGATGACTTTGGCGGGTTTGACAGTGAAGAGGATAACAAGGTCATGGAGCGACTGATGCGGAAGAAGTTGAAGAAGAAGGGCTTGAATCCGAATGCCAAGGACAGTAAAGCTGTCAAGACCATGTTGGGAGGAGGAGGGAAAAAGACGGCCGTGGTGAAATAAGCCAGTCGAGCAAGAAACTACCTCCATACATGTATCCACCTGATTGTTTCTTATAGCAAAGGAAGAAGAAAGATCTAATGAGCTTTTTTTCCCCCGTAGAAAAAATACTGCTGTGCTTCTTCTCTTAGCCGCTCTTGATACTTGTGTGTATTTGTGTCTGTGTCTCTCTCTCTCCCCCGTCCGCCGACAACCCAAAGCAAAAGTATAAGGCACACCTACCTGGAGAGACATGCCTCCATAACACCTACATCCTACATTCTATATACATCTTATAAAAACAACCCGAGAGTCAATATACCTTATATACCTACCTTTATTGACTAATTAAATCAATATACCTTACCTTACCTTACCTTACCTTACCTTACCTTAGTACAGGTAGAAAGAAGTAGAAGCAGAACTAGAACTAACTGAGGAGGTAGTACTAAGATACCTGGGCAAGGTACATGTAGCGTCAGGTACCTCCTGTACCTACAGCAGGTATGTAGAGTATATTTGTAACGTAGTCTCTTCATCCAAGTAATCAATTGATGAATGAATGAATGAATGAATGGCAAGTCGATGCCTACCTACCTAGGTAGAATGAATGTGTGTTCTACCTCCCATGTTGATACCGTACCTAGTCAGGAGAAGCCGGGAGATTCACCGCTAGGAGCTCGTCCCGATATCGCCCGGCTAGCAGCGATCTGCCTAAACACAACAGGAGGAGACGGAAAGAGATAAGAGAGAGAGGCGGTAAATCATGCTGGTGTCTTTTCATTCCTTCGTAGCTACAATACGAGCTGCGACAGTTGACTCCTCCCTTGAGCAATGCGCTCTTCGCGCTTTGATTCGAGGTAGCTTCTCGGTTTGTGTCCCATCGTTACTATGCTTACATGTTTTCCTGCCAGTGGACCGGTCGTTCATCCTTCTTCTTCTTCATCATCAGACGCCTCGAGCGCCATCGCTAAAACCCATCAAACGTCGACACCGTCAACGACGATGCCCTTCTTCCAAGTGTAGCACATCTTGCGAGCCACCTCTTCGGCGGCATCATCAGACACCAAAGCGCCGACCATGTACAGAGCGCCGTCGATGCCGGAGGTGACACCGGAAGTGGTGAGCACACGCATGCCACCCAGACGCAAGTTGGCGCGCTTCAGTACGGACTCGCGACGGGTACTCATCTTGAGGCTCATGCTGCCCTTGCGGGCAGTGGACGGGCGGCGGCCGTTGGTGCCATTGGTGCTACCATTGGTACTCTCCTCGATGGGAGCCATACCAGCCGAACTCTTGCGGCGCTTTTGCTCCTTGAGCTCCTTTCTGTTCAAGATGTATGGATTCTCGTCCTCATTCTCTCCGAGCTCGTAGCGGAGGTTGTTGACCACGTAGCGCGCCTCGACCACATCGACGCGGTCAGACATGTCGCGCTGGGTCACGTTGGAGCAGAGAATCTCGAATTTGGTGATGGAGTCTGGGTGGGTGGTGGCTGTGAGGCCGGCAAGCACGCCGGCTTCGGCGAGAATGAGCGCGCCAGTGCACACGGACATGAGCGAGCGTTCGCGGGTGGGAGTCTTCTTCTGAAGCTCGGTGTAGGCTTTGATCAGCGACAGTGGCTGGCTCTTGCTCTTGATGACGGACGCGTAGTTGCCGCCTGGAACCACGAGAATGTCGATCTCGCCCAAGCGTTTCAGAGCGTCGTCGTAGGTGAAGTGGCTGCTGATGGTGACACCCTGAGCGGTGGTGACGCCGTCTGCTGGGCCTGCGAGTCTGACGAGAAATGCCTTGGTGTCTGTGGAAGCTCCCAATGTCAGTGCTGCAACGACTCGTCTCGGAGTGATCGGAGGGCCCGGTGCATACCTGGGTTGGCTGGATCATGTTTTGCCGCATTGAAGACCTCGAGTGGACCTGAGGACGGGGGTATTCTGTCAGTGTGCTGCTGTGCAATCAACGGGCCAGCAATGCTCATGTCCTACCCATAGCGTCTAGCGTGTCCATTCCCTCGTGCTGTCACGACACCTCAGTCAGCACCTGATCAAGCTGGAGACTAATATGTAGCTCTGATGCATCGGTATGGCACTTACGAGGGTGATGAGAACCTTGACCGGCTCGTAGTCGGCGGCTTCCTCAACGATTGCACTCATCTTGACGGTATTGCAGGTGTGTTTGGTGGACTGTGAATGATGGTGATGGAGATGAAGGAGGAGGAGGAGGAGGAGGAGGAGGGGATGCAGGAGGATGAGGCTTAAGTCAAAGAGGAAGGAGCAAGCTCTTCTTGTATTATGGAGGATAGCGGGGATGGCACAGTCAGGGAAGGTATGATCAGCCCATTGGTTCTACCTATGACTGATCTCGTGTGACGACGCTCGTGACCTCGTCTTCACTTCCATGCCAGAAAAGAAGCTCGTAGCTCTGTCCCCTCGTTTACCCTGGGAAAGTTTGTGGGGTGCATACAAGAAACACGCTAAGGAGGACTTGGATCGACGAAGGGCATTGCGCTGCCTTGGACCAACGATGAAAGGCATTGGAACTGCGGACGAGAGTACCTCTATGCTTGCTCCGGAGCACGTCTACCAAGATCACGGTCCGTATTTCTCATGCTGAGTTGTCGTCCTCTCGATCGCCCCACGCGTTGCATGTCATACCCACATAGCTACCTATCGTTTAATCTCCTTTGTATGGCGGTACGGCTCGGCGACATCCGGACATGTCATGGTTTCATAAGTCGATCACCCCACTTGTGGTTACAATGTGGTGGTATACCTCCTGCACGTCCACCAATGAAGGACTATATGGATATTGCTGTAGCTGCAATGCTGCAGGCAGAAATATGAAGAAAGCTCGTGGGATTTCTCGGCTCATATCTGGCGAATGCTCGTCATTGCGGGTGTACTCTACTCTCCATAGGTATTCTTGCCCAATGTCTGATTCTGCGTGCTTTGCTGACGTGAGATGGATGCCCTTTTGGGGCAGGAAGCCCTGGAACGGCTGCACCGTTAAAACTGTGCCGTCTCAACAATCAATGTCCATTCAAGAGCGGCGCCTCTTCTCCATCGCCAAATGCATCATCGCCATACTTCTCCTTCATGCTTGCCTTCCTCACGTACATGAACCACAAGTATGCACCTGTGAAGAATCCGCCGCCCACAATATTGCCAAGCGTCAGTGGCAGCAGGCATTTCCACAGAAAGCCTCCCACACTCAGTGGCGAGCCTAACATCATCCCGACGCTCGACAGGTACATGTATTCGACCGTGTGAGGAAACCTCGCAGTTGCCGAAATCATGAAAGGGAAGTGTAAGAACAGCAGCTTGCTGATTCCGTCCTGGTTCTGGGTTCCCAAGAACATGGCCATCGTGACAAGCCAACCGCAAGCAATAGCCCGAACGAATAGAACGTGCCAAGCAGGATTGATAATGTCGGTTTCAATCTGCTCAACAATTGAGTGATGCCATGGGCTCTCCTCCAAAGCCTCGGTAACAGTTGTAAACAGACTCGCGAATATGAGCGCGCCTGCTAAGTTCCCCAGCCAAGAAGCTATCGCACCTTTCACGTAGTCCAATGGCCTGCCTCTCCGTTCCAAAGCTAAGATGGTGTGCCACATTGGATAGCCTGTGAAGAGCTCAGCTCCAACGAGATAGACCAGAACGAGACCGAAGGGAAAAGCGACGCCGTGCAACAACCGCTCGACACCAGCATTGTCTGGAGACAGATCTTGGACGCCTCCTCCGAGGAGAATGGAGAAGAGGCCGCCGGAAGATAACAGGAGAGCGCCGTAGACGTTCTTGATGAATGTGGTGACTTGATCCTCTGAGAGGTGCTCCAGTCCGGTCTGCAGAACTGCAATGGCTGCCTCTTTGGGAGGGAGGCTACCTGTGGATGGCGGCATCTTTCTATGCTATCGGTCTTGTGATTCAGGTACTGTATTGCCCGTGTCTCAGCTGCGACTGTGGTGCAATCGCGGTAGGTATGTAGATACAGGTACCTACCCGACCAAGTCTAGTTTCGCTGACGTAATTATTTTGCTGGGTAAGGTACCTGAGGTCACATGCCTACAACATCCATACCTGTACCTGAGGTACATACCTAGATTGCAATACCTCTTTGGACTGAAGCTCAAGTTGTCGCCTGCTTACTGGCACCTAGGTCGCGGGCGACAACGGCAGAGCGGTGGTGTCGATGTATCCAACACATGTATCCTTGAAGCACGACATCATTAATGTACCTGGTATTTTCGAGGTTCCAGCCACATTTTGGATCCGACGTTGCCGTCATACCCGCTCGAACTCTTCACTCTCCGCCATACACCCATCTGCTGTACACGACTGGAGAATGTCCACTAATGGCAATCACGAAGCTGTCGGAACGAAACGATCGTTGAGTCCCGATGAAGACGACAGCCATGCGACGCCGCAGGTCGGCCGACAGAGAAGTCGCGTTGCATGTACTCCATGTCGCGTACGCAAGCGCCGCTGCGACGGAAGACTGCCGTGTGCCACCTGCGTGAGATATGAGTACCAATGCGAGTATGACCAGAAGGCGAAACGTCCATCACTGCCCAAGGATGCGGATGTGGCAGCGATACCGCCACCAGCGCCAGTCGTGGGCAGCACTGCGCCCAGCATCATTCAGCTACAGAAGCATCCACTGACGGCACCTGGCGCTCGTTTTCATCATCGTGGTATCCTGGACCCCGTCAAGACTCGCTTTGTGAGAGCAAACTCGGCCATCGCATTTCCTCGTATCCTGGGCATGGACCTCGAATCAGACAGCATACCCAGACTGCACTCCTTTGCCTGGAATCTGGGTATTCGTGCAGAGCCGGACGAGCCTCCCACTAATGTCACAGAACACATGACCTGGGCCGAGTTCCAGACTCTGTCTGCAGCGTACTTCAAGTTTGTAAAGCCACAGTTTGGGCTGCTCGAGGAGGCAGATTTCATGGAACAAGTGGCTCCCCGGTTCGCGGACCCTGCGGGCGTCAAAGATATCGACTGTGTTGCGCTCGGTGTCGCCGCGTTGGGCTCCTTTTTCTCTGCTACGCCGCATCCGAAGGAGGTGTCATTCATGTTCGACGCAAGAAGGGTGTTGGTGCAGCGGAGTGTCAGCAACTCTCCTACGCCAAATCACGTCGCTGGTTGGATTTTGCGGACCATCTATCTACGACTCACCTCGCGACCGCATGGCGCGTGGATCTCCAGCTGCATCACCATGCATCAAGTGGAAGCTGGAGGATTGCACAAGGAGATTCAGACGATCGCTGTCGTGTACCCTCAAGTACCCACTAATGATCACAAGCTGGCAAAGAATCGTAGAAGACTCTTCTGGATTGCTCGGGCATTGAATACCATTCTCTCTTTCGAATATGGACGCACAAGAGTCAACTTCGATGTGGTCACCACGAAGAAGTTTGCACCGGAGAATGGTAGTCAAGCCCACCAATTCGTGGAACTCGCCGACCTCTTACCCAACGACTTTGTTGATCGTGACCGAGAACCGGACCCTCCAGCAGCATTGGGCAAAGCTCTTGACAAGATCGAGGCTATGCAGACAGAGTCCAGCTTTATATCTCTTCTCAAAGCGGATCTTTCATTCGCCATTTACCGCAGGTTGTGGCTGATGAGTTTGACAGATGCAAAGGATCGTGCAGATACTGTCATTAGTATTGGCAAAGCTGCACTGCCAGCGGCGTCGAAGCTACTGGCAAGCAGAACGCCCTGGTGGAATGTCATATGCACCCCTTTCCAGCTGGTATGTGTGGTGATATCTGTCGGGACGCCCAGAAGCCTTTCGCACATTCAGGAGATTATGAACTTGATGCACAACATCGCACGGGTGTACGACACTCACATGGTGCGCGAGGCATACACGCAGGCTACCGCTCTCATTGCCATGGCAAAGAAGCGCAAGCAAAAGGAACTCGATGCACTCAATGCCATACCGGAGAATCCGCCCTTTCCGACGGATTATCCGTCGACTGGGCAGAGTAGCATACTGTCAGACGCTCCGAACATCGACTGGGCTATGGATCTCCCTTTTGAATGGGATATGTTCCTGAACCCGGAGCTTGTGGTGTCCAGTCAGCAACCCATGCCGCCAATCAACACGTATGCGAACCAGTTCAATCCCTCGCAGGCACCTTGAGACTTGCCATGACCGACGTGATGGCAGTTCACATGTTCCGGCAGATGCTGTGTGATACGAGCACAGCACATGCTTCCTTCCGCTCTCCAGTCGGTCTGACGAATCACTGATACAGGTACCGGCGAATACCCAGTTCAGCTTACACGCCGGGTGGTACATCCTTCACATACCACTACGCTTGTCTTCTTGGACGCATAGGCACGTCGATCTGCAACGCAGGTCAAGTGGCAAATGTGACGAATCAGCGGCCTCATATGTTGCACTCCTCCATGATCGACATCCTTGCAGCTTGGCATGGCTGCGGGATAGCTCCAGATAGCTGGTCGCTCGCTTAGGCTATCAATGGCACCACAGTGAGCGTCCTTATCTTTGGCACGTGTATGAGTCGACATACAGCTGTTTCCGTGTCTTTGCGGGCGTCCTGCCTATTGTAGGAGGTGTGATATACGATCATACCTTATACCAGATACCACGTCGGACGTCGCCTTGAGCGGAACGTTGTGTGAGACATATAAATGCTACCGTGTGGCCACCAAGTATGTTGGAGCAGCAAAGTCCCAGATCTTACAAACTCCAGGTCCGCAATCGCCGCCCTCAACACTGTCGCCTCTCCACAAGATGATGAAGTCTGCTATCCTCTTCGGCCTTGTTGCCTGTGCTGTGGCTGCGCCTACGCACCATGAGGTGATCAAGAGAGGAAACTTGCCTACGCCAGTCTCAGCAGCGACGGCCAGGTCTTATCTGAGCTCGATTCCGACAGAGGCGGAAAACAACAGCCCAGCTTACGATCGCGACCTATTCAACCATTGGATCACCATTTCGGGCAATTGCAACACTCGCGAGACTGTACTCCAGCGTGATGGATCGAATGTCGTGACTGACAGCGCATGTGCCTCCACTTCCGGCTCGTGGTACTCTGACTACGACGGTGCAACATGGACGGCGGCCTCTGACGTGGACATTGATCATCTTGTCCCCTTGAGGGAGGCTTGGGTGTCGGGTGCTCGTAACTGGGACAATGCTCGGCGACAGCAGTTCGCCAACGAGTGAGAGCTGTTCCAAGGACATTCATCTCACAGTCTCTTTGCTAATGCCCTTCAAGTATCACTCGACCACAGCTGCTGGCCGTGACCGACAACGTCAACCAGAGCAAGGGTGACCAAGATCCTGCAGAATGGCTTCCCAGCCGTACGGCATATCAATGCACATATATTCGTAAGACATTCGGAGTGTGCCGTCCCTCTTGAGGACGTGATGACGCTAATTCTACCTGTAGGTGCTTGGGTTCAAGTCAAGTACTACTACGGCCTGAGCATGGACAGCGCCGAGAAGACGGCAGTGACTAACATTCTGAATGGATGCTAGAGATTGGCAGACATATACAAAAAAGCAGCTTCTTTTGATCGGATCCAAAAAGCTTTTGAGTCGACGTCTCGTCTCCTACTCGTACCAGAATAGAACTAGCTAGTCCAGCCCAATCTAGTCATTGTAGGTACTATACCATATCACATCAATCCATGTTCATCATAAGATTTAGACAGGTATGTACCTTACAACCGTTCTCAAACAGCCCCACCCTCACACTCTTTCCTTCCCTCCTTCCCTCCTTCCCTCCTTCCCTCCTTCCCTCCTTCCCTCCTTCCCTCCTTCCCTCCTTCCCTCCTTCCCTCCTTCCCTCCTTCCCTCCTTCCCTCCTTCCCTCCTTCCCTCCTTCCCTCCTTCCCTCCCTCCTTCCCTCCTTCCATCACTCACAACCCCAAATGATTATCCCCCGTCTGCTCCTTCCCCCCAAACCCCTCTCCCTTTTCCTCCTTCCCATCATCATCAACATCAACAACCCCTTTCCCATTCTTCTTCCCACGACCATCATTATCAAAAGATTTCAAAAATTTCCCTTCTCCCCCTTTCCCAATCCCCTCGAATTCCGCCGTACGTCGTACTTCCATGAGCGCTTCTCCGTGAGGATTTCCTATCGCTTTGGTTACGTGTCCGAGAGGTGCGAGCGTGTAGGAGAGGAGGTTTCCGAGTGGGTCGCCGAGGGCGGAGAGGGGGCCTTTTTGGGGGGGGTTAGTATGAGGAAGAGAAGGGAGGAGAGGGGGGAATGGGGGATTGGGGATGGACCTTTTTTGTCTGTGCCGAGGGGCCCGTCGGGGGCTTGGTTGGGGACTTTGTTGAGGAGTTTGTCCATTTTGCTTTTTTTTTGTTTTGGGTCTTTTTTTTTTTGAGGGGGTCGGTGGTTGGTGGTGGAGACTTGTTTGGGGATTTTGTTGTTGTTGTTGTTGTTGTTTAGGTCTTCTGAAGTGGTTTGATGCTGGCTGCTGCTGCTGTTTGCTTGTTCCTGTTTCACTGCCTGACAGACTACTTGTAACTCTCCTGATAAATGTGAATGGTTCTCATAACCAGCAGTGAGGACTGTATATCCATCCATCCATCTCATACCTTATATGCCCTGTGATATCATGCCACACATGAATCAAGAAACGTCGATGTAACCTACTGTACTCCATACATGTACCTGTTATGTACAGAGCAATAAGATACCTTCCAAGGTACAGGTAGAGGCTACATTATGACGAAAGAAAGAATCTTCGCCTTGTGACTACGACATGTACCTACATGTACGAAGAGGTAATACCTTATAATTCGAACAGGGGCCATAAACAAGAAAAAAATCCTCCGTTTTTCCATGTAGTGCGACCTTGTACGACACAACTACTACATGTAGTCTCTGATGAGAGAAATAAAATTCTGCGCATATGAACATGTTTTTTTTTCTCTTGTTTTATACCGATACCCTAGTGTTGCACGACGGGGAGCTGAACAGGTACTTGCCTTACTATAAGGTATACATACCTAGGTAGGTACTTGGAGTCCCCGAGTACAGTATCGGCGAGAGGAAGGATGAAATTAATGAGTTGCTTTGTCGGGGAGATTTTTGGTTGTTTTTCTTTGGATGAGTTGAGTTGAGGTGGTACAACCTAGGTATATGTAAGATAGACTGGTGTTGTTCATGACGACGTGATGTACACATAGGTAAGTACATAATGTACCTATATACCTTGCCTGAGTATCAAGATACACGAGGAGACAAACCCCCCCTTCGATCTTGACATGAGCTGTGGCACAGAGCTTATCATTAGCATGGCTGGCATATGACCAACATGAGGTACCTCCTACTATGTTCTTTATCAAGACAGGCAGGCAATGCTGTTGGTTCTTCTTACGAGTTGCTGAGCTGATGGCTGATGATAGGCGACATTCTGTTGTTCCATGTGTCCGTACGAGGGATCATGTGTCCGAGAAGGGGATTGGAGGGATGGGTATCTCTTGCCGTGGTGCTGCCGAGAGATATGGCTCGATGTTCAACTTTTCCAGGATAGCAGTCGTATGCATGTATACAACGTCTTTCACTCTCCAGGGCGATAGGAATTATATATACATCTTCTTCTTCACGGAGCTGGCCGCCGCACGCGAACTACACATCGCTCTTCTCTAACGCAGACTCCTGGTAAAAAGACAGCGTCATATAGAAAAAAACAGTCACGCATGGCTCGTGCGATTTGCCTTTTGTGGGGATGTCTCAGGCTGCGGAGAACCTGGTGGGAGAACCTGGTGTAAGATTCTAGGGTTTTGCGAGAACAATGGTGTTTTCACTTTTTCAGCCGGTCAAATACCGCATTTGCCGAAAAGCTACATCTCACGATACAAACCCGAGACGGCTAGTGACATATAAGGTGGGTAGTACATGAGAGTAGTACAACAAGTACAGTACCGGAGAACAGAGGACTGTTGTTCCCGCTGTACTTTCTCGGGGGCACATCTGGTCTCCTACCTCCATACTAAGTTACTACACGCCCTCTGCTAATTGTTGACAGGATGACAACGTGTTCACACTCCTTTCGAAAAGTCTTCTACCTCCTACGCTGGGGCTAGGGTTTGGTGCTTGGCTTGATATATCTCTCCCGGGCCAAGTCGCTCGATCTGGTTGTCCCGTGAACCTTCTTCAGCCTTCCTAGAGGTAAGACCTGATGATAATAAGACTAATAAGGTAGTATTAGAGACATCTTCACAGTAGGGTTCGGCCAAGATGCGTAAAGTTTCCAGTCACGTTCGGCAAAGGCCAAAAGTAACTTCAGGCAAGTCGACGTAGGGCCATTGCAAATGCGGGGACTTACTAGGAGGTAGGAGGTAAGTTAGACCATGGAGTGGGGGACTCACATGAATGAGGCCGGCCTAGAGGTTGGAGGTACGAGAGTCTATTAAGAAGTGGTGTGTCCTTCATCATCAGGAGAGGATTTGGTATTTGGTCACTCCCGTCTTCTCTCATCGACAAACAGCAGCACAGGAGATTTGATCGATCAAGCAACCCGATATGTCGTCCGCAGGCAGCTTGGGTGGCCTCATGGCGGGCACCCTCAGCTATTGGCTCTATTTCCACCGCTTCGAAGTTCACCTGCTGGGTCTCAGGATATTAAACACCTTTCTGGGCTGCAGCATTGCTCTGGCAATCACTCTCTCCAAGGCCTATTCCTACACTACCGCACAAGCACTAGCCACGACACTGGCCATTTCCTCGTCCTTTCTCATCGGAGCCTATGGCAATTGTCTGATCTTCCGCCTGTTCCTCAATCCACTGAACAAGTTCCCCGGTCCCTTCGCCGCGAGAATCTCCAGCATGTGGTGGCCCACGCAACTGGGCAACTCTGACGGCTACTATTGGCTTCTAGAGCAGCATCAGAAGCATGGCAAGTACGTCCGCGTGGGCTCTAACGATCTCTCGATTATTGATCCCGATATCATGGAATTGGCATATGGCCACAAATCCCGCGTCACCAAAGCTCCCTGGTACGACAATGACTATCCCCTCACTTCCATGCACACCTCTCGCGACAAAGGTCTGCATGATCGAAGACGACGCGTCTGGGCACCAGCCTTCTCCGAGAAGGCACTGCGAGACTATGAAACGGAAATTCAGAAATTCAACGATAAATTCATCCGCAAAATCAGTGAGCACAACGGTGGTCCCGCGAACATCACCAAATGGTTCAACCTCTTCTCCTTCGACGCCATGGGACTTCTCGCATTCGGACGCGACTACGGCATGCTGGACAAGGGCGAAAAGCCACACGAGCTCGAAATGTTGGACGAAGGGATGCAACCCTTGGCATATCGTCTCCCCTCCTGGTTCTTCCGCATCCTCACATCGATTCCAGGCCTCGCAGCAGGGTATCAAAAGTTTGTCGATTTCTGCATCAGCGAGTTGACATGGCGCGTCAAAAATGGCGGCAAGCGCGAAAGCGACATTATGGGATGGTTATTGAAAGCCTACAAGGACGTCCCACATCCCGAACGCGACACGATGCTGCAGGCCGATGCCCGTCTGATCATCGTGGCAGGCAGCGATACCACCGCTGCGACCTTCACATACATGTTCTACCACCTCGCCCAAAACCCCGAATGTGTGAAGAAGCTCCGAGAGGAACTCGATCCTCTGACACAAGGCGAGTGGCAAGAAAAGGATATTCGAGGTGCGCAATACCTCAACGGATGCATTAATGAGGCCCTCCGTCTTCACCCTCCTGTCCCATCGGGCGTCAACCGCCTCACACCCCCCGAAGGCCTGACTGTCGGCGACGTCCACATTCCCGGAAACGTCACATTTTTCACTCCCCAATACGTCATGGGAAGAGGTCAGTAAACACACCACCCAGCCAAACCAAACCCCCCCAAAAAAAGACCCCCTACTAACCAAAAACCCCCATTCTAGACCCCTCAATCTACACCTCCCCCAACACCTTCCTCCCCGAACGCTGGTTCGACGCCTCAGCCTCAACAACCATCAAACACAAAGACGCTTTCACACCCTTTTCCGCCGGGCCATTTGGCTGCATAGGAAAAAATCTGGCACTCATGGAACTCCGCACGCTCACGACGAAATTGGTGAAGAAGTTTGATTTGAAATTGGCGGATCATGAGGATGGAGAGAGATTGTTGAAGCAGACTAAGGATCATTTTACGGTGGATTTGGGGGATTTGGAGGTTTGTTTTTGGGAGAGGGGGAGGGGGAATTGAAATGAAATGGAATGGAAGGGGGGTGGTAGCGTTTGTGTTGTTTGTGTATGTGTGTGTATGTGTGTGTGTGTGTGTATATGTGTGTATGATGACCTATCTACCTACCTTACTAAAAGAACTTTCAGTCGTTTTCTTTCCCTCCTCTTCCTCTTTATATATCTAGCTAACCAATCTACCTACCTAAGGTACCTATCTACCTACCTACTTACCTTACCTTCCTTTTAATCTAGAAAATCTTATTTTCGCTTATTTTCGAAGAACTTTTCTTTCGGGAGGTTTTGTAACAGAATAGTGCCCATAAGTGACGTTTAATTTTTATTGTAATTGGGAAAATTTTAGATTGAAATCAGTGTTGGAGGGGGGGGAGTGATTGATGTGAAAGAAAGTTGACTGGAGTGAGTAGAGAATTCGATTTGTGTGAAAAAGTGAAAAGTGAAAATGGTGGGGAGAGAGAGAGAGAGAGAGAGAGAGAGAGAGAAAGACGAGCTCAGGGTGGAACGTGGTGAAAAAGTCGCAGCGGGAAAACAGGTTCCTACTTTTTTGTTCGTATGTATATATACACATCTGATGTACAACAAAAAAGTACTCAACAGGACTACTACCACCATACTCGTTTTCTTACCGCTTCGCAGGCCTCGCCGCCGCCCTCTTCTCATACGCATCCGCTCTCTTCTTGAACTCAGCCTTTTCGGCAGCTTTCTTCTGCTCGGGCGTTTGCTCACTCATACGACTGACTGCTTGCTTGCCTTGATCGAATCTATCCTTTGCTTGCTCAAAGATGCTCTTCGGTGGTGCGCGCGGTTGTACCATGTCGCTTTTGGGGGCCACCAGCGTTGTGTCAATTGTCCGTGGGCTGCCGCGCGCAGTCCGGATCTTGGGAGACTGATACTGAAGCTTCATGTACGCCGCGTTCTTTCCTCCAGCATGAGGAGCTTCGGGTGCCGATGTATCGGCCGTCTTTCCGCTCCTTGCATCCAGAAAAGCCTGAAAAGGATTCTCAGGTCCCTCGCCGGGTTTTGGTTTGTACAATGGCGCGAGTCCAAAGTACTTTCTCACGGCCGGTTTCTGAAGTGCCATCGCTTGAGGAATACCAATGATACCGGTTCCGAGAAACCAGAGAGCCACAGCTCCTGATTGATATGATGTAAAGATCATGATCATGACTGGAAACGCCCACATCATGAATTTCTGCATTTCAGGCGGCATGGTGCCAGTTTCGCCTCCCAGCCGAAAGACCACGTGCATCGAGCCTGCCATCATGAGCGGAAGCAGGAGATAACCATCTGTCATGGTAAGATCCTGTAGCCAGAGGAAACCTCCATCGACCAAGCCTGGAACAGGAAGCGTTGCCATATTTTTCAACAATCGGTACCCGCAGAAACCCAATACTGCCTGTCCGACCATCGGCGAATACATGGCCCAGCCCGTGATTCCTGCCCTCTTCTTGATCGCTCTCGTTTGACGCCACACTGCCATCTGAGCAGTCGGGTTTCCTTCCTTCCGCGCCGCAACCATCTGTTGATTCAAAGGTTTCAAGACCGACGCCAAAGCTGCCGTACGGGCCATTGCATCTGACCCCTTGAGATAGAAGGGGAATAGCATGAGGCGTAGCCCTGCCGCTGTGAGCACGATCGATGCCCACCAGGGAAGACCGAGCGAGATGTGGGCGTGTTCGATGACCCATTGGATCATGGATGTGATTCCATAGCCATAGTCGACTCCCACCGCGTGGAGATAGCCGATCTGCTCGGGGATGGCGCTGGGGTCTACGATGGCATTCTTGGCAACTTCATCGATCGTGATAGTGTCGATGTTGGAGAAGGAGGTAGTTGAGTCTGCGACGGGGGGAGGTGGAGGAGTTGTTGCTGCTGCTGGAGGAGGAATTGGCTGAGTGGAGGCATAGCGGAAAGCGGCAATGGACGGAATGGCGATTCGTGTCGTTCGGGGAAATGGTATTGTCGTTCGTGATGATATAGGAGCGGTGCGGAGGTGAGATCGCGGAGTTGATGGTGATGATGAGAGCTGGACAGAGCATTAGTGTTGTCGCGTGGAGAGACGAAAGATGTGGCAGTGATACATTTCGACATTGCGCTTGGTATATTCGTGGCAGCTTGCCGCGAAGGGCATTCATGCCCCTACTCGGCATCATGGTGGTGAGGTTGGTGTCAGCAAGAGCAAAAAGTTGTCGTCGGAAAACAGCACAGAGTAAAGTTCAAGTAACGCAAAGCAAAGCAAAGCGCCAAGCATTCTCCGCGTCGTGTTCACATGCATGCGACATGCTTTTGGCGGGAACTCCATCTCGATAATTTCCAAACATGCATGTCTGACCTGATACATGTCCCTATCAGATCTCTCGACAACGCGCCTGAGGTGCCAAAGAATGAATACTAAGGTCTCTGAGCATCGAATCTCGCTGCCCTGTTGCAGCTATCTATAAAGGAGACATGATACACAAATACACTACTTATAGGATCCGCGTACTGATATCGATAACAGCAAAAACGTACAATTAGATACGAAATTCAACGTCTAGTCTTCTTGACTAACCTCCGGCTAGGTATTCTATATACTCTATTAAGGATCTGACTAGAGTACAAGTATATTAGGCTAATCGAAGAATATCTCAAATTCTTATAGTTAGAATAAAACCCTTTACGCAAGTATAAAGCTCTAATTCAGACTCGCAATCAACTACTATTAGAGTATATAACAATTTTAGGGGCGTAGAGTATAGGATTAATATGTACTAAAGGAACTTGTTATATTACCTAGTAGGTATATAGTAATTGCTAGGCTAGACTCTAGAATTACGGTTTGTATTCCTAAACATCCTCGACATTATAGTTCCCTCCTCTCGACGGATTCGCTCCGAGTATTCGTCCTAGCGACGCTTTAGATACTAAGTAACCTATAGGAGCGCAATACGTCTTCTCTTCTTTGAAATTACCTCTACCTGAACCTAATAGAAACGCTTACTATATAGGAGAGGGAAGTCGGGATATTTCGAATATACTATAGTAGAGGCAGTAGTATCGGTAGTACATATAGAGCAGAATATCGTCTTAAAGGCGTGCTTTGTATATCCTGCTATATAGTGTATTCTGTATATCATTATCTGTTGTGGTTCAGATGATTGTATTGTCACCACGCCGATGGCCTGAGGCTTGACAAGAGAACGAAGATTTCATAGTGCGCTTCGAGCAACTCCCCCAACGGTGTTTCGATGTCTGGCTAGTCCTACGCATTTTTCATCATAACTGCGCAGGCTCGTCTGTGAAGACAATGCTCCGTCGGAGGAAGAGCGCGCGTAGTAAAGTCTGGCTTAGCAAAGAACGCCGCTGGCTGACGAGCTCTAAGCGTGACCTCGCTGCCAATCTTGCGCTCTCGTGGCATCCCTACGATCGGACTCTGTGATGCCGCGCCACTACTTGTGGACGTCTCCTGGCCGTCCTGGGTGTCTTCGGCAGTCAATTACAGCTGTCGATCAGCCTTCTCTTGACAGCAATGTACCTTGACGATGCCTCGACAAGCCTCACTGCTAGTGACTTCATGATGTCTTGCCTTCGTGGACGCCATCTCAAGGTGCATTGTCCATGTCCACGTCTCCTGCACTCGCTTGAGCACTACTGTTCGCTTCACCGTCTTGCACCTCGACCACATCCTCTTCCGATGGCATACCTTCCTCTCCCGCTCTTTCGACCTCCTTGCCACCAGCTTCGAGCAGATATTGCACCACGTCATTCTTGTCAGCCCGTTCCGCCTCGAACATGGCCAAGTGACCAGCCGTATTCTTCTGCCACATATCTGCGCCAGACGCAATCAATGCCTTGACAATTTCGAGATGTCCGTTGTACGCGGCCCAGTGCAGTGGCGTATTTCCCTCCTTGTTGCCGCGATTGACGAACTCGATGGGAGATCCTTCTGTGGCTCCAAGTGCAGATAACAGACTCGGAAGTAGCTGCGTTAAGCCATTTGCCGAGCAGAAGTGCAGCACGGTGTTGCCGCTCTCCGGATCAACTGCAGCCTCAAGGACATCCTTCTGAGAGCACGAGTATTTTTGCGCCAGCTCAGTAATCGTCTGCTGTAGCTCCTGCGCTTCATTCGCTCGAGTGAAGTACAGTAAGTCGTCGACCTCGTCGAAAGTGAGTGCCGGGAGTGCGGTAGAATGCATCTTCAACAGCTGTGCCCGTGTTTGGATTGTGTCGGGTGGTGAGTAAGGTACATGTAGTCGAGAAGAACATTCAGGTATGCTGTCATCAGATGTGAACTTTTCCAATGCCAAGCAGTAGCACGTGAAACTCAACAAGGTTGCGGCAGTACCTGCATATCACCCGCTGCCGCCATTGCGAACGCCCCACCCGGCTCCCTGCGTCTCCCCAAAGAACATGAAAACATCGTACGAGGCATCGATGACCTTTGCTGTAGGAGGTATACCTTATTTACTCGTCACTCGACCGACATCTTCTCACAGTGCATAACGCTGCAACGTTGAAGACAACATGGCGATCAAAGACCGCACATCGATAGCAGTATCCGAGACCAGGATGAATGGTCAACAGAATGGTCACGCCAAATCCATCACATCCAAAACAGACTATCGGAGATGGCGCCTGAAAGATGACAGAGGTCGCCAAACATGGCATTACTTGACCTCCGACGAAGAGATCAAACAATGGCCCCAGACTATTGCCGATAAATATCACCTCGGCCTCGACACTGTATGTAGGGAAAATAACCTGTAGATCGATCGCCATGCTTCTGCCGCTTGCTTGTGCTGACAGGACGCTTCTTTGTCACCTCTAGGGACTTCCGGATCTACCCAAGGCGAAGACACCTTTACAAGCGGCAGAGAATGGGATTAATTTCTTCTCGAAACTCCAACTTGAGCCTGGAAATTGGGCCTGCGAATATGGAGGGCCTATGTTTTTGCTTCCTGGTTTTGTCATTACATTGTATGTCATTGATATGCCACTGACGCAGCCCGAGCAGACTGAAATTGTGAGATATGTGTTCAATATGCAGAATTGGGGCGAGAAGAATGGAGGTGACGGCGGCTGGGGCTTACATATTGAAGGCGACTCATCGGTGTTCGGGACCGCCATGAACTACGTTGTGTTGCGTTTACTCGGAGTCTCTGCCGATGAGCCACGGATGGTCAAGGCACGGGAATGCCTCCATAATCTGGGCGGTGCTGTCTATGGACCTCACTGGGCGAAGTTCTGGCTTTCCGTTCTTGGCGTTATGAAATGGGACATTGTCAATCCTGTCCCACCGGAATTGTGGTTGCTACCGGACTGGGTACCGATAGCTCCATGGCGATGGTGGATCCATATGCGAATGGTATTCCTACCAATGAGCTACATTTGGTCCAAGCAATGGACGTATCCACGCGCAGACTCCGATCCTCTGATCCGAGAACTGCGACAAGAACTGTTCACATCTCCTCATCGAGAAATCAATTTTGCTGGCCACCGCAACTCAATTAGCCCTGCCGATAATTACCACCCGAAGACTTGGGTCCTGAACTTGATCAACCTCCTCCTCGTCTGGATATGGATACCTTTTATGCGATGGGATGGTCTGATCAAGAAAGCAGAGGACTGGGTCTGGTTTCTCATCTCCCGAGAAGACGAGAACTCAGATTATGGCGATTTGGCACCTGTCAACGCGCCCATGAACACGCTATGTTGCTTCATCAAAGAAGGCCCCGAGGCCGAATCGGTGATCAGACACAGAGATCGCCTGCAAGACTATTTCTTCATTTCCAAAGATGGCATGATGGCAAACGGCACCAATGGTGTTCAGAACTGGGACACTGCATTCGCCATCCAAGCAGTAGTGGATTGTGGATTAGAGACCAAACCAGAGTACCACACAATGCTGCTCAAAAGTCTCGAGTTTCTGGAAGACCAGCAATTCGTCGAGCACCCCGTTGGTTACGAGACCTCATCGGCCTATTCTGATCCTCCAACACAAGCAACCTCACCAGACGCATGCTACCGCCACCCTCGTCGCGGCGCTTGGGGTTTCAGTAATCGCTCACAAGGCTACACTGTTTCCGACTGTACGGCAGAAGCAATCAAAGCCATCATGATGTTACAATCCACACTCGACCCCAAAGATCCCTCACAATCTCTGTTTCCCGCGTTACTATCCGACCAACGAATCCAATGGGCCATTGACATTCTTCTCACGATGCAAAACTCCGACGGCTCTTGCAGTTCGTACGAACCGATGCGAGGGAGCACCAAACTGGAGTATCTCAACGCAGCAGAAGTCTTTGGACGAATCATGGTCGAATATCCTTATCCGGAATGCACAACAGCATGCATCACTGCGCTGGAACGGTTTCGAAAGCTCTATCCTTCCTATCGAAAGGAGGAAATTGACAGATTCATCACGCGCGCTGTGGATTGGATCAGAGGAAATCAAGCTGCCGATGGATCGTGGTATGGTAGTTGGGGAATCTGTTACACATATGCGGGATGGTTTGCGCTCGAGTCGTTGAAAAGCCAAGGTGAGACGTATGAGAATAGCGAGAGGGTGCGGAGGGCTTGTCAGTTCTTTTTGGATCGTCAGGAAGCAGATGGTGGATGGGGAGAATCGTACAAGAGCTGTGAGACGGTCACTTGGTGCCGACATCCAGATGGTTCGCAAGTGGTGCAGACTGCTTGGGTAAGTTGATCATGTGTGTGTGTGTGTGTCGCGTCGTCGTGGCCGAAGGCTAATCTTTTATTACTATTTTAACACAGGTCATCATCGCACTCCTAGAAGCTGGCTATCCGAACCGCGAGCCGATCGAACGCGCTGTCAGACTCATCATGCATCGGCAACAAGCCAATGGCGAGTGGCTCCAAGAAGGAATCGAAGGCGTATTCAACAAGAGTTGGTAAGTTTTTCGCTCCATTCTTTTTTTTTCTTCTTTTTTTCTTCAAAACTCCTCATTCATTTCATGCTGACATTCTTGCACAGCATGATCTCTTATCCTAACTATAAATTCATTTTCCCAATCAAAGCCCTCGGCATGTACAGCAGACGATTTGGCGACGCGGCACTGCTGAATGGAGGAGGGGCCGCAGCGCCCTGAGGCGGCGACCCACCCGTCCGTCCGTCCGTCCGCAGTCATTTTCTGGCGTGCGCGAGCGGGAAAGAGAAAGGGGAAGTGGTGGAGGAGAGAGGAGAGAGGAGACGGTGGAGAGCTCTCTCAGGTTGATACCTACCTGCCCGACAGTACATTACCTGATAGCAGCAGATACATGCGTCCCGCGCAACGCGACACCTGCCTGTTTCTATGGCTCCAGTGCAGGTATTATGGACAATTATAATTACAATTAACTTAATCATACATCTGACCTGACCTACATGTACGTCTAAGGTATCTAAGGTATGTATCTGCCATTCCATCGTTGTAGGTAGGTAGGTACCTACCTGACCTAAATAATACATACGGTGCACTGCAGTGACTTGACTGCACATCCTTACCTCTCTCTCTCTCTCTCTCTCTCTCTCTCTCTCTCTCTCTCTCTCTCTCACACACACACACACACACACACACACAGGCTCTCCCATCAACTTGATACATAAAAACCTTAGGTACCTTACCTGTATACTAGCAGAAAGATAGACAGCCGGAAGTTTCTATACAGCGCATTTTTTTATTTCCATTTTTATCACTCCATTTTCAAAAATAAGCGACCTGCAGAAAGTCCGCCCAGCCGCGTGTAACAGTGTAACAGTGTAAACAGTGTAAACAGTGTAAACAGTGTAACAGTTCGGCTCTACACGTGGAACCGCTGGAAATGAAATATTTTTATCTTTGAACTCCTCCGGCTCGTGGGTTGGTGAAAGCAGCTTGCATGGAGGTATGCACATTGCATGCATGCATGCATGCATGTATGGACGTTTATGTGCGTGGCTCGTGAAACATCGGTACGTTTTTTCTTTTCTGTTGTCTTTCTTTTTCTGTAATAATAGTTTTTACTTGTTACTGCACTGCTAGCTACTATAGGAGGTATTGAGTTGGTTTTTTTTCTTTGGGGAGAGATGGTTTGAAGCTAGAATGGAGAGGTACCTACCTGACCTCTTTCATTTTTCTGTTTCTGGTATAGGTACCTTGCTGTGGGTAAAGTAGGTACAGATGTAATAGGTAGTCGGTAGTTATCGGAGTAAGTAGGTAGTAAGTAGTACAATCACATAGGTACAGCCTACAAGTCGTCCGAGTACCTTCCTACTATAGGTGTCGTTGGGAAAAGGGATGAGATCCACCACATCACTTGAGAGGAAGCATGCGTTGTCCTCCTGGAGTGGAGCACTGGAGGCTGGCTTGGGGGCTTCTATTCCAGAAACAAAAGGCAAAAACCCGTTAGGAGGGGCCAATCTACCGGGCGTCGGCCAAACTGTGCCGCAAACGCTGGGGACAAATATGTGACTGCCGCGCGAGCTTTCAATCTAACCAGTCCCACATTTATTCATATTTCCATGCCTTGGCGAGCTGTGCAGGGATCGAGGGGGGCGCTGGGGGAGGAAAGATAGCGGAGCCTTCGGCCTCTCGGAGTCTCTCCTTTTTGCTTTCTCTCTAGGATAAATTGTGTTGGTTGGTGATGGGCGGTGATGGTGGCGAAGCTGCTGGGAGGGCAACGGGGGCGGGGCGGTGGTGATGATGATGGTGAAGACGACGAGGACGATGATGATGAGGGAAAAGAAGAAGCAGAAGAAGAAGAAGAAGAAGAAGAAAAAGGAAGAAGAGATAGAAGAAAGACAAGAAGACGAGGCGGGAGGGCCACGGACGGCAGGGCGGGCGGTAAAGTCAGATAACTGCAGTTCGACTTCTACCTCCTAACAGGTAGTAGTCCCATTTGTTGCTGTGGACAGGTTGTTGTAACAATGTTGTTGGCACTACCCTAATAAGGAGTTTGTTGTTGTTGTTGTTGTGAATTGAGACTTGCGAGAGGCCAATGATCGCTTGACCCTGGTTCGAGTAGTTTCGTTGTCAAACCATCGGTGCATGCCTCCTGGAGTCCTTAGGCTCCTTCTTCAAGGCGAGTCGTTCGCGGCAATTTTAGCTCACACACGCACGCACGCACACAGACACACACACACACACACCCAACACACCTGCCTTCAAGGGCTCCAGCTGTTCGAAGCGAATCCACTCGCAGCTCCCGACCTTTCCCAACTTTCCTACTGATCACTATCTCATCACTCTGCACCCGTCGACCGGCGTGAACATCGGCAGCCTCTTCATCCATCACTGCATCATCGTGTGCTACCTTGCCTTACTGCTCTGCCACTGCTACTGCTATTGCCGTCCTGCTTGTGCTTCAGCTTGTTCATCATTTCCCTCCCGTCAACTCATCAATTCAATTCATTCAATCAATCAATTACTCAATCACTCAATCACTCACCCAATCAATCAATCCCTTCAATCAATTCGCGGGACGTGATTGTTGAAACAACTCACTTTAAGCTCCGAGCCACACCTCCTGCATCCCGTCCTCAGGTATCTACCTTACCTACCTAAGGTACCTACCTACCTACCACCTTACCCTCGACCTCTCGCCCGCCTGACCTCTGGAGCCCATTCGACATCAACCACTCTGCACAGAGCTCCGTTCGCCTCGCCTCTCCTCTCCCGCCCTCTCCCCGTCCCTCCTCGCCTCTCCTTTTCGTCTCGCCTCGATCCGCACGGTGTTTGGCGTTTGGGGTTAGCATCATCATCATCATCATCATCATCATCCTCATCCTCACCATCATCATCATTGCGTAGGAGCAGAGTCAGACACAACAAGACTCTACGGGAGCAAGCAGCAGGAGAAGACCAGAGCGGACTAGCATCAGCAGCATGGCCACTCCTACACAGCAGCAGCAGCCGTACGGTGGTAATCCGTACTCATCGCCTGCAACAAACACTGGCGGAGGTGGAGCTCCCGCCCAGCAGCAACAGGCCCCATACCAGCCCGAAAGCAGACCTCCCCAATCTGCGCCAGCCCCATACCAACCGCAGCAGCAGCCGCAGCAGCAGCAAGCCGCGCAAACGCCCTTTGAAAAGTACTGTGTCATCCACATTGCTACCACGTGTGACGAGCATGGCGTCTATGTGACCAAGGACAGCGCCGAGGTTATTGAGATTGGATGGGTCGTCGTGGACGCCCAAAATCCCGAGCGAGAGGTACGTGAACTGCTGCTGTCTCGGAGAGACTCTGGACGAGCATGGGGGGATGTGCAGAAGAAGGCGTTCGTGGAACGAGACACTGGCAATATAAACCGCTTGGACCAGTTGCTAATAAAAATCTCCCCTACTACAGTTGCACCGCCAGTCCGTGCTCGTCCGTCCTGTCAACACTCCTATCACGCCTCTGTGCACCTCCCTCACCACTCTCACCTGGGAACATGTAAAGAACGCCGGCACGTTCCGCGACGCCATCACCGCCTTCGACCAATTCGCCCAAGAGCATCTCGTTCACAAAGACGCCGGCCCCAGTGCTGCACCGACATTTGCCTTTGTCACTCTCACCCCGTGGGACTTGCGTGTTCAGCTCCCTCGTGAGGCTCGCGACAAGAACGTGGTCCTCCCGGCCTACCTACAACATCCCATCCTGTTTGGCCTTCGCGGAGAGTATCAAACCTTTCAATCGCACCACCCAGAGACGCTCGCATTCAGTTCGTCGAGTCTCTCGAGCATCTGTGCTGGTCTGGAGGTCGAAGAAGTGCGATCCTCCGGTAAAGTGACTGGTGGCCTCCCATTCCACCTGCAAGCTCTCGCGCCATCCTCACCACGCCGTGCGCTCGAAGAAGCTCTCACTCTCACGCGCTGCCTCAACTCACTGCTCAAGAAGTCTCGTCCTTCTGCCACGAACCCACAAGGCAGCCCCGAGATTCTGCAAAGACCACTCGACGCGCGGAGTGACGTTCGCGCATTCCTGGGAGAAAGAAGCAAAGTGTTGCACCTCAGTGGACTGCCTCACGATACGACACAAAGTGAGCTGGAAAGTTGGTTCACTCAGTACGGTGGACGACCGATAGCGTTCTGGACACTGAGGACTCCCGAAGGTGGCAAGCCGAGCGGTAGTGGATTCGTCGTTTTCGGCAGTCACGAAGAGGTATGTACAATCCCTGTTTTTTTTTTCTTCTCCACGCAGCACCCCATGTGAGGATCCGCAAGTTGAGGTTTTGGCGACCGTTCCCTGAGGTCTCGGGACCGTGCGTGCGCTGGGCGAAAATTGCCATGCTGGCTTCACTTCGCATCCCGTTTCTCAACCTAACATCAACATCCACCAAAGGGGAAATTCGCCATCGGACATTTATCCTCGGCACATTCCCGTCACTATCGCTTGTCCGCATCGAACATCCATATCGTCGCAATTTCACCTCATGTGCGGCAATGGCTCGCATCAACAACACACCCAACGGCGCCATTCCCTTGCCATGTCTCACCGGATCTGCACCACCATGTCACGTACCTTGCGTGTGCAACGCGCAACAGTTACCGTCGAAAAGTACTAATTATGGACATTCGCAGGCAGCAGAAAGTCTGAGTATGAACGGGCGCGCGCTCAATGATCGCGCCATTGAGGTTGCCCCCTCGTCGAGTAGAGTGCTCGATCGTGCAGCTCACTCGCAACCATCTGGAGGTCCACCGCTCCTCACGCCATTTCCGCCTTCCAAGAACCGACCACGACCTGGTGATTGGACGTGCCCCAGCTGTGGCTTCTCCAACTTCCAACGTCGCACGGCATGCTTCCGCTGTTCCTTCCCCGCCATGGGTGCGAGTGGTCCCGATCCGTACAGCCAGCCCTATGGAATGCAAGCCGCGCCTTACGGTGGCGCACAATTTGGTCACCCGGGCATGATGGGTGGTGGTCACATGCATGGAGGCAGCTTTGGCGGTGGCATGGGTGGCATGGGTGGTTCGAGTGGACGCGGCGGCATTGTACCGTTCCGTGCTGGTGATTGGAAGTGTGGCAATGAAGGGTGTGGGTATCACAACTTTGCCAAGAACGTCTCGTGCTTGCGATGTGGCGCCTCGCGCAGCAACGCTGCTGTCATTGCTGAAAGTGGCATGACCAGCTTCCCGGGACAATCCTATGGAGGCCCGCCACAAGTGCCGATGCAACAGCCGCCTCCTGCAAACTATGGTGGAGGCAGCCAGCAGTCATTCGACTCGAGCGCATACGGCGCGATGCAAGGCCCACCAGCTGGCTTTGGTAGTCAGTCGTTTGGTCCCCCGTCTTCCTACAACATGCCCTCTGGTATGCCTCAACCGAGCCCCTACATGGCGGGCGGTTATGGCCAGATGGCAAGCAATGGCGGTATTCCGGCTCAGGCAGGTTTCGACAGCCGCACCGAGCAGGCTTTCAATCAAGGCAATGCCGGTGCTCAGGCAGGAGCTGGCGCCTACGCCAATGGTGCATACGGACCACCTGGTGGCTACGGCAACGATGGAACAGCAGATCCCTTCTCTTTCTTGTCTGCTGGCATGGGGCAACTGGGCATCAACGAGGGCGATAGTCGCCGCAACGGTGCCGGTGCGAGCAAATCACCGCAGTAATCATGTTTACGCACACGAGAATTACCTAACGGCCTGAGGGAGAAGAGGAGGGAACCAGCGGATGCAAGGGGTGCGTGTGAATGGAGGGGGCAAAAGTTTCCAGATTGTACCAAAAGGAAAAAAAAAAGAATTCAGATCGACAACATATGGGGTTCGGCTTGTTAGCGTCGGCGCTGGAGAGGTTGATGGCTGATGTGGTGGTATTAGCGAGGCGTCCGTGGCTCCATCATAAGGGACTGACTGAAACTGACACAACTATCGGCAACGGCAAAGGATCATCGTCATCGACATCAATGAAGTGTGAGAATACGGCTGCATGGTGTTGAGAGAGTTTTTACTTTTTTTTTTGTTTTTCTTTTTTTTTGTTTTCCCTTTTTTCTCTTCTTTCCATCTATTACCGATGGAAGCGAAGGCGGATGAAGTGTGTGTGTGTGAGAGAGAGAATGGGAAAGGAAGAAACATATGGTATTTTTGATTCGGACGGCCTGTCTGTGAGCTTGCCTGGCTGCCTGACTGGGAGGCCTGGATGGTTTGGACTGGACTGGACTGGACTGGACTGGACTGGACTAAGCTGGGCTGGGCTGGGCTGGGCTGAGTTGGGATGGGGATGGGAATGGAATGGACTCGAGCTGTGATATAGAGAGAACGAGAGAGAGAAAGAGAGAGAGAGAGAGAGAAAGAAAAAAAAAATCATATCCAACTTCTTTCACTCTGAGCATACCTGCGTGACCTTGGTGATTTCACATTCACATTCGCGTATCTGTTTCTGTTTTCATGTGCTGTTCTGTTCTTTCGATTTTCTGTTCCTGTCTGCACGTAATGTTATGTCAAAAAAAATCACACTAATAGTAGCTAGGTCCTCTTAGGTCTGTCTCTCTGTCTCTCTGTCTGTGTATATCCTCTCTTATCTCCCCATCCACCTCCCATCCCAATAATCCCATTCCCCTTCACCTCCTCACCCATTCCCCTCCAACTCCACTCCACTCCTCGGCCTCGCCCCCTCTCCTCTCCCCGCTCTTTCCTAATTCGGCGGATGTGCAGGTGCAGCAGCCATAGTTCCATAATCCCCTCTTCCTCTTCTCGAAGAAGAAGCAAACCCTCCCGATTGGACTTTTGTGCTATAAATTCCTGGAGCGGAGCGGAAATTTTGTTGGGAGGGGTAGTTTCCTCCTTGTTGTTGTTGAGAAGAGGCTTGTTGTTGTTGTTCTTTGCGAGAGTAGAAGATGTAGAGGATGTAGAAACTGGGTTGGTGGGGGGTTAGATTTGGGATTGGGATGGGAGGGGGAGGGAATAGGAGGATGGGGGGCTTACGCGTGAATGTGGCCGGGAAAGTAGCCGAGGAGGGTGAGGCAGATGTTGATGAGTACTATATTAAGGTAAGGTGAGTTAGTTAGTTGGTAATTGGTTTGAATGATGATGTTTTTGGGTATAGGTAGGTAGGGAAGGTCTTCTCGTAAAATTGTTTGAATGAATGAATGAGGTAGGGTAGGTACTTACCATCAGCTCCACACCTACACACACACAACATATACCAAAACGATTAGCACACACACATATTCAAAAGCTAGCGGAATCTATATCTTTTTTCTTTTTCTCCCTCTAGCCGGCCCTCCGAGAAGAAAAACAACACACCAAAAAAAAAGATAAAATAATAGAGGATTTATGTACTTACCCAGCAACACAATACACGCCCACAGGAGGCAACAAAACCGTCAAAATCACCAAGAGGAGAGTCGAAATCATCTCTTCTGCTACTTCTACTTCTACTTCTTCTGAAGGGTTTCGATTGGAGTTGTTGCGTGCTATGCTTGTTGATTTTTCTTGTGGGATGGCTTGAGGAGGGCGCGGGAGATCTGATTTGGAGGAGGGTTTTCTTGGTTTGGAGGTGAAGTGTGGTTTTGGTGATTTGGTTGAGGTTCGGAGAGAGCTGGTTTGTTTGTTCGGTTTGCTTGTTCTGTAGGTAGATGGATGGATGGGATTGACTAGATGGATAAATGAATTCCCAGGGCAACCAAGCAGTCTCGTTCGTTCGTTTGTGCTGTCTGTTTCGTTTGTTTGTTCTTTCCTCTTCCTTCCCCTTTGCTTTCCTCTTTCCTCTTCTCTCTTGCTTTTCCTCCCTTATTCCTTATTCCTCACTCCTTATTCCTCACTCCTCACTCCCAAGCTCCAAGCTCCAAGCTCCAAGCTCCAAGCTCCCTACAAGCTCGAATATTCCCAAATCGAATCGTATCCGTACTTACTATACCTTCAAGGTTATCCTCGTAGAGTGTATACGTCAATTCAACTCACAATTCGACTTAGTATGTACCTTTAACTAGAAAAAAAAAATGAATATCAGGTAAGGTAAGGTAGGTAAGGTCAAGTCAAGTTATCTCAAGTAAGGTAAAGTAAGGTAAAGTAGGCAACCACCTACATATACCTCCTAGCTACATATACCTCCTAGCTACACAGCGACATAGCTTAGGCAGCACCTTAAACATCCAAGTCTACTACCTCCTACTTTCAAGTCTACTACTTCCAAGCCTCACGCACGAGGAGCTACTCCGCCTCCTTATATCATCATTATCTAGCGTGACAGGACGCGTCACTTAGGTAGTTTGCTTTTTTCTTTTTTCTTTTTCTTTCTACGCGTCACAATACCTCCCTACCTCCACTCTGTTTCTTTACTTGAAAATAAAGGGTTCAGTGGCGCAGCACAAAGTCGTTTTGATTTTTTTTTTTTCTTTCGACATGATGTCTTGATACCTACCTTACCTTGGATATGGGGTTTTGAGTGGAGACAGACAGGATTGTGAGGGCATAGGGCATGAGATTTGGTTGGGAGGGAGGGAGTGAGGGAGGTACTTTTATTGTTTGTTGAAGGGGTGTATACATATATACATGTGACTTTAGTGTTGATTGAGCTGGAAGCTTTGGACAGGAAGGTACAAGGTACATGTAGGTATGTGTATGTCAAATGACCGTTGCGGTCATTATGCAAATGTAATGTGCCTACCTACATCATTACTCTAGACTTCTTCCTCCTGCGCCACGTTGTTCTCGGGCCATGATCACTCGGATACATAGCTTAAAAGAACATGTGCTTGACATCAACAGGAGCCTTGGAAACAGCAGGAGCATCCAGATTCGCAGTCCCATACTCTGTACTTGAGCGCTCCTCGGGCTCAAACGCCGCGGCAGGTGCAGCGGGTCGATCAAATGCCGTAAAGCGATGACCTTTCACCTTGGCCACAGTCCACAGGACACTGATTCGAGCCACAAAGGCCGCAAGTGCCCACAAGAGCCCGCCCACGGGTGCAGCGACAAAGACGCCAAAGACGGACCAATCGCTGGCGTACAAGCCGTCGGAGAGGATCAGAAGGCTTCCCGCTCGGGAGACGTCTCCGTCGTAATAGACGAGTCCGAAGAGGAAGACGGATAATATCCCGCCGAGACCTCCAACGACCACTTCAAAGCCGCGCCAAAAGTAGAATTTCGAGCTGAGACCGATGACGAGACAGGGGATCATGGCCGCGGAAATGATGTCCGAGATGAGGTAGATCTGGAGCACGCTCGGGCTTTTGAGCGCGACCACGACTGTAGGTATGATGAGGAGAACCACGAAGAATCGCACCCACCAGATGTTGAGCTTGTTGCGGAAGAAATCGTTGGAGCCGGTGGAGATGAGAGCGGATTGGAGCGAGTCAAAGGCGGAGATGGAGAGGGTGACGACCATGACCAGAACGATGCCGACGACCCATGTCGGAAGGGTCTCGAGGAGGGTAAAGAGTTCGATGCCGGACGCCTCGGGTGGGTTGCCGAGTACTCCTGACCATCCAGCGATGAGACCCGAGACTCCGACGAGGGTGGTGATGATGGTGACTGCAACAGCGGCGATACTGACGCCAATGTAGAGGTCCTTGTCCGTCTTTGCGGCGAATGCTCGGAGCCAGAAGTTGGAGAGGAAGAAGTCATTGGTGAGAATGGCCACGGGAAGGATGTAGAGGAGTTGCCAGCCGAGAAGACTGGGTTCGAGATAGTTCGAGACGGGAATCAATGATCGATCAATGTCGACCGTCACTCCAATGGCGATGGTTCCCACGATGAGAAACAGAAGGACCATGGCACCTTGGATGTTGTCGGTGACGAACGACACCCGGAACCCTCCTAGAGCCGTGTATGTGGTGGTAATGGCAGCTTGCACGATCAGGGCAGGCAGGCCGTTCAGACCCGTGAGGAGATTGACGACCTGCTGGAGAGCCGAGAGCTCGGCGACCATGTAGAGCCATATAGTTGCGCAACTGTGATATCGTGAGTATATTACATGCCTGCACGCACGCATGAGAAACAAGCACCCACCTGAAGAAGCTCAAGTACAAAGACGTGATGAGTCCGTATCGCTCCAGTGTCCACTGCGTCAGCACGAAGCCATCGGGACATTTCCTCCTAATGATAGGACCCAGAGCAGCAAAGATGAGCAGTGGCAGTCCCGAAGAGAGGGCATAGACGAGCAGACCCTGAACTCCTGCAATTGCTGCAATATTCGGATATGTAAACAGGACAGCGGATCCGAGTGCTATAGTTGCATAGTTAGTATGAATTGTCAGCTCGTCAAAGTAGTGACGGTGGTGGTGGTGGTGGTGGCAGCCCTTGGTCCCGCAAGCATTAACTTGATCGACTCATAGCGGTAACATCTCAGCTTCGTGCATTGCTCTTCCCCACACGAGTCCTCAGTGTCTCTCCCGTTTCTGCACACAAGAGGTGGACACTAGGTCGTCGTATGGCAACGAGTAGCATTTCAGCGCCCGCAGTGCTGCACACCATGCTCTGGGCAGGGGGTATACTGTGATTCTATTCGAAGCAGGCAGCTCTCTCCTCCCAGAGCATGGCGTCGTCAAATGTTGTTATGCTTACGAACCTTGACTAGATGGTCATATAGCAACATGCTTATTGTCGTCCACCGATGGCCTGCCGGTTGAGTTTGGCGTCGTGGGCTCGATGACGGCACTCACCAGACGCAATGAAGTTCAGTGCCAGGGGAATTGCTAGAACGAGTCAGTTGGATCGGTGGTGAGATGTGGGGGGGAAAGCTTGGTGGTAGATTGGTCGCTGCTATACCCTTCTGAGTCCGATTGGCAGACAGCCATTGCCCTGTCGACTGGCCCCGCAGTCTCCAGGCGATGAAAAGACCGAAGACGCTGGGGAAGAAGAAGCAGAAGAAATGTGGTCAGTCAGTGGCAACGCATGGAGGAGGAGGGGAAGGAGGAAGAAGGTCCGAGCGCGTCGTACAGAAAAGCTGCATAAGTGCAGTAGATGAGAGCGTTGCTGGCGGGATGAGACGGTTGACCCATTTTGTCGCTGCTGCTTGCTGCTTTCGATACAGTGAGAAGAATTCCTTGCACAGGGACGACCGGGAAGGGGAGGAGGAGGAGGAGGAGGAGAAAAGGTCGGTTCGTGTGGGCGATGGCGGCAGCCAGTGTACCAATTTTTCATTCACGTGATGGCTTGATGACCCTCCTCCACGCGCTAAAGACAGAGCTCCAGCTCTGCTAGGAGGTAAGAGAGGTCCAGCTATACCTATCTACCTCCATTATCTGTCGTTTCTGGCTATACCTACCTTGAGGAGTATTCTACCAATCGTCTGTTGATGTCTCGGCCATATCTATACAAAGCTCCGATGGAGTGTACAAAGTACCACAATCAGTAAATATGTACCTCCTACTGTACGCGTGTAGCACGTGGCGTCAGCCTCGGTCATTATTTCATTAGAATTGAATCCAGGGTCCAGGCAAGGAAAAAAAAAGTCCATGCTCCCTCTCAGTCTCTCTCTCACACACACACCAAAGAAACTCTTTCTTCTATTCCTCCACCCACAAGAATCTCCCTCATCATCATCATCATCTCCATACCACCACACACACTCCTCTCCGCAGTGCATGCAACATGGCAGACACCGAGATTTCCCCCCTGGTGACGTACGAGGAGCTCGCGGCGATCGAGATGGATTTTGAAGACATTGACAACCAAATCAGTACGTCCTGTCCTCTCTCTATTCCTCTCCTGACTGTTACAAACAATTAACCAACACCAACGCAAAAAAACAGTGATCAAACAATACCAACTCAGCAAATCCGCCTACGCCCGCCGTTCAGCAGCAATTTCCAAAATCCCCAATTTCTGGCCTCTAGTAATCGAAGCCTCCCCACCCGAACTCGACAGTTTCGTCCATCCGCAAGATTCCAAAATTTTCGCCGAATCTCTCACATCGATTGAAATTACACGTCCCGAAATCGACTCGTCTGCTTCTGCTTCTGCTTCTGCAACACCAAAAGGAGAATTCAAAGGCCATCCCCGCTCCTTCCAAATCACGTTTACATTCTCTCCCAACGCCTACTTCTCCAACTCCACTTTAACCAAAACTTTCCACTATCGCCGCGCAAGCGACGGATGGTGTAATCTCGTTTCCGAACCCGTGCGCATCGACTGGAAAAATCCTGAACAAGATCTTTCCGAGGGATTGACAGATGCTGCTTATGCTTTATTTCACGCACGAAAAAATGCTACAACATCCACATCCACCACCACGTCCACAACCGGAGGAGAAGCAGGCGACCCAACCTCCCTTTCAATGCAACAAAAATCTCTCCCCGAATACTCCCACCTCCTCACACTCCTGACGTCGAAAAACGGACACAATACATCCTTTTTCACGTGGTTTGGTTTCGTGAGTAGTAGACGATGGGTCTCGGCGGAAGAATCGGAAAAAGCTTGGGAAGAATTTTATGGCAAACTTGAAGCGGTGAGGAAGGGTGAAAAAATCTCTCTCGTTGCTGCAAAAGATGGGGATAAAGATGATGAGGATGATGAGGAGGATGATGAGGAGGAAGAAGAATATGGAGATCAAGCTGTGGAAGTGTTTGAAAACGGAGATGATGTAGCTGCTGTTTTGGCAGAGGAGATTTGGCCGAATGCGATCAAATATTTTACGCAGGCGCAGGAGATGAGTGAAAGTGATGGGCTATCTTATGATGAGGATGATGACGACGAGGTGGAGTCGGAAGATGGAGAGGAAGAAGAAGTGGACATGCAAGCTCTCGTGGCCGAGGCCAACAACCAAAAGACGGAAAAGAAGAAGAAACGGCAGAGCGATGTCGGGTTTCCGAGTAAAAAACAAAAAAATTAGAACATGGAATCAGGTCATCTGAATCTACCGCAGGTACCTGCCTAAGGTGGTACCAACCTCCGGAGATACCTCTTCTGCAGACCACACGATAATACCCTCTGTTTTTTTTTCTATCTGCACGACTACATAGATGAAGCGCACTCGCCCTTCTCTTCACCTCATTAATCAAAACCAAATTTTTTGTAATATCATGTCGAATTCAATTCATCACATTCAATCGGCCGTTTCTCTCATCACCTTTTTCGTACTTTTTGGTTTTTCATACCCTTCCCTGTACCCCTCCCCCAAAATGCCTCCCCACCCATTCCTCGAAAATGTGGAAAAGAAAAAAAAATTCCCTCCCAGAGAATAAGTGAGGTCTAATCGCCCAGAACAAACCGAAATAAAAATGATGCAAAATGCAGCCGTCGGTACCACCCGAAAAAAAAAAAGATACCGAAAATCAATGGCTGTCCCCGCTCGCAAAATGCAGAATGCAAAATGCAAAATTACTCCTCGAATGGCGTATTAGCAACTGCCCACATAGAAGCCCTTGGTCAGTCCTTCGGGATGCGACTTGGGCGTGTATGCCCCCGAGACGTGGAGGGGAGTCGCAGCGCTCGCGGGAGTCATGGGCAGTGGTCGCGCAATATCCATGGGATCGCCGTTGCTCTCGACGGGTGTGCTGAAACCGGTGGCACTCATCCCATCTTCTTCCATCCATCGGAGCCCGTTGGCGTACTCTTCAATGGGGAAAACCTCCCGGGCGTACTCTTCGATGCCTCGGTGGCCTTCCCATATACTGCGGGCTTCTTTGGGATACTCCAAGTCGGGCCCAAAGTAGGGAGCACGCTTGCGTCCGAGGGTTTCCTGCAGGATTTCGAGCTGTTCTCGGTACCCGCTGGGGATGCCCACGGCAATCTTGATCTCACCGTGTACATATTTGACAGGCCTGCCGACACCTCGGGAGAATCGAGCACAGAGTTGCAGTGGCGTCAATTTTTCGAACGCCAGTGTGATCCTGTCTACCCTTAGCCATGATTTGTTGCTGGATTGTCATGTCGTTGCCTACCTTTGACCCCTCCAATGCTTGGGGCCCATCTTGAAGATTTGCAGCAGTGCCGGTCCGACATCGTGTTCGGCATCCAGCCACGGAAGAGGATCGTCGGGATGGAATGGGGCCTGCCAAACAAAACTGCCATCGTCTTGCAGCTCCATCTGGAACAGCGGGTACTAGAGATGGATGAATACCATGCGGTGGTCATTCGCTCGGAGATGTGACACTTACGGGTAATGATGTGAAGTTGTTGTTGTAGATGCCGGCGTAAACGAAGGTGGCGGGGATACCGATTTGCCTCACGTAATTCTCGATTGCGAACTTGGTGGCCCACATGGGCAGTTCCCTCCAGTCGTGGCCATACATGCTGTGGTCGGGCATGCTGGAGTAGATGTAGTGAGAGATGCCGGCCTTCTTGGCGGCATCAGCACAGGCTTTGCCAATGGCGACTTCATCACCCCAATGAGTGGTGTTGATGAAGGCAATCTTCGCACCGGTGAACAGTCTGTTCAAGATGGTGGTTCGTGCGGGACCGGTCAAGTCGCCCTCGATGATGTCGACATGGGGGAGTTCTGCGAGTTCCTCGGCGACGAGTCCGTCACAGCTCCGGATCTGAGCCCGGACATGCCAGCCCACGGCAGCAGCAGCGCGGATGAACGAGGCGGCCTGTCTGCCGGTGGAGTTGATGGTGGCAACGGTTTTTGTAGTCATCACAAGAGCGACCGCATGGAGACCGCGTGGGAGTTGGGGACGGAGAGGAGGCAGGCGGTCGGTCGGTCGGTCGTGCGATGGTGCAAAAGTCCCTAATGTGTACGTGAAACGAAGACGATGTCGTCCACGACCGCGTGGGACGGCAGAGGATTTTTCAATGCAGCGTGTGGGGTAGTTTCTAGTGCAATGACTAGGTTGATGAAGATGCAATAAGGAGGCGGATGATTGACTTTCGGGAGGCCCGAGCCCCGTAGCGGTCGAGCTAGTGGTGCGGGACGATGGAAGCTTAAGTGGAGGAGGTGGAGGTGGAGGAGGAGGAGGAGGAGGTGATGGTGTTGGTGGTGGCGGCGGCGGCGGTGGTAGTGGTGGTGGTGGTGGTGGTGGTGGTGGTGGTGGTGGTGATGGCTGTGGTGACGATGAAGCCGAGAGCTACCTGTACCTAGTACCTCAGGTAGAGAGAAAGAGAGAGCCAATTTTGCTTCGGTGCAGAACAGTAGACAAGGCAGGGCAGGGTGCTGTGCTGTGATGCAGGAACAAGTTGCAAGCTTGAAAGGCCACGATACCCTTCACAGTAAGGTATAGAAGAGCGTAGAAGGGTGGTAGCAGAACTAGCGGACGTGGTTGCCGTGTTTCTGGGGTAAGAAATCTATAGCCTTGACTATATGCAAGGCAAGGCAGGCGCAGGCCACCACTGCAGAACAAGAACGTACCTACCTCCTACGGGCCAGCGGTCATTTGTTGGCGGGAAGGTGGGAACTTCCTACTATACCTACCTACCTAGGTACCTTAAGTACCTACCTTATACCTGACCTAGTTATTATACCTCACCTACCGTACCTCATGTACTCCACCTCCATCCACCTGACTGTCATGAGATAGAACCCCGAGACGACGACATCTCTATCTCCTACCTCCACTCCTAAGGTACCTCCTACCGTACGTTAGAGATGTTACATGTAGGCGTGTAGCGAGTGTCGGTGAGAGGGCACCGGCACGACTAATTCCTCACCTCCAGCCTCCAACTGACACTTGCCCACATATTCATTACGTGATGGCCTCCGCTCCCAACAGGGCATCATCATGTGTTTATCGATATGGAACCGCATGCCTGTCGATCCCGCCCACCACCACCACCAGAGGTCACACTCCGCAACTTTTTCTGCACCACGACCAACCCTGCAAGTAAAATAACGAAAAGAAAAGGTCACGTACGTGTGCCCGCATATCAAATCTCACCTTACATACCTTACCTGCGAACCCCCCCTCCCCTCCCCAAACAAGTCCGCCAATGATAGAGACGGAAAGAAGGAAGAAAATCAGGTAAGTCTACGCGCTCAGCAGTGTAACAACCCGCTCTCTTTCTTTCTCTCTCTCTCTCTCTCTCTCTCTCTCTCTCTCTCTCTCTCTCTCTCTCTTTCTCTCCATCTCCATCTCGGCCTTGGCAAAAGCTGTGCCGACCGGCAAAGGGATGCCGTCCTCCCCACCGAACTAGGTAAGACACCTCCACCTTTATTTTCAAAAAAAGAAGAGGTATCTCCGGCATCTCCACACCAGCCTACCTTACCTAGTCATTCCTTGTGGAGGAGGAGGAGGAGGAGGAGGATTGGAGGATTGCGATGGGGAAATGATATTGTCCTTCTAGGGTTGGTTTTTGTGGAGAAGAATGGAGTGGTAAGGAAGGTACCTAGGTACACGAGGTAGGTATGCTGCTAGGTAGTGAAGTAATTAATTCGGCAAAGACAACAACAAACAGCAAATCACAACCCCTCTACATCCTACCTCCTAGAAACTGTACATTCGCAGGACGAGTATAGCGAACCTGGAAGTGAAATGAAGTGGCGGATGAAGCAGATGAAGCAGATGAAGCAGATGAAGCAGATGAAGCAGATGAAGCAGATGAAGCAGATGAAGCAGATGAAGCAGATGAAGCAGATGGATGGTGAATACATTACCTAGTACCAGGTACATGTAATGTACAGCTATGTAGGTAGGCAGGCATGCAGCCTTTCTATTATGCAGCTGAGACACATACATACCTTACCTTACATTATAGGTAGGTAGGCGGTACGAGTGGTACACCTATCCCACTGCTCGACCCGACAGCATCGCACCTTCCACCTCAGCGTACAAAGTCTCGCCCAGACTGGACAATTCCACTGTACAGTACTAGAAAGGCTACCTACAGGTAGACTTCACCCTTCTTTCTCTGCACCCGACACGGCCAGCCACCACGCCCGAAGCTCCTTGACATGCTGTCGCTCCCCTTCTCCCAACTCCACAGGCGGACCCTTGGTTTCTTCTCGGGCTCCGACATCAATCACGCTGCTTCGGCGCGACGTTCTTCGTGCACTGCCCGCGCTCCCTGGTCGCTTTGCCGTTTCGCTCTCGCCAAAGCGCCACACGGTCCATGCGCTCGCATCCGTAGACAGGAGATAGGGCTGGCGCTTGCGCGACTTGACAGCAAAGCTGCGTAAAAGGACAATGTCGCCGACTTGAGCAACCGGCAGAGTGGCACGCCACGGACGAAATACCTCAACGGTGGTAAACGCCTGGGAAGCGAACGAGGACGAGTCGACAATCTTGAAAATTGTGAAGTAGTCTCGTGGTCCACCTTTCGCACGCTCTGGGCCTTTCGTATCGTCCGTCACAACAGCAAGCACATCAATGGTGCTGTCGACTCCCGGTTGGCTCGAAGGATTGAGCTTCTCGTGGAGATTCGATAGAGGTGTGTAGTACGCAGACGAGGTGATGATACCGTTCGAGGACGTCCTTTGCAGAAGCTCGGCTTTCTCATCATCATCATCAGCAGCAGCAGCAGCAGCAGCACCAGCATCCTTCAGTTTGGTCTTGTCTTCCTCAGGAATTGATCTCGTCGATCGTCGTGGCGAGAACCAGGTTGAGATCACTTCTGGCACATGACCGAAGCGTGAGGTGAAGGACGACTTCCTGCTAGATACATCTTCAGCTGAGACTGAATCCCGCTCGATTGCTGCCTGCTGCTCCGAACGCGTGCCATCCGAAGACGAATTCCCCGAGGCAGCAGCGCGCTTAGGCGGTGGACTGATATCTGTCTCATTGCTCCTCTTTCGCTTGTGTTCCTGTGTCTTTGGTGTTGACTTTTGCGCTGTGCTCTGGGATGGCTTAGTTCGCTTGTTGGGTTCTTCTTCTGCTGGTTCTGGCATACTTTCGATGGATTCTGCTTGGGATTGTGACTTTCTGGGTGACCTCCGTAGCGGCTTCGCGGCTTCCGGAGTAAGAAGCGTGCTATTGAAGGAAGTGGTGGCTCGGCCATCACTCTCTGGAGTCTCATTACGCTGACTCAGTGTCGCGCGAGTGGCACCAACTTGAGAACTTGCAGATGAAGCAGCACGTTGACTTCGTGTCTGTCGCGCCGTCGATCTTTGACCTTGGTCTTGAGATTGGCTCGGCATATCAGCCTTGCGCGGCGACCTCCTTAGAGGCACGCTGCTGTCTTTGGACGAAGCGTTGCGCTTATGCTTACGCGTAGAGGGAGCGGTAGATGTTAGCTCCTTTGCTGGCACATCTAACACCACTTCAAGGCCTTCGCCTGTGGGCTCGGTACTTGGCGGCAAAATCAGGTGACCTGGCGCTCCAGCAGGCAACTGCGCCTCGACTTGTTGTGAATTCATGGAACGCTGTGTTTCCAGGCCAGTTGACTGATGTGACAGTTGAGCTTCTTCCTCGGGCTGTCGTGCTGGGTCCATACTATCTTCGACAAACGACGAAGCTGCCACTTGCACCACTGGTCCTTCATACATTTCGATGTTTGCGGAGTCCGGCATTGGAGCGGCAGAAGGTGTGTGGTTAAGAATCGTCGAGTCGCCCGACGAAATTTCCTGCACAGCTGAGCTGACCAGTACTTGCGACTCAGCATCAAACTTCTCACTCTGAGACTCATGTACCGCTACTTGCTCGCTCGACGGGGTCATTCCCGCTCCAGAGTGAACAGTGCCTGTCTTGGGGATTGCTTCGGTTGGCGGTGGTGCAGAGACTGCCCCCACCTCTCCTCGAGCAGTATTTCCCGTTTGGCCAACGACCTCCTCATTTGCAGCACTCCTCGAATTCACAACATCTTTCGATCGCGATGTACGCTCCAGCGGATCGGGGTCAACTTCCTCGTCAGCTGAAGATTCATCGTCGGACGCGGTGGTCTGGAATGAGAAGTAGTGATAAAGGTCAGCAATGTTCTTCGACTGAGTCGAAGGTGCTTCACTCATCCGACCCTGGCCCTGCAAATCTGGAGGTGCGATGGCGGGTGTCTCGATAGCACTGGCTTCAATCGCATTCTCAAAGACGCTTTCGGGTCCTATATCTGAGACGTGCGACTCGTCTCCAACCGCCTGAAGTGCATTCGGCAGGGTTTCAGTAGCGTCAGTTTCGTTAGGGACAATATCTTGCATGTCGACATCAGCAGCATCTGCTGCGCACGGGGAAGAGGCAACTTCTGTGGGACTGTATGATCGAGAGCCGATCATATCATCATCGACCATAAGCTCTTGCAAGTAGGCTTGGGCAGCTCGCGGCGGTTGGGACAGAAGTGGCATGATGTCAGATCGTGGATCTTGGGCTCCATGCTCACCTTCTCCATGATCGTCTGTATCGGCCCTCTCATCATGCTCATCGCCCACATCACTTGCCGCAGCGCTCGAGTCGTCGCTTGAACCAAGGTCGATGACTTCAACTTGTGAAGGGCGGGACGCAGTGCTTGGGTTGGCTGAGATTTCTGGTTGTGACCCTTCCTCCGCGACATGTTCGACAATGTCGGAGGTGGGCACACTCTCCGTGAGTTCTATCCTGCCGAATGTCGTTGGCTCGTCAGGTACACGGGTAGGGCTTCTCTCCTTCTCCGGCGAGGGCGACGCCTTAAATCCAAACAAGCTGCTATATGTCCTTTTCATGACACTGTCTTTCTCAGATTGAGACGGGAGCTTGATAGCCGGAGGCGGTGTTTCGTTGGTGCCTTCCGAACCATAGCTGAAGCCAAAGAGGCTCTGCAACGTCTTTGCCGGTGCTTTTGAAGAAAGAACCTGGGAAGGCTCGTCTGCAGCGCCACTTGGTTTTTTTGATGACGGAGGTGATCGAATCGCTTTGTCAGTTACTGTTGACGGTGGCGGAGATGATCGACTCGCTATAGCAGTTACTGTTGATTGTAGCGGAGGTGATTCAGTCGCTACTGCAGTTGCTGTTGACGGTGGAGGAGGTAATCCACTCGCCGTGCCAGTCAGTGTGGATGGTGGCGGAGGTGATCGACGCCCCACGTCTATCGTGACTTCGCCGGTGTTCGTTGTAGCTCTGTTTGGAGGAGATACACTGGAGATGGTGGCTGAGGCTGGGCTAGTGAGCTGCTCCACGGCCATTTCATTGTCGTCCGCTTCCTCCCCTTGCATGCTAAGCATTTCATCATCCTCGTCGCTTTCCTCGTTCTCGTCAAAGTACCCTGCATCTGGAGTTGTGCCTGGCTCGCTCATATCTTCAGTTACCTGAGCTGCATCCGGCTGGGGGGCCCAGTCCCAAACTTTGACACCTTCACGCTCGAGGCGCTCATTAGCAAGGCTTTGGACCTGCTGTGTGTACATCTGCTGCATCTCTTCGTCCTCTTCGGTATCAGAGGGGGTTGCGACGTAGTCCGGGTATACATCTGGGTAGCTTGATGCAGCCCAAATCTTCCTCGATGGTTGTAGGCGTTCGGCCGATAGAGGGTCCTCCGAAAAAGCGATTTGGCTTGCTTCTTCTTGCGTACTAGATGCTGCCGGTGCGTCCATCTCAATGTTTTCGCTTACATTCCTCGCTGGTATTTGCTTCTCCGGAGAAGGCGACCTGCCTGCGAGTCTCCAAGAGCTCACGTCACTGATGCGTTGCTTCTTGCGTGGATGCTCATTCTCTAGCTCGCTGTCAATATCGGCGAAGGGATCGAATACTTCGTCTCGTTTCTGGAAGCTATCACCAGAAAGTCGCTGCCGGCGGACGAAAGCCGGACTTGAGTAAATGGGCACAAGGTCTGCTCCACTGAGGCTATCTTTCAAGCTAGACACGCGCGCACTTCTGGCGGGTGTCTGCCTCGCAAGAACATTCTCGTCCATTTCAGGCGGTGGCGTGGGCTCATTCACGCTGATGTGTGTCTGCACGACTTGGCCCTTGCTGCCATCTTTCCTGGCGATTTCCATACTCAACTCGCCCCGGTACACGAGCTCACCTTCGACGCTCTTGCCAGGCGTGCTCACTTTCGAGCTGTCATGAGCCCATTGGGCGCCACGCAGATCAAGCACGACCTCATCGCCTATGCCTACTTTGCCCTGCGCCACGAGTCGCGCGCTTGCTGCTGTGAATCTCACGCGCACTTGTCCTTTGCGGCTTCTGAGCCGGAAGTCTCGGTCAGCCAGCAGCAATGCGCATTGTTGCGTCGAAGAGCTGTATGGCCAGAACAGCGAAACAACAGCGCGGATTGCCTTGTCTGGAGGAGGCGTCGACTCGGGGTCGAGGGTGTGAATAGGTATCTGTGCCGCCATTATGGGTGCAAGTGGCATGGAGGATCAACGGTGGGTCGGCATGTCTATCGACGGGCCAGAACAGAAGGAAACTGGGTTTGCGGTGTTGCTGCTGGTGTCACTGTCGCTATGAACTTGTCTCGTGTCGTTGGTGAGTTGTTCAAGTTCAAGTCCAAGTTTCGAAGTCGCGAAAACTACAGCGTGTAAGTTATTCTGTGCCACTTTCTGTGCCACTCTTCCCGGATCCGAAACTCCACTTCCGGATATAAGCGACCCCTGCTCACCCATTAACACCACCCTCTTCATGACATTACTTATTGCCCTGCACTCTGGCTTTGTCCACTCCGACCACTCACTGAAGCACGGGTACCGTCGGGTGTAGCCATCCTGCCATCGCTCCTCGACTTTCTGCATGGACAGACAGGCCACGAAGCTCTCCGTTCACACTCCTATGTCAACCGATTGATACCGGCCTTTCCAGAGAATGTAGGAGCCATACACACAGACGGCACGACTGCAAAGAAGGAGACTCTCGAGTCTGTTCGCGTGTCAGACCTGAGCTGGTATATCATATTTGGCAAGGAACTGAAGTTTTCTGATATCCAGATAGCGCGATGTCTAATTGCTGGGCTGCCTCTGCGGATAACATTATCATTTGGGCAGTGTTTTATCATGTTGAGCTGCAAGGCACTACGTACTGAACAAGCTGTTCAGCCTTAGGTAGGCATCAGCATGCCTACCTTGGAATTTCATGTCCTCTTATGACGCTATAGACTACGGGCAATGACTTGTCTCCGGAAACAATGTGTGGGCTCACAGCTCCTCTGCTGGCAATCTCAAGGGCTGGAGTCGGCTCGATGACAAACTTATAGAGAATCCAAGCTAGGATTGTCGTACACATCTCGGCTTAATCGAGACTTCCAGTTCCATAGCAGGGAGACATTGTCAACTTCTTCCGCCCTGAAAGAGACGCAGCAGCTGTCGAGACCTTCATGATAGATAGTATGCTCCGGTCCGCCAACATCTAGAAGGATACACAGGGTGATCTCTACGCAGTGGAAGCTAAATCTTCTATAGCGCAGATAGTGCCTTGTCAATCCATTGCTCCATTGTGCATCGCTACTATCAAATATCGAGGAATGTCATTTGATATCGTCAGTTCCATGTTTGATACCTGGTATCCGTTAGTTGGCGAGCCTCCAGAGACCTGGGCGCGCACCGGTCCGTGCCGGTTCGCGGGGCGAAACCAGGCTACCCAGGGTACCAAGTCCAAGGTTTGGAGCTTTGGTGACGACGATGACCGACATCCTGGTTTCTACCACATCCTTCACTTGAACATCTTCCCGCGATATTTCCCATTCGACACATATTCCGAGATTTTAGCATCACGATGGACTCGCGAGCATCCTTCACGACAATGACCGAAATAGCGTCGAACGTGACCACCACCGATCGTGCAGCTTCCTGCTGGCGTAGACAAGACTGTCACTCGTGTACGCACGACAAACATGGCTGCGGCTGGTGTCCATTCTCATCGACCTGTGTTCCGGCATCCTCTCTCACACAACCAGTATCAGACAAGAACATCTGCCCCTTGGCCGCCGAAAAGTGGGAGCTTCGCACGAAAGCACTTGGTTGTGGCTGCTCTACCACCACACTTCTCAGCATCATTGTCACAATCTTCGCCACGATTGGGGCACTCATTGTTCTGATAGCACTGGGGTGGCTGTTGAAAACCCTCAATCCCTTTTTCGGCTCTGGAGTGGTCTCTGGCACGGAGCTGAAACCCAAAGAAGGACCGTTTTATGAGGAGCGTGAATGGCGAAGACCTGGGCTGGGCAGTAAGCTGCGTGCTTGGATGGACTTGAAACCTGATTTGTCGAGCCAGAGTGAGCAGGAAGCTATCACCGAGAGATCCAGACTTCTTGGCTAGGCTTCATGTAGAAGCCGACTACTGTAGTCTGTATGGGCACACCGCATACACAAACCTACCTTCTAGGACCGTATAAACGACGCACAAGCATTCTCACTCGACAGTACAACTTGCCGACCGTCCCTTGATCTCCTCACTTCCTTACCTGGCCAACGGTTAGCAACTGCATCTCCCCGAGATTCTGTTTTGACTACATCAAACAGCCTCAAGCTTTTTGTCAAGCTTCTCGCACATACGGCGCGTTGGAGCTCGATGCGTACCGGGTGCCGTCGGCACAAGGTGGCGCGATGCCTTTTACCCTGCTAGGGCTGCGAAGGCGAGCATACCAAAACGAATGCTCCAAGTATTAAGAGGATCCGGCTACAAGGGTGTTGTGCGAACGACTGTTAGCTGTACGCTTCTATAAACGTTTCTGAGAATTACGATACAACGCAATGAAGCGCAAAGCGCAGAGCGCTCGAGAGTGCGCGGCAGACTACTCACCCAAATCAGCTTGCGACTCTCCCTAGGTATTAATGAGAGCAGTTTCGCTGCCTAAATGTAATAGCGCCGGATCATTAGTATCATGAGGCTGACACGTCGGTGACCCCGAGTTCATTCGAGTATCCATACGCAGAGCATAATGCTACATTCCGCCTCTGTAAACAACAACAACATCGGTAGCTTCGCACGGCACATGACATGATGACCAGCCACAACCGAGGCTCTCTCTCAAATTTCGGTGTCACCGAAATTCTGCCTATCTTTCCATCGGAGGTAGGAGGTATGTAGACACTGGATCAATACGGGCGAGTCCGAACGGCACAGTATAAACTTCACGTCAGCTTACCTACAGTACCTTTCACAAGCGCGCCACATGTGGCCATAGTAATCAAGACCGACGGGCTTGGCATTAACAAGGACCTTCCGTCCCCCGCCCCCTCCCTAAGTGCGGATCACATAGCTAGGAGGTAGTCGATATCAGGAGGCTCCTTGGTACTCTGTAGTAGTCTAGACCAAAATCCAACTATTGCATCCTTTCCATTGCGTCGGGAGAGTCTGATAATCTGGTGTTTGGTAATCGTACGGCGCGGGTTTCGCGCTTCAATCTCTCTGAGAAGTATCCGAGAGCAAGGATGTATATGCACGACTGTCGGATGGAGCGGACATGGAGGACAGGCAAAGAGGCAGCTAGGGCAAAAGATGGGATGGACAGTGGACTGAATGGTTGTCTTTGCTGGATCACGGGAAGGGAAAAAAAGGGGGGGAATAGATGTGATGACAGGTCAGCCGACTCGATAGCGTCTTCCTCCAAGGTTTCGAGTGCGAGGTTCGAGTTCGCAGGCTGCATAGAAGGCGAAAGGAAGGGGAAGGGAAGGCGGGAAGGCGAGAAGAAGGGGAAGGTGAATTGATCGCCGAGCCGGACTAGGCCCTGGCAAGGTTTAATTCTGGCTTTTCTCTCTCCAGATCTGCATCTTCTTCTTCCTTCTCCACACGATCCCTTCATCCTTCTTCTGCTTCTTCTTCTGCTTCTTCGGCCTATATGTTGCATGTACCTCAGCCTCGACATCCATCATCTTCCTTAGGTAATAATGTCCGCTCACACACGCGTGATCCCCGCCCCCTCCCTACTTACTGTCCTCTGTGATGGGATCTCCCCAGGAGGAATGAAATGTTACATACCTCCGTAGGAAGCGAAAGCAGCCGCAAAATACGACGCCAGAAAAGACCAAGACGCCAGAAGGACCATGCTCCCCTCTGATGTGATCCTTCCCATTGTAACAGGCGCGGACGTGCATCCCAAACAGATGCCCAGAACCGGAAGGCGATAAGTAAAGATAAGTATCATCTGGCGCGCATTGGTTCGCCATGCTTCCTGGTGTCTCAACGGGCGAAGAAAGCGTACGCTGCCCAGCCTTGGCCGCCAAGAAGAATGCTCGTAGCCACCACTTGGCCACGCGACCACAACCTTGTCGGTGCTCGGGCCCGTGGGCGAGGGATGGGATGATACATTGCGCAGGTGTGGTGGTGGTAGTGGTAGTGGTGGTGGTCGCTTGGGACAAGAGAGAGAAAAAGCTCAGGTAGTATCAAAGTATATGGTATAAGTACCAAGAGCATATGGCTCTTATTGTAGAAAATCTTTTTCCGTCGCCTCCTCCATCACCTTTATCACGCCCCTCGCCCTCGCCCTCCCCCCTCCCCTCCCCTCGCCTTCCTCCATCCCGCCCTCCCTTCCCTCACTGATGAATACCACCGCCATGCCCGATCCAGTGCCTCTGGATCCTGCGGGCGAAAAGGGCTACAATGGCGAAATCCACTCCAGCTCGAGCCAAGAGGGAGAGGAAATCTACAGCGAGCAGCATGAGGAAAGGTTCCTGACCCGCCTGGGGGTAACGGCGGAGTCGTTCCAGCGTCGCACGGGCGGTGACAAGCACAATCAGTTGAACAAGACCATGAAGGCTAGACATTTGAACATGATTGCCATTGGTGGCTCCATTGGAGCAGGTCTCTTCGTCGGATCTGGTGGTGCCTTGAGCACGGGAGGTCCTGCTGCTCTTCTCATTGGTTTCAGCATTATCGGTGTTGTAAGTTGGACTTTTCTCTCAGCAGAACAACAGTCTGCATCGATATGATATAAATATGGCTCTCTATCTCGGCTAATAAACGGCTTACACAGATGATCTTCAACGTCGTACACGCTCTCGGTGAACTCGCATACCTCTACCCGATTTCCGGTGGTTTCTACACATACTCCGTCCGCTTTATTGATCCCGCGTGGGGTTTCGCGATGGGTTGGAATTACGTATTTCAATGGGCGATTGTATTGCCTCTGGAATTAGTGGTTGCAGGACTTACAGTGAATTACTTTGGATTAGACGTCAACGTCTCAGTCTGGATAACGGTTTTCTGGGTAGCCATCATCGTCATCTCCATCTTCGGTGTGCTGGGTTATGCGGAAGAGGAGTTCTGGGTGTCGCTGCTGAAGCTCTCCACCGTCATCATTTTCATGATCATGGGTGTCATCTTCACCTGCGGTGGCGGTCCCAGCAATGGCAAATTCAGCGAATACTGGGGAGCTCGCACCTGGTACAACCCTGGTGCCTTTGCAAATGGATTCAGAGGCGTGTGCGCCGTTTTCGTGACGGCCGCTTTCTCCTTTTCCGGTACTGAACTGGTCGGTCTCGCAGCAGCAGAGTCTGCAAACCCCCAAAAGGCTCTCCCCAGCGCCATCAAGCAGGTCTTTTGGCGTATCACCCTCTTCTACATCCTCGGTCTCCTCTTCGTCGGTCTTCTAGTGGAACACAACGACGACAGACTTCTCGGCGCCGGTCTGATTGATGTTTCCGCCTCTCCCTTCGTAATCGTCGCCGAAGACGCAGGAATCCCCGCCTTTGGCACGTTCGTCAACGTCGTCATTCTCCTCGCCGTCGTCTCCATCGGTCTCTCTGGAGTTTATGGAGGCTCGCGTACTCTGACCGCTCTCGCCGAACAGGGCTACGCACCCAAATGTTTCGCATACATTGATCGTGCGGGCCGTCCTCTCGTCTCCACCATTACCATTATCATGTTTGGCCCGATTGCCTACGTGAGCGAAGCTGCTGCCGGTACTGTTGTCTTTGACTGGCTTCTCGCGCTGTCTGGTCTCGCTGCACTGTTTACGTGGGGCAGCATCTGTCTCGCACATATCCGATTCCGTCAAGCTTGGGCATATCACGGCCACTCTCTCGAGGAATTGCCTTTCCGCGCTGTCTTTGGCGTCTACGGTTCTTGGCTCGGTTTCATTCTTGTCATTCTCGTCTTGATCGCTCAGGTAAGCTTTTTTTTCTCCAAAATCCCTCAACCACTTCATCGCCCCTGTACAACAAAAGAAAAAAAAAGACTAAAACTAACACCCCCAAAAGGCCTACGTCGCCATCGCCGACGCCGTCGACACAGGAGGTGGCGCAGGAGCCGAAGCCTTCTTCCAATCCTACCTCGCCTTCTTCGTCGTCATTCTCTTCTACGCCATCGGATGGTTCTGGAAGCGCGAAGGTTGGAGAAAAGTTTCGGAAATCGATGTCGATTCCGGTCGTCGTGAACTCGATTATGAGACGTTTCAGGCTCTCAAGGCGAAGCGTGCCGCGTGGCCCGCTTGGAGAAGAGTTGCGGATAAGTTTTTTTAAAGAGATTTGTTGTTTTTTCTTTTTTGCGATAGAGGAGAGAGGGGGAAGGGGGGAGGAATGGAAGGGGTTGGTTGGTTGGTGGTGGATAGAATATGATATGATATGATGATACCTTGATACCTTGATATGAAGATGTTTTGATATCCCCCCTCGCAGTCGTATGATGTCTTTCTTTCTTACTTGTTTTTTATTGAGAAAAAATACATCAAATTTTGCCTTGGTTGTGAAGGACTTTCTTTTTCTTTTCTTTTTCTTTTTACTTTTCTTTTTCTTTTTACTTTTCTTTTTCTTTTTACTTTTCTTTTTCTTTTTACTTTTCTTTTTCATTTTCTTTTGTCCACATGGAAATCTCGCTCGTCTGTTTGTCCTCACTTTGCGCTATTTTCGCAGACGCCTTGGACTACCTTACCTACTTCCATGATCTAGATATATCATTGCGTCTAGCTAGCTTACAAATCCTAATCTTAGTAGACTTATATAACTACTATATACCTAGTTTTTGTTCCATTGCGTGCTACTGATTTCTTGTTTACTTCCTCCTCCTCCTCCTCCTCCTAATAGCAAGGTAGATCAACTCTACCTCTACCTCTACCCCTACCTCCTAATAAGTATCTTTCTTTGAATCATCAGCTACAATAATAACAAAAAGTATTATGCCGTTTTATAGGTAGTTCTTTTTTGAAAAAGAAATATGTTCGCTATGCGGATTTCTTATGATCATAAAGTATATCAGATGTCATCGGTCAGATGGGGATGGTGGGACGTGTAGGGTTGGGAGGGTTACTTGTATGGGTTGGTTAGGGGCGTAGAAGGGAAGGACAAGCAACAAACACACTTCATAATTTTCTATGAAAGCCCTTCTTCTTCTTCTTTTTGCTGCTGCTGCTGCTGCTGCTGCTCTCTATGCTCGTAAAACACGGGCGGCACAATTTCCCGAGAGTATTCCTCACTGATCTTATGCAGCGAGATCTCTTGGGCGCCCTTGCGCCGCTCAATAGTCCACGTACCATTGCCCCTGACGTGCTCTCGGAGAAAATCCAAAAATGCAGCAGCAAAATTGATGCATGTATTACCGTTCCACGTCCGCAGTCCCTGTCGCTGGACAAATGTGGGAATGTCCAAGGTTTTCCACTCTTCGAGACGCTCCAGATGGCCGTGTACGGTGCGGAATCCAATGATGATTTTGGGGACACCGAGCAAGAAGGACTGGGCCCAGAAGCGGCACATTTTGCGTTCAAATTTACTGGCTGCGCGATGGTCGCTGGCGCGAAAGCTGGCCGAGGTCTTCAGTTCGACATAGGGGATCGGGTCGTCCGGGTTGTCTGGTTTGCAGCCCTCCACGGCGTCTACTTCGCCTCCGATCACGATGGTGTGGTTGCCGATGCCTGTGCGTACTACCGAGCAGTATTGGGCATAATTGTTGACGATCTCGTTCTCGCGGTTTTCGACTTCCTCTCGTGAGCACTCGGCTAGTGGTCGTGGCAAGGTGGACAGCGTTTCGAATTTGTAGCCTGGTCACGACATTAGCGAGTGGACCCATGTGTCTGGTACAGTCGAAATACGAACCCCAGAATGACATTTGGTCGGGGTCAAACATTGCTCGCCGTGCTCTCTGCTGGCTATCCTCGACTTTGGTCTGAGCTTCTTTCGCAGACTGGTTCTCTTCGATGTAGATGGTGCCCTAACAGCGCGTGTCAGCGATTAACGAGAGTCAACATGGAGTGGATAGTCACCTGGTAGACTGTTGCGTTCATTTCAAATTCGCCGTACTCGTCGAAGGGCGCAGTCAATATCTGCGGAAATCAGTCATCTGCTGAAGACATGGATGAGACCACCCCTTGATGCCCGGTCGATGTAACTCTACCTTGGTCATCATGCCACGCCAGGTGATTATGTCCGCGTCCAGTCTGGTGCCCGTCTTCTGTTCATGGTGCCGGATGGTGTCGAGGAGAGGATTGAGGTGAAGGTTGGGCTGGTCGTTGTATTTTTCGAAGGATTCATATCCTTTTGAGAGATCGATTCTATTCTGAGCCCGATCACCAGGGAGGTGGAAGAACGGCGGATAGTAGTATCTCAAGCTCCTGTCGTCGAGTGGAAAGCAGACATGCTTGTCGTCAAACGAGAACTCGGTAATCTCACGGGGTCGCTTGATGGCTGCCGACTTGGCCTGGAAGGGCGTCAGATCGTGGAACTTGAAGTGTAGCATGTCGGTCGATTTTGCCGTTTCATCGTGGTGTTGTGGGTGTTGGTGTTGTTGTTATTGCAGTGGTGGTTGTTAGTTGGTGCCTCAGTTGGCTCGACACGGCGCGATCTGTCTTTGGCTTGGCACTTCTCCAATTCTAGTCTCCGGCTGGCCTTCTGGGAGCGAGATCATCCGAGCAGAGGTCGATGAGCTCATGGGGAGGATATAGCAGCCGCACAGCTTCTGTCGAGGAGGAAGAGAAGTGGACGAGAAAGTGGACTCGATAAAGAAAAGACATCGACCTCAGTTATACAGACCCTGAGACCAGCCCCGGTCAGTAGCCGGTAAACCCTTCTCGTAATCAGCAAGAGGCGGCAGGCCACAACCGGACCCGGGAACCCTAAACTTTAAAGTATAAACTTCTGTAATAATCAGAATACCGGAGATCCCGATATTACCTGGTATATATACATGTCCACAAATGTGTAGCAAATTTATACAAACGCATGGAAACAAAGAATTTTGGGGGTTTACGACTTCACGGGTTGAGGTTACGTTTTGGCCGCTTCCGAGGTAACCAATGAACCAGTGAACCAGCAAACCCTTTTCGTTATCGTCTCCAAAATTTGCTTCTCACCACGAACAACGCATTCTCACTCGACTGGGCCATCAGCATGCCGGCGCCTCTCCAACAGTCGGACATCATCTTCTCTTCCGCATCGCATGTTCTGCGTGACACACTCGGCGAGCTCAAAAAGGCCAATCTCAGCATCAAGAACCGCCTCAAATCGATCAAGCAAGACTCCATCTTTGTTTGTGCCGTCTCGGACGCGTATCATCTGCCTTTGGTGGCCAACGAACGGTGTGGGAGCTGGTACATCCCTCCCTCGAGGAAAGCGGGAAGTGCTTACTTCAAGTCCACCGATGGCCATTTTGGGCAATGGACACTCTCGCTCAGGAGATTAAACCTGCAAGTGCTGGACTGTCTGGAGCAGCATGGCGGTGTGGTGATTGTCGACTCGACGCGCCGAGGCAAGAGTATGCCTGATGCGCTGTCCAAAACCATCCCGATATGGGTCGCTGTCCTGAATCGACTGCTGTTCGTGGAAGACCAAGAACCGGGCGAGTTGAGAACGCCACTAGATGTCGTTGGGGAGAGCGAGCATGCGCAGATCGAGTCGCGAATTGACGAGTGTCTGCACGGATTGACACGCCTCGACCTGGATTTAGACGGCCTGAGGGCGAAGCTGAAGGGGAAGCCAATGCAAGTGTGCTGGCAACGACCTGGTGATGCACTTCCCGAGGACCTGTCCAAAGACGCGACCGCTAACTTGATTGTACTGTGCACTGCCTCGAACCAGACTAGCAACGAGACCTCTGCAACATCCGACTACGTGCAAGGAGCTGCAGACGACCCGGAAGCATGGTCCTGCGGACTAGATTCCGTATCTTTTTGGCGGCACAGCGAGGCTTTGCTTGCGGCATCAGAGGACGATCTACCACTCCTCATCAAGGAGCTCATGGCATCTGCAGACACAGTTGGTCCTGCCAACAGGCCAGTGTTGGTCAAGCCGACTTCCCAAATCTGGATCTCCAGCAATGATACTGCAAACAGCTCATGCGACGAGTTTGACTATGTGATCGCCTGCACGACAACACCAGACCAAGACCTCGTCACCAACTTGAAAGATCGCTACATTGTCCTCCCTCTGCCCGCAGGTAAGAACGGCAGCCGCATGCTTCGCACAGAATTATCGAAGCTCGACTCTTTCCGCATTAGCTTGAGTGCGACCAGCAAAATCCTAGTCACTTGCTCTACTGGCAAAGATCTTGCTATTGGTGCAGCACTAGCACTCTTATGTACCTGCTTTGATCATGATGGGAAATTGATATCGCCGACGGACAGTGTGCAGCCTTCGATCAACAAGACGCTCATCAAGCAGCGCTTGAGCTGGATCATGGTGTCTATGCCTGACGCCAATCCCAGTCGTGCGACGCTGCAAAGTGTAAACTCGTACTTGATGGGCTGACCATAAGTCTCGAACTTTTTGTTTTGATTCCCACACTCCGAGTACGCTATCTGTAACAGAGAAAGAGAAGAGAGATAGACAGGTAAGAAATCGACCGTCTCTTTATCCAATCATGCTCCCAATCCAAGAATCCCAACCTCATGCAGTCGTTTTTTCTTCTCCGGCAACACCCGACTTGCACCCTCTGGTGGAGAAATCCTAGCCTCCGGGAGTTCGTCTTCTGGAAGGGTTGCGTCAAGACCTACCTCATCTTGGGCAGTAGTGCGATATCGAGGGCTATACAGATAGCTAGCTCAAGATATTCCTTATAGTGTTTGCACGAGCTTTTCGGTTTCTATAGTCTCAACAGCTTCAAATAGATAATAGACGGCTACGTTTTGTGACTGATGTCTTCAAAAAGATGCGTTGAAGTCTGATGCATAGCGGTATAGCCCCACTCCACCCAAAAAGGCTTGGCGCCCATCACCCCCGACTCCCCGACCCATACCACCATCCATACATCACCACCTCCCATCCCCCCCATCCAACGCCTCCCCCAAATCCCTCATCTCACAATGTCCCTCATCCCCCGCACCCGCATCCTCGACCTCCTCAAAGTGCAATGCCGCATCTTCAACACCACCTTCAACCCCACCGGCCAACGACTCGGCAACAAAGTTTTGCGCCAACGACTTCGAGGCCCCGCTCTCGCAACCTACTACCCTCGACGCGTGGCGACGTTTGTGAATTTGAAACGCATGTATCCCGGATATGAGCTGTATGATGATTTTGAGGAGGATCGGTTGGAGCATTTGCAGATTGCGAAGTCGAGAGGGAAGGGCGCGCCGAAGAAGAAGAATTCGAAGAATGGTGAGTTTGTTTTTTTTTGTGGGGGATGATTGGGAGGAAAGGGGAAGGGGATGATTGTGGGTTTTGCTGAGCTGACTTTTTCGTTCTTTACTGCAGAAACGAGAAGGGGACCGAAGAAGAAGCGTTAGGATTGAGGGGGTGGAAGAAGAGAGAGATACTACCGATGGTTGGCTGCTGGGAATGGATGTACAGATGGATTGGGTTACAGGAGCATGGCGTTTGTTTTGGGGGAGAGAAAGGGCGGGAATCTGCAGCTGTTTTGTCTGAAAAGATTATGGGACAAACTGCGAAGGGCTTCTTTGCATTGGGACGAAGCGCTCTTCACGCGCTACAACTGGCATGTGGTGTAAGCGCGCAAAGCATACAAGAGGCGCCACATTGCTGGGCTCGTCAACGTTCAATTGAGTACAGCTATCAAGAAATTGAACGTGCGAGGCTCGAGAGATTCTAGACTTCGACGCTTCTCATGGACACATGGTAGACTCAGCCAGTCTTCTCGAACATCGTGCTAGACGTCACTAACATCTGGCGAGATAGGATGTCCACGTAAATAATCACCTGTTCGCTTACATGTGACTCTGCTGACCGTCGAGTGAAGCACATGGGGTGAGATAGTCTCATTCATACGTCTTTTCATAAGTTACGTGTAGTCTACATCCACTTCCTGGGTATCGTAGCGCCCGTTTTGGACCGGCGGATCCGTATCAGATCAGGCTTTTTGTCTGCCTACGCTCCAGACTCCGATCAAAATGCATCAGTTCTTTTTGCCCATGACCCTTTTCTAAGTCCACTTTTGTACAACTACTCCACCACGCTTGAAGTCATTAATCTCGCCCAAGACCACTGACTTATCCGCAAGCTCTCGAGTAGGAAACGTGGTCTGGAGGACGTAGGCACGTTGTTGCGATGCGGGAGATGCGCGGTCGACAAATGCATAGACGTCGCCGATTGTGTGTGTTGTGTTGAAGCGCGATGCGAGGCGTGTGCCATCACCGAGGCGCACCTGCAGTTGGAGAGTGGGTTGTTGCTCATCCACCTGCATTTCTGCTGGCTTAGGAACGGACGACGATGCTGCGGCGGCAGAAGCACTTGATGCGGGAGCGGTTGCAGGAGTAAGTCCAGGCGTAGGTGAGCCCAGACGCTGGCCAGATCCACCGAACGGCTTGTACTTGGGCTTCGGCGCGACGTAATTCTCTCCCTTGTGAGGTTCCAGATTGAGATCTACTTCCTGATCTGGCATTACGTCGAGCAGTGCCTTCGGTGCTCGTCCATTGTTGATCTCCTGCATGATGCGCTCGTTGGCCGGATCGTCGAATCGTAGGAGTGGTCCATCGTCAATGCTCACGCCGTCTGCCCACAAGTGCAACGTTCTCGTAACTCGTGGCGCTGGTGGTTGGCCACGAGCAGCAGAAGCAGCAGCGGGGTCCTGAACCACTCTGCTGGGGGCATCATCGCCTCCCAATGTCTGCGCCCGTCCCATAAAGTGGCTGCTTCGTGTCGTCTCTTCCTCATCTCCACTGCCACCTGGCCGATCGCGGTTCTGACGTGCCTGATCCATGATATTACGAAAGTGATCACGAGGTCCATTGCGTTGATTCGGATCAGTCACAGCCAGTCCACTCTTCTCGCCGCCAGCAAAGAGATCGCGCTTCTTGTCGTCCTCTTCGTCCTCTTCGTCGCCTCCCTGCAAGTCGCGAATGGTGACTGGACCTTTGGACTTCTTGTTGGTCTTCGGCTTGCCGGAGGACGTCGCGGTCTGGGGATTGGACTCTGCCGGTGGCGGCGCTGAGGCCGAGGGCTCGTCGTTTTCGTCTGTTGATGGCTGCTCGTCTCCGGCAGCAAAGAACAAGCTCACAGCTTCGTCGAGGTTCCAGTCTGATGCAGCCAGCGCTGTTTGTGCCTTGTGCCGTCAGTAAGAGGGGTTAATGAAAGGTCTTGGACGCAGACGTACCACAGTGGGATCAGCACCTGTCACTGAAGCGAACTGGGCAATCTTCTCTTGCTGTGACTCGTCCATGGTGGCGATGCGATGTTGTTGTAGCCAAGAGAGAGGAAGTTGTGGGAGGTGACAACGAAAGTGAGGTATGACATAGCAGTCGAGAAACCCTTGGCGGTTACCTAGGTCGTGGACTGTGGAGCTAGAAGGTACATGTACCTACCTACACCTTACCTTACTTTAGTTCAACTTTGAGTGAGCTTGTCATGCTTGTGTACATACATGTACATGTAGCGTTCCACTCCCTCACGCCGTCTTGATCGCTCAGGATATATTGGCTGCCGACAAGCATAGTGAGCGACTTTAGTGGCATACTGCCGCCCAAACGACCAAGTATCGCCGCCTCGAGGACGACAGATTCCCCTCAAGAACGATACCAATCCATCATACTCACAACCATGGACCTCTCCGAATCGCAAACGACATTTCCCTCCGACAGCGAGAATTACGATGCCAACCACTCGAACCAGGACTCGTCAGAAGTCCCCATATCGGATACGAGCAGTCCCATGATTCTCTATTCACCGCCTACATTCTGGAGTATATTACGCGGCGCTGCAATCAACCTACTGCTACCGTTCGTCAACGGGTTGATGCTGGGGTTTGGAGAGCTGTTCGCACATGAAGCCGCGTTCCGCTTGGGATGGAGTAATACGAAGGTATGTCTACATGTGTAAGAGAAGTAGACCGCCTTTCACAACCGTGCGAGATCTGGGGCCTGGACGTTCATATATCTCGAGGGAGATCTAGGCAGAGGGACAAGCGCTAATTGATTATCAGGTATTTCCCAATCACAGAATAGGGCACACAGTAGGACCAGGCGTGGAGATAAAGGAAGATCCAATCGAGAGAAGACGGAGGAATGGCCAGGAAATGGACGTGTACACTTCACTTGAGTAGTGTCGAGCAGGTGCGCAGAGGGATATACTCCAGCTGACGACGTGAAAAGCGTTATGGTCTATAATACCGAAAGAGGATCCGCGGCCACACAGAAGGGCTCGCAAAACGAGAATGACACGAACCACGAGGTCATGTCCGCGATGAAAGTGGCACTGCCTAGAAAATACCAGACGCCAAACCAACATAACAATCCACAAAAACTGTAGCAAATGCTATGTATGATTCAATATCCTGAGCCGGTCTGGATGCTTCGTGTACTTGGAGTAGTCTCGACAAGCTAGCTAGTCGCACCTAGTGCTCAATGGCTCCTCGTATTTAAATCTGGAGAGCATTTCCTGTGACTGTTCTCAAGCACTTTACTCCAGAATGTGAGCAGTCTAGCGACCGTGCGCGCATAATTATCAGTAACTGGAAGATAGTATGGTGTATTGTAATGCCTTCTCTACTTACCTAGGCACCATACATGTCAGGTATTTCTAAGTGAGCAGGCAGTCTGCGCCGGCAGATGAGAAAAGCCGGCTTGGCATTTGGTGTCTATCATGAAACTGCCATTTTTCTTTAAATATTTTCTTCCGCGTAGAAGCTTCACATCACATCCGGGCATCATTGCGCTGCTCTCGGCCCCATGGATACCTCAACCTCCCGGACTACATGTTCTCACGATTCGCGGCCAACAAGACGACGTCCGCCTGCCGAGGACCTGTATTAGGGCTGGTGTTCAGGCTGAGATAGGCCGCGGTTTCCCATCCACGACTTCGATTCTATGGACCATGCTAGCAGCAGAAGAATCATGGATCTCGGAGATAGCGCATCGTCATCGGGGATCATGGCCATCGAGTAAGTGTGCCTACGGCCAAGGAGACGCCGACTAGTATGCCTACCTTACCACCTAAGGTACCTTAGCTTTCCAATATGCGCAACCTCCGCAGAGCTGCGCGGCGTCCCGACTGCTATTATGCATGCGATGATGCCAGCTTTTCCAGTCAATTCATTCCGAGGGCACGAACTTCACTCCAAGCTCGAATGATCTTCGATGTCCTTACCATTCTCGGCTTTCTTACTCCTCTCCAATTAATTCACAGGCATGCAGTGCAAAGGAACCGTGGTCTTCCTTCCTGACTTGGCCAGGGGGCCACTTCCAGGTCAAATCATCACTTGTATATCCCCTCGAAAGGATAGTAGTGAATAGAGGCACAGATCCTCTCACTAGTGTCTTGGGCGCTATTGTCCGGTGTAATAGTGGACGAAGACGTTGGGACGAAGGCGGTCAAGCCCCCTCCAGGGACTGGCTTTTCACAAGAGTAGTGCATGAGATCGATGCGACCAGCGTGACAGTTCTGTTGCATAACTGAGCTTCAAGCTCGGATGCCAGAAAATGGCAGGCTATATCGTAAACTCGGTCCCACAGATTATGCCTTTCTGACATCCTGGACAGTTCTGCCGAGCGATGGTACTGCTACGACTACCACACCATCCTTGTACAAGTTTATTTGACGAACGAGCGGAGAAGATATGGTTGTTCAATCATTATTGGTCATCTCACATTGGCATGCACTGAATCACGAGCCTTGACGCTCGCGATGACGCTCCATCAAGCGAGTGTTGCATCGTAGTGGTATGGTCCATTATGCAAAAAGAGAAGGCAAGATGCTGTGACACCGATCACTGGTGTATCATGGGATTGTAGCAAAAGAACATTTTTCGTCAAAAATTTCCAAATCGCACACCACGGAACGCGATGGAAACTGACCAGGAGCAGCCATGGTCAATGACCTTGATGTCCTCACGAGGCGCGACGAGCACAGAAGTCCTGACTGTCCTGTGCACGCTCATCGATGCGATCATTTCGGAGGTGTTTTAACGCCCCCAGTCCTGGTCTCCAATGCTTCATCCCTTTGGGCATCTGCAGACGATCACACCATGTTGCAGGGATTCGGCACCTCTCGATAGCTGGATGGATCCGCACGCATGTCGAGCTTGCAGTAGAACTGGACAACTCTCCACGAAATTCGAGCTTGAGTTTTGCGAAACATGGATTCTCCTGCCATGGGTGTACCCATGCTCAATGCTTGACAGTGCGGAGAACTCGCGTTTTGTCCAATAGGAATGCTCGCTGCTGCTCCGGGACTTTGACTTCATGTGATCGCTCAAGAAGTCTTAGACGTCACTGTTGCTACAGATCTCACGAAACACTCTGGCGGGGACGATTCGTGGCTATACTATGGTCAGCTGCTTCTTTTGATACAGCCTGAGCTGTTGGACTTATGCAGGGCTCGTCGGGTTGCTGAAAGAGCGAAGAACGATAGTGAGGCAGCAAAGTGCACGCACCCACTACCTCCTAGCGTGATTTGACAAGAGTGTCAATAGTGAAAAAGTAAAGTTTATTGGCGGGGCACCCTGGATAGTGGATGGTATGGATGGAAAATGTCAGGTCCTTTTAGTGAGCTCATGGCCACCGTCGCCGTTCTCGATACCAGTAGTCGGCATCCTCCTCTCTTCTCCATCCTTTCAACTCCTCCAGCTCCACAGTCCACACCATGGCCGACATCTTGAGGCGAAACACTGCCATTGATACCAATGGACATATCGTCAATGGCAAGACCGTTGATATTCATATCACCGACGATGGCTCCAGCTTCTACTTTGCGATCTGCGCGGTAATGGGTACTGTGGGATTGGGCGTCCTCGCCTCGTCTCTGATGAAACCACGCACCCATCGCGTCTTCTTCTACATTACTGCGGCTGTCAACATTACGGTAGGCGGATGTGACTTTCGAACTTGAAAAGAGTGTTGTTGCTGACAAAGTCCAGGCCGCCGTCGCGTACTTCAGTATGGGCAGCAACCTTGGTTGGACACCAATCGATGTCGAGTTCGTGAGGTCAGACTCCAAGGTAAGTAGTTCTAGCCTCTGCTCGAGGTCGCATCAAGCTCGAGCCTATCAAGGCGATGTGCCTCAAGACTAGACCCGTCATGACGGCTTCGCGTTTCTAGAGACATTCGCTTACCATCGTCTTCTTCCTGTTCTAGGTCGCTGGCATGAATCGCGAGATCTTCTACGCACGATACATCGATTGGTAAGGAGGCAGTAGTCACACACGTTCTTGGCGGATAGTGCTGATCTTTGACCAGGTTTGTCACCACGCCTCTTCTGATCATGGACCTGCTTCTCACTGCTGGTCTTCCCTGGACAACAATCATCTGGACCATCTTCCTCGACGAAGTCATGATCGTCACGGGTCTGGTTGGCGCACTCGTCAGCACAAGCTACAAGTGGGGCTATTTCGCGGCTGGAACCGCTGCCATGTTCGGAATCTTTTACAACCTCGCCATCCACGGACGCAAATCCGCAGCCCATCTCGGCACGGATGTCGTTCGTACCTACACAATTTGTGGTGTCTTGACATTGTTCATCTGGCTGCTCTACCCCATCGCGTGGGGTATCAGCGAAGGTGGTAACCTCATCTCACCAGATGGCGAGGCTGTCTTCTATGGTATCCTGGACCTTATCGCCAAACCAGTCTTCTCCATCGCTCTGATCTTCGGACACTGGAACATCGACCCGGCGAGAATGGGACTCGTCCTCCGTGACTACGATAGTGACCCGGATTACTTCCACATCGCCAAATCTGGAGGACATGGCGAGAAGAATGGCCTTGGAAATGGTACAGCCCACGACGCTGTTGCCGATGACCAAGGAGGTCCATCTGCCTCCGGTGGTGCTGCTGCCGAGGCGGACAAGGTCTGATGAAGACAGTCAATGATATACCTCACATCATGTATTGGTGGAGGACGACAGTATCGGGTGTTGACCGAATGAATCAACGATTGGAATTGCTTTGTAGGAGCGAAGATACCCTTTCGGCGACGGCGTGGTCGTAATGTTAATTGATTGTAATTTTCGTCTGAAAAGTGTTATTGCTGTAGCAAGAAATGCAAAACTGTCGTTTGAGCATCTTCATGATTAGCGGCCTGCAAACGATTTTCTTTCTTGCAATGAATGCTGTCCTTCCAAGAGGGTTTGAGGTCGTTCGTATGTGTTTGAGTCATCACTGAGTCGCATGATGCCAAGCCGGAAGTATTTGCTTCCTCTAGCTCCCGCCCGTTCATACCTCCTAGTGGAACATTGTAGTTCCGGGAGCGGGTTGCAAATGAGAGCATCTGAGCACATGGCCTCCTTTCTACAATACGGCGCCATTGCCTCGTCGCCCTACCTCCTATCTCGTATACCAAGACAGACGACCGAGGGTACACATTTTCCGAGTTTCATCCTCAGGCTGGCTGTGTGGCGGCAAAACCGAGTCCCTTGGAGACTAGAACTAGCATCGAACTCTAAACCTTGTGCCCTTTCCATCCACCTCCGAGGTCCGCGCCAACAATCCTGCGCCTCAACCAGGTCCCACGCACGCAAACGTGTCCAAGGACATTCTTACTTCATCAACAGTATGCCGGCCTCCATCACAGAACGAAAGCATTGATACGGATCCTCCACGAAAAGGCAGCGGAGAGAGGCCCGACATGTCTGGCGAGCAGGGCCAAGGCCTGTTGACGGGCGAGTTCCAGGAGAAGCCGGCGGATGGTAGACTGGCTTCGATTCGAGGCATCTCTTGGAAGGCCATTCTCGGATCCATCGGACATGCACTGAAACCAGAGATCTTTGAGCGTCGAGGATTGTCTGCTGCGCAGAAACGCATCGGCACCACAGCATGGCTCGATGGGCTGCGTGGCATCGCAGCTCTCTCAGTGTGCACGATGCACTTGTGCGTTTTCACGCATCCCAACCTGGAATTATGCTATGGAGCTGGAATCGAGTGGGAGAGATATAATACCAGTATTGCGGCGTGGCCTATCTTTCGACTGCCCTTCACCGGAGGCCACTTTGCCGTGATTTTGTTCTTTACCATATCTGGATATGTGGTCCCTCGACGATTGTTGAGCTTATTACATGAAGGGAAACAATCAGAATTTGTGGAAGCGATCAACGGGGCGATTGTGCGAAGACCCGGGCGACTTTACCTGCCAGTGGCGTTTTCTACGCTGGCTTTGGCTTTCTTCTGGCATATTACTGGCCTGGCTACAGCTTTCCCACAACGACAGAGCAATATATTTACAGAATGCTGGGCTTGGTGGAAAGATCAACTCAAGTTCTGGTACTACTACCGTACCGGCTTCCTCTTCACGTACTACAATGCTCATACTTGGACCATTCCTGTGGAATTCCGCGGCAGTATGAACATATTTGTGTGGCTCTTTGCGGTTCATCAGGTGCGCACGCGCTGGCGCATAATATTGACAGTAGGCATACTGGCGCACTTCATCCATGCTTCTGGAGCTTGGTACGCGGCCTTCTTTGCTGGTATGCTTACCAGCGAGCTGGACTTGATCTATACGAATGGTGTGCAAGTGAGCTTGCCTTGGGATTTCATCATCAACTTCTTTAGGAAGCGACCCATCGTGAAGCAAGTTACTTTACACGTCATGCTCATCATAGGACTTTTACTTGCCAGCCAGCCGAGCTCAGACATGCATTCGAGGGAGGAGACGATGGACTGCGGACCATGGAGTCACTTGAACAAGATGATCCCAGGTCCCTACGAAGATGGAAATAACACGACGTACCGATGGTTCTGGCTCTTTTGGGCTGCGTGGATGATCATCGTCACGGTCGGTCAGATCAGCTGGGTCAAGAGGCTTTTCGAGACCGGTCCAGCTCAATGTAAGGCTCCCCGAGATCATCATCCACATGCCCGAACAAACAAATGCTAACATATTACAGATCTTGGTCGCCACTCCTTCGCCCTCTATCTCGTGCACGGTCCCATCATCGGTCTGTGGTCCGATCGCCTCTTCTATCTCGCAGGTGTAAAATCGCCTACTAACGACGACGACATTGTCCGCTTCGGACACCTGACCAACAAGTGGAAAGACGCCAGCTGGTGGTTCCTCCCAGAAGGAGGTCCTTATGCCTTGGAGCCCAACTTCATTTTTTGTGTGGTCTTGTCTCTCCCAGTGATGCTCTACGTGGCGGAATGTGGAACGAGAATGTTTGATATTCCTGGCGTCAAGGTGTCACGATGGATGTGGACCAAGATGAAGTCCTTGTAAGAGGAGCGACAGTGTGACGGCCGTATGAGTGTTTCGGCACGTTGTATTGGTATATATGAGTACCTAGCTTGTACAGTCTCAGAATGGGAAAAAGCAGTGTGATTCCTTGTCGACATGATGTCCAACCCAGACTGTTGTGTCCAGCATTTGCATACGCACTGATCTGCTCGCTTCTATTTCCAGCCCCAGCTTCACTCACGGGCCGGGCTCCGTCGGCAGCAAGAACTATTCTAAGCCTTGTTCATATGCGCGCTAAAGTGTTGGAAAGCTGGAGTCATCCACTGCTCGGTACAGTAAGTACATGCCATTCTTTGTCCATCTGTCTTTCTCTGTCTGTCTGTCATTCTCCCGCATAGGTACCCGCTCCTTCCTTCTTTGATGCATAGTCGCCTCACCGTGATCGCAACTTCGTCGCTGACCAGGACCATCGCCAATGCAACGACACCTTTCATAACACGAAGCCAGCCCCACCACCAACTTTGCTCGAGATATCGACTGTCCAGCTTGACCTGGCACCGCACAATGGCCACCGCACAACCCGAATGGCGCGCACCGCAGAAAAGTGTCGAGCAGGGTGGGCTCCCTCAACTGGTCATCTACAACTCCCTCACGAGAAAGAAGGACCCTTTCGTGCCCATTTCAGGCACCAAGGTTGGCTGGTATGCTTGTGGGCCTACCGTCTACGATGATGCGCATTTGGGACATGCGAGAAACTACGTCTCGAACGATATCATCAGGAGGATCCTGTCAGACTACTTCAAATTTGACGTCAACTTTGTTATGAACATCACGGATGTAGATGACAAGATCATCTTGGAGGGACGAAAGCGGTATCTGCTGGATCAGTTCCTGGCAAAGCACGAGGCCGTGGACGAGGAGGTGCGGAGTACTACACGAGAGGCGTATGAAGCGTACGTAGCCAAGCAGCTGCCGCTATTGGGGGAGAGCAAGCCAGAGACATTCGCCCAGGATGAGAAGAAGGCTTATGGACACGTGCTGAGTGGGAAAGCGGTGGAGGGCAATGGACCGCCAGGAGATAAAGAAGCGAAGGTCAAGATGCACTTGGACACAGTACGGTCAGCTGCGGAAGTTCTGGCTTTGCCATCAGACCAGATTCCGGCTCTAGACGTGTGGGCAGCGAAAGCGTCGGGAGTGCTCAAGCCATATCTGGATAGCAAGTACTCCCACACCATCGACGGCCGGAAACAACACGATGTCTTCACAAAGCTCACAAAGCTGTACGAGCAGCGTTTCTTTGAGGACATGGAACGGCTGAATGTACGATCGCCGGACAAGCTTGTGCGCGTGACAGAATATGGGCAGAAGATTGTGGACTTCGTCAAGCAGATACAGGACAATGGGTATGCTTACGAACACGAAGGATCGGTGTACTACGACACGACAGCGTGGGAAAAGAGTGGGGGTGTATACGCGAGACTACAGCCATGGAACAGAAACGACCAAGAGCTGCAAGCGGATGGGGAAGGCTCACTCGCTACGAATACGACCAACTTCAAGAAGGCCAGCTCAGATTTCGCGCTTTGGAAGGGCTCGAAGCCGGGCGAACCAGTCTGGGAATCGCCTTGGGGTGAAGGCCGACCTGGCTGGCACATAGAGTGCTCGGCCATGGCCTCTGATATCCTAGGAAAGCAGATGGACATACACTCCGGCGGCATCGATCTTGCTTTCCCACATCACGACAACGAGCTGGCACAATCAGAAGCATTCCACCACAAGTGCGGCGCAGAGAGTGAGCAGTGGGTGAACTACTTTCTGCACATGGGGCATTTGCACATCTCAGGCAGCAAGATGAGCAAGAGTCTGAAGAATTTCACGACGATCAAGACTGCCCTCGATCGGGGTGACTACACTCCACGACAAATGCGCATCATCTTTCTACGCGGCGCGTGGAAAGACCAGCTGGAGATTGACGACGATATGAGGAGCGCAGGCAGGGCGTGGGAGGAGAAGATTGACAACTTCTTCATCAAAGTGCGGGACATCCATTCTCATCCTACGACCACTCACAGCAATGGCGCCAATGGAACGTCTACCCCTAGTTCCGAGCTGGACGCTCAGCTCGAGGAAGCAAAGGTGAAATTCAACGATGCTCTGCTCGACTCCTTCGATACGCCGACTGCTATGCGCATCATTTCAGACCTTATCACATCATACAACTCGGCCGCATACATCCCGGACCAAACTTCTATTGCCATCGGCAAGTGGGTGACGGAAATGCTGGTAATGTTCGGCCTAGATGCGAACTACAAGCAAGGAGAGATTGGCTGGTCCGGAGTCGACATACCAGAGCAGGCCAAAGCTTTCATCTACCCCTTGTCTGAACTACGTGATCGAGTCCGTAGTCAGGCCATCGCCGGCGAGGTCGACATCTTGTCCCTCGGTCGACTCGACGAGAAGGATAACTTCTACCGCGACGATCAGAAGTACGCTCGCGCACTGGCCAATTTCCAGCGGAAACTTCACGAGCTGTACACAAAGAATGCAGAAACCAAGGCGTATCTTGAGGCTTGTGACGAATTGCGGAACACAACATTATGGGATCTGGGCATCTACCTCGAAGATCGCGAGAAGAAGCATGCACTTGTGAGGCCATTGTCAGCAAACCTGCGTGAGGAGAGGCAAGACAAGGAGAGAAAGGCTGCAGAGAAAGCTGCTGCGAAGGCAAAAGCACAGGCCGAGAAGGCAAAAGCTGATGCGGAAAAGGCGGAGAAGGCGAAGATTGACCCGGCGACCATGTTTCAGCAAGGAGAGTATGCTGGCAAGTACAAGGCATACGATGAAAGAGGAATCCCGACACACGAGGCTGATGGCAAGGAGGTCGCGAAGGCACAAACCAAGAAGCTCGCGAAGCTCTGGGAGGCTCAGAAGAAGCTGTTTGAGAAGGCACAAGCATAGTGATGGCGACATGGCTGCAGTGCGTCCCAGTCTACGAATCTGGCCATGGAATGAATGCCCAACGAAAGTCACCGCATCATATTGTGATGAAGGTACGATGAGTAAATGCTACCCTACCTAGGTACCTAAGTAAAGCTAAGGTAGATATGATTGGGAACACACTCGCAATCTTTTTTGACTCGCCGCTCCCTATCAGTACCTATGTCCCATTGAACAGAAAGGTATATCAAACCTAACCCTAACCCTAACCCTAACACTTTGGGATTTGGGATTGGGATTGGGATTTTTGTGTTAAAGTACCTACGATGTGTTGGATGTATTGTATACCTCTTATACGAGAGTTTGCCGGTGATTGCTGAAGAAGGAAGGAAGTAAGAGTTGAAGGGATGGATAGGCTGGCACGGGATGGGGTAGAGGGGATAGGATGGTTCCTATTTCGTCGTCGCCGGAGTTTAATCTACGGTTTACCTATGTGTATAGTGTACATTGTACAGTTTGTACTTCAGGAAGAATAATTATCCTGTTACTGTCTTTTGCTCTTTAAGATGATAGTCGTGTGATAGCGTGATAGTGTGATAATCGAATCAACTCCCCGCACAATTTGAACGCCAATCCCAGCATGTGCATGGTGCGCACCGTCCACATCGTCGAGATCTGGGACTTGTACCAGTCCAGTGGCCAGTGGCCACTATTGTATTGTACCAGTCTAGCAGTGCCGCTTGAGCCTTTAATCAAAGTTGCAAAATTTCAAGAATGCGTGACGGGAGATTTTGGCCAATGTTGCTAGCTCATGACGTGGTCAGGAGTGTCGAGGTAGCGAAGTAGGTGCAACAGCATCATCAATGTTACTATGAACGCGGTTCTCACGGGACTGGCAGAAGCTGGAAATGGGCTCGAATTATTCACCGGGCTTGTAGACATTCATTCACACCGGAGCCTTCGGACGATTATCATCTTCGATCATTTCCTCTCTGTACTAGATCAACAAGCTTCAAACAACGTGGGCTTCGTTCTAGAGGCTGGATCTTTCTTTCAATAAGGTAGGAAACCGTGGAGAACATCTGCCCCGACTCTGACCGTGCTATTGAGTACAGCCTGACGGCTGCGAAAATATTTGTCTGCGGCCACTGCACGTCGATATACGTTGAAATGCATTGGTGAACGCCTCATCTCCGTCACCAGCGTTTCGAAGACTAGAGCTCACTGGATCCAACGTTGTAGAGGCAGATTTGGTGGAATTTCTTTTGGGGGTTCTGCAGCCTCCTTAAAAGGTATGTATGAAGTTCTCGCAAATTCAGCTGCATCGGGGGAGGAAGAAGCTGGAGAGAGTGTGTGCTGCATTGGACAGGCATTTTCGTTTCGGCCAGCTCACTACCAACCAACATCGTGTGTCAGTTGCTCTGGCCTGGCAAATGACAGACGACCCTGATCGGCCTATGGAGCCGTATGAGCCATATGTGTGGTACATGAACACGATTGCCTTCCACACGCATCGCACCCGACTGCCTCTTTGGCGCTTTTTGGGATGCACGAGCATCTCCACCGACTGAGCGTGAACGGGACAGGATACGAATAGGAAGGAACATAGCTAGATAGGCGGCTCGTACCATACCTCATCGTGCCGTGAATATTCCATAGACCTCGCATTGACCAGGGCTGTCGAGCTCTCAGCGGTAGGCCCACTACGGCTGCCGGCCGGCTTCTCCGCGCGCTGACCGCAACAACATTGGTAGACCTGAGACATTTGTTGTAGAGCTGGAGTAGAATAGAGACTGCCGGCTGCGAAGCTTTCGAGGTTGTTACACTCCCTGCAATAGGATACATACCATGTATGCATATAGGAAGTGAAGACAGTGTGCGGCGATTTTGGAGGTCCTCGTCGAAGGCTGTCTTATGCAAGCGATCTTGAGACTGTGACTAGAGCCCAGAAGCACAGTATCCATAATGCATGCATGACCAGAGTCCTCGTAGAAGGATATACTCAACACGAATGCATATATCTCATCTCATCATCTTATCATCTTTTCATCTTGTTTTCATATCATCATAAGCCTTCCCACCCCACCACTCCCAAGCCATCACAGTCTTCCTTTCGCCTCCTCTCTTGTCGTGGTACCACCACCACCACCATCTTCACCACCAAGTCACTTCCCCTCATACTTCTCCCCCTGCAGAGTAGCAACAACCTTCCTTTTCATCCGACTCTCCCTAAACTCCAAATACCAAATCCCCTGCCACGTCCCCGTCGCCAATTTCCCCTCAGAAATCGGCACACTCACACTCGCTCCGACGAGCGCACTCTTGATGTGTGCGGGCATATCATCCGGTCCCTCACAGCTGTGTCGATACAATTTCCCCTTCTGATCCTGCGGCGCGAGTCGGTCAAGCGCGTCGGACATGTCGGCGCGGACATCCTCATCCCAATTTTCGTTGAGCGAGAGGGCGCAGGAGGTGTGTTGGATGAAGAGGTGGAGGAGGCCGACTTTGTAGGTTTTCATCTCGGGGAGTTCTTGGAGGATGGTATCGGTGATGAGGTAGGAGCCGCGGCTCTGGGAGGGGAGGGTGAAGGTCTTTTGGGTCCAGGACATTGTTGTTTTTGTTGGTTGTGTTGTGCACGATGCGGGAGGACAGCAGGCGCAAGTAGGGAGTTTGGATGGGATTGGAGGGGAAAAGTCTGGTGTGAGAAGGGAAAGCGGGTATGTCAGAGGGATGAGCAGGTATTGGAAAAGACTGGGGAAGAAAGCGACGATGAAGACGCAGAGGAAAATGCAGGTGTTGCGAAGATTGGTGTCGAACGGCATTGGTGTTTGCGTCTGGAGGAAGGTGACGTCAATTGAGGTTGGCTGGCTGGAGGGAAGTTTTGATTCACATGGTGATATGGAGGGCCATGGGATGAGGAGCATTTTGATATCGTGAGGTGAGAATCCGTGAGATACGAGCTTGTGGTTTTCATCAACTCATTCATTGATACATCATCGTAGCAGCTTCTCACGCCCTACCTGCTTGGCGCAAGTAAAAGCTTCATGGACCACACCCTCCAAGCCGCTGTGTGTATCTCTGTCTTGTCTCAGCCGTAGCAAATATGGCTTCAATCGCATACCTGCCCATCCAAGACTCTGCCCCAGAGTGCAAGCTGCAAGAGATACCATGCAAAGAAGACGCTGATCTCTAGTCTTCCTTCTCCTCGGCACGCACGAAGTAGAATGCATTTGGGTAGCGAGAATCCTCCTTCCAGGCCCCAGTCAGCTCCTTGGCCTCGCCAAACATACTGCGAGATGAACCTATTAGCATGTCAAGCATAAAAATGAAAGGACCAACATACCGAAGCGTGTGAGTCTTGTCGAGCTCTACAACCCAGCACATCTGATCCTCCTCCATCTTTGGGACGAACTCGCGCGGAGCGTAGACATTCTCAGACTTGGCAAGCTTCATGTTATCCGCGTCGACCTCAGCTTTGGTGCGCCCAATCCAGACGTTGGCTTTTGGGACTGGCTCTGGCGCTTTTGGTGCTTGCTGTACTGGGATGTAGTAATGCTCGTTGCCAGCGATCGGCACGGCGACTGGGGCTGGAGCTGGGGCGGGAGCTGGGGCGGGAGTGGCAATGGCATACTGGGGGTAGTAACCTTGAGGAGCTGGCTGCATTGCCATCTGGACTGGGTGCGAGTAGTACTGCTGTTGACCTGGGTGAGTCATGCCTTGTGGTGCGTAGCCATAGTAGATGGGCTGCGGGTAAGTCACGATGGGTGGTTGAGGGGACTTTGAGTCTGCTCTGCCGCCCGATGGAGCTGGAGAGGCCGACTTCTGCTTTGGAACGAGGTATGAGTGCGAGTGGTAACCATTGTTGCCGTCGAAGCCTGGTGCTGGCGGGGCACCAGGAGTGTACTGCTTGCTGTCGGACGGCCAATGCTCGTAGTCGTCGTCGTTGCCAGCCATGATTGACGTGCTGTGGCGAAAGCGATAGTTGTGTGTGGGTTGAGGCGGAAGAGGAAGTTGTTGACGTAGTTGTTGTCGAATTGAGAAGTGCGCGGACTGATACATTTGACCCTCTTCCGAGTGAAGTGAGGTTCCAGTGCGACAAGTGGCGAGAAGAAGGAAAGAGCAAGACTTACGGCCTGAGTTCGAGGCATCAACACTTTTCGCTGAATGGTTGTCGTGCGTGTTCGGCTGTTGCGAGGTGGCGGCGGAGGCTCTTCCAACCAGATTTCTGCAAATGGCCAGCACATTCTTCTCTATGCGCGATGGTGAAGCAAAAGACAACGAGGGCGCTATTGTGAGGCCGAGCAGCTCTGATCAGCAAAAATGCGAACTTTTAATTGCACGCCGTATTCTCGAAGAGCGCAGGTGGAGCACGCAGACAAGCGGCTACATGTAGGAAATGTCATCCACTTCACTCGACTGGGAAATATCGCTCGAGGCCACAAGGACGTGATAAGGCAGGAGCGCTGCTTCACAGCCTCTGAGATGGTTTTGCTCCAAGAAAAGCTATTAGCAATAGTCAGTCAATACATAGAGACGCAGGGCCAGTCGACGAATATGAGCCTGGGTTCTCTGTGTCTAGACAGCGCGCTTACGGTGGGAGATGAGTACATTTTGTTGAACTCGTATCAACTTACCCTACACTGAGGTGCATAGGCAAATGCCATTCTTGTACGAAAAAGTATCTGACGCTTTACGACCGTGAGGAATCACAGCCAATTCTGCGCGCTCTCCTTTCCATCTGCACATCTCTCACGAACCAAGTCCTCCCATGAAGCTCAAATCTCGTCTCTGTTTGTCCGTTGCGATCCTGCAATTCAGAGCGTCCCAGGACCATCTTGAAAACATCGCCTGTCGCGGGTGCCGATTGTAGTGCTTCCATCTAGTCATTCTCGTAACCACCAATCCTCATCGTCACCCTCGTCCTCGACCTCCCACCAATCCTCATCCTCACCTTTATGCTCGATCTCCCACATGCCGGAGTGACCGCCTGTCTCCGCCAATTGTTTGATCTTGGCGCGAATGTCTTCCTTGGAACCTTCATACTTGAACCCGTGGCTTCCGTCACAATCACAAAAGTATCCTTGATGAAAACCTTTATAATCATCACCTCCCTTCAAGTGGACTGCTTGAAAGCTCGTTAAGTGGAGCTCATCAGCAATGTGGTTGAGGACAATGGGCCAAAGCAGCGGTTCGTGTCCGTCCCAAATTGTGCAACGCGAGAGTACAAGTTCTTTGAGAGAAGATCGTCCATTCAGCACCACGTCCGTCATATATGACACGTTCGTTCGTACACCACCGAGACGCAGCTGACGTAAGTGCTTGAGGGAGAACACTTCGTTTAAGATCGGGTAATGTCTTAGATCAAATTGATCAACTTGACCAATGTCATTCATGCTCAGATATAGGGAAGTGATTTGGAAGGCACTCAGGAAAAGACGGTGAAAGCCTCCACCCATGGTCTCGAAATTAAACCTGTTGAGCGGGTTAATTCTCAATACACGCAGCTTCGCCCAGGTCTGGAACAGGACTTGCATGCGTTCCACATCGATAGGTTGGAACAGCGCAGGACCCAGCATCCAGTCTCCCCATTCGAGTTTGAGATCATCGATCACATGCCTTGAGTCCGCTAACGCGTGCCCAATGATTTTGTAATCACTTGCAGGGGGCCATACTCCAGATGTCCCGATAGACTTGCCCGCCCCCAGCAGTGACAGATTGCGGAAACTCTGCGTGAGTGCATCTCTCTTAAAGGTTTTCCTTCCATCGATACGACACCAAGGCTCAGGTCGCAACTTGATTCTCTTCATCCATTTTGCCAAGTAGGAGATGTTCGTCATTTCCACAAACCTCTGAAGACTTTTGATGTCAAGCGAGACGTTCATCATCGAGAAGAAGCGTTTTGCGAATACATCTGTGGTATCCTTGGCAAGCGCACGGCACACCTGACGCAGCACGCGGAGTTCCTTATCTTCCAGCATCTCAGCGATCTCGATGTGAATTTCGGCCGCGAGTTTGGCGAGGTTAGCATTTGGAGAAATCGCTCTGACGGCGGGCGGCTCATGATTTGGAGTGGAAGCAGCCATGGTGGCGGCGGCGGCGAAGTCGTGGATGTTTTGTGGTCAGTGCCGATGTTGATGTCGAAAGTTTGTGGAAGTGAGTCGAAAGTCAGCGATGTTGTAGGTACAGGTATGTTTGCTGTGTGCAGGGACGTGGAAACTGGTAGTGACTAGCGTGTGTCTCACCAACCCTCTCGCGCTCTAATTTGTGCCTTATACGTACCTTACATCTCGGAATTCCGTTAATGTTCTCTTCGGTGTCACTCCATCATCGTTGGCAAACGCAACGCAACGCCAATCATCCTAGTCTCAAAGTGATCAGTATATCCATTATATGCAGCACATACCTACCTGTCTATACATTGTACGCCACCAGCGACTTGGCAACGTGCTCGATCAACTGACCTTGACAAGCGCGCCTTCGATGTGAGGGATGACTTTCTCTGTGGCGAGGCAGTGGGTTGCTTCAGAACTTGTCTCTGTTCACCGATTGGAATGAGCTTGCACCTTGCTGGCAACTATCGGCTTAGGACTATACAATTCTCAGCAGGCGATGACGAGTCCTTGGCACGTATAAAGAGGAAGCCTACCTAGTGATGGGATTCCGAGCCATGTCACCTAGGCCTATTGTACTCTCAGTGTATCCTGCGAAGCTTAGAGCACAGACGGGGACTTGTGGTGGACGCGTCAAATGAAGTGAGATACTTACATGGTGATTGCTGAAACGATTATATATGTAGGGCATATGTATTCATCTTGTATGCTCCAGAAGCAGGAGTGCATATTCCCCCCGTCCGAGTGGTCGCTCGCGATAATGTGGTGTTCTATTATACCAGGGAGCAAGGCCCGGTAAGAGCTGGATAGTCCTTGTCAGGAATCGTGTTTCATGACCACTCGATAGGGCATGGACGCTAGGACTGTCGAAACCGTGAGTTTGGTGGCGTAATGAAGAAGCGCTCCACTTCGTGTATCTTTTAGACAGATATGTGAAGGGAAATGGTTCTCGGGATGTATCACGTCAATATACAGTGTCTCGCATTGCTCACTCGGCTTTCTATCTCTGCCCATACGCCTCCCCAGTCGCAGTCTGGTAAGGGGTAGTTGCGCCAGTCCTCGCGTTACCCGAGTTCATATCGGCTGCTGGAATCTGCGCAGCGTCACCAGTAGGCTCAAGAGGATACGTGGTTGAAGGCAAGCTCTGAAGGTGCTTGCGGTGGTGCTCATGGGCCTGTCATTCACTATCAGCATATGCATCGCGCAAGCTTGCTTCCATCTTAGACTCACAAATGGCAGCCCGCAGTACGTGCACATGCAGATCTGTGGCTTGTCCACATTGATGAAGATCCTCGGATGTCCCAGTGGTCCGCCTCCTCCATCGCAAGATACAACACGTTCCTTTGTCCAACGCACTGGTTGCTTGTGGATAAGCTCAATGGCAGCAAGCGGACGTGGCTGCGAAGTGATGGTCAACCAGTGTCCTCGGACATAATCAACAGCCTTGTGGCAATGAGAAAGCGTGCTCATAGGTCTTTCATACCTGATCTTCCATGATTGTCTGTTCAAATCGTGGTCCAACCATTGCCTCCGCCCGTGGCTTCTGGCTCCTGCTCCAGACAGTAGCCCTGTTCGGGGCTTGCATGACACGCTTGTGCTCCGCCTCTTCAGCCTGCTCTACGAGAGCTTCATCCTGAGCGCCGTGCGCAACTGTGGGGAGAGCATTCGTGCTCGATACTGGAGATCGTCGAGTAGGTTGTTGCGGGCTGTTGGCTGGGATTGTGTTATCGGTAGTGAAGGAGCTGTATGATCGCGCGCCGATAGCTCGCCTGCCGATAGCTGGGAACAGCCTCTGTGTGCCTCGTTGAAGCATTGTGGTGGTATGGGAAGAAATAAGCGTCGTAGGAGGTCCAACTCGGATGTCGTGCTGTTCTGGAGGAGTTGAGGTGGTGTCTGCGGTTGTCTGCGGTTGTATCCGGCGCTAGTGGGACTGCCTACAAATTCAATCTTCCACTCTTTGGAAACCGTCTTCCTTTCTCTCTCATACTGTGAGTTGATACCCCATCCACCCCATACACTTCGATCCATCAGTGCTAACGTACATCAGTACCTTCTTGAGGTTTCTGGCGCTCATGAATGCTGGAACCATTTAGACGTGGCTGCATTGCACAGCGCGGACCACAACTGAATCCTGTCTCCTTCGGGGGCCAGGTCGGGGGAATTTTTGCTGGCCAACTCGTCGTCGCTTGCGACTTCGAAGACTCTTTCATCAGCTCACTGGCCTCTTGGCCGGCGATTGGAGAAGGATGTTGTGTGCGACTCTCTGGCGACGTTTACTGGCGCCGGCGGACAGTGCTGGGACTGCCCTGCTGTCCCAAATGAAGCAAGCGGGACTAGAGCAGTCACGACTACCTCCTGCAAACATGCGCGATATCATTTGCAAATGACACGTCGGGCGGTACTCATGGCACCAGCATAGCAAGCATTGCACCCACAGTAGATACATATACCCATAGATAGCGGTACTGTACTAGGTAGATAGTTGTGTCCGTTCCCTCTCCATGTTGTTATGATGATGGAGCACGATGATGCTGCTCAGCTGACGCAAGGCAACTGAACCTGGCTGGCAGCCTGCAGCTTCAGATGAGAGCTCTCTCGTTCCACCATCTCGTAGATTGAACATCGAAAATCCAGGCTACGGATGCAGCCTGGCCTATATAGTCAACGACCACGCTTGCTTTCGAGACCATCGCTCCTTGATTTGGTGAATCGCACCTCTTCGCGGGCCAGAGAGACAGCCGGGACCAGAGCTCCACGCCCGATCTCCATTGACTTCTCAGAACGCCCACCCGCCTCACACACCTCATCGCCCACCACACCAACAACACCACCAGAAGTCGACATTCCACTTCCCGAAACACCTGCACAGACTCCGCAATCGCCGTTTCCTGTCGTCGAGGAAGTACAGCACACCCAAGCGCAAGCTGGTATCTTGCCGCGCATCATCGAACCGGAGACAGAAGAGCACGAGCAAGGGGAAGCTTCAGATACAGACCACAACGCCGCCAAGATGAGCAAAAAGGGCGAAAAGAAGCAGCAGGATGATGGCGAGGACCAGAAGGGCTCCATCTTCTCCGTGTCTGGTCCCGTCATTGTGGCCCAGAACATGATCGGTGTGGCCATGTACGAGCTTGTCAAAGTTGGCTTCGATCAGCTCGTAGGAGAAGTCATTCGTATCGACGCGGATAAAGCCACAATTCAGGTTTACGAAGAGACTGCTGGCGTGACTGTCGGCGACCCAGTTGTTCGCACTGGGAAGCCTTTGTCCGTTGAGCTGGGACCTGGTCTCATGGAAACCATCTATGACGGAATTCAGCGGCCTCTCAAGGCCATCAGCGACAAGTCCAACAGCATCTATATTCCAAGAGGTATCGATGTGCCTGCACTGGATCGTACAAGGAAGTGGGAATTCACACCAGCGGACAAGTTCAAGGTCGGAGACCACATCACTGGTGGCGATGTCTTTGGCACTGTCAAGGAGAACACCTTGCTTTCGGACCACAAGATCATGCTCCCGCCTCGTGCACGCGGCAAGATCACCAAGTACCCCAAGAAGGGCGAGTACACCGTGGACGAGAAGATTCTGGAAGTTGAATTTGAGGGTCAGAAGTTCGAATACAGCATGATGCACCCATGGCCAGTCCGTGTGCCACGTCCATCAACAGATAAGTTGAGCTCTGGCGATCCGCTCATTGTCGGACAGCGCGTGCTTGATGCCCTCTTCCCTAGTGTGCAAGGTGGCACTGTCTGCATTCCTGGCGCTTTCGGCTGTGGCAAGACTGTCATCTCGCAGTCCCTATCTAAGTTTTCGAACAGTGACTTGATCGTCTACGTAGGATGTAAGTCGGGAACTCCGTGCGTCACCATAACTTATACTGACACCTGGCAGGTGGGGAAAGGGGCAATGAAATGGCCGAAGTGTTGATGGATTTCCCAGAGGTAAGACCAGCCTGCACCTCTGTCCGAGAAGAATGTGCTCACTGACACCGATCTAGCTTACCATCGAGTTCCAAGGTCGCCAAGAGCCCATCATGAAGCGTACTTGCCTGATCGCCAACACCTCCAACATGCCCGTCGCCGCTCGTGAAGCCTCCATCTACACTGGTATCACGATTTCGGAATATTTCAGGGACATGGGTAAGAATGTTGCTATGATGGCTGACTCTTCCTCTCGATGGGCTGAGGCTCTTCGTGAGATTTCTGGTCGTCTCGGAGAGATGCCTGCTGATCAGGGTTTCCCGGCTTACCTTGGAGCGAAGCTCGCGTCTTTCTACGAACGTGCTGGAAAAGTTGTCTCGCTTGGCTCGCCAGATCGCCAAGGTTCCATCTCTATCGTCGGCGCCGTTTCGCCGCCTGGAGGTGACTTCTCGGATCCTGTGACGACGTCTACACTCGGTATCGTGCAGGTCTTCTGGGGTCTCGACAAGAAGCTTGCGCAACGCAAGCATTTCCCTTCGGTCAATACAGCGCTGTCATACTCTAAGTACACCAAGACGCTGGAGAAGTACTACGCAGAACATGCACCCGAGTTTCCGCGTTACCGCGAGCGCATTCGAGAGCTACTTTCACAATCTGAGGAGCTCGATCAAGTTGTGCAGCTTGTCGGCAAGTCGGCACTTGGAGATGGCGACAAGATTACTCTCGACGTAGCGACTTTGATCAAAGAGGACTTTTTGCAACAGAATGGTTACTCCGATTACGATCAATTTTGCCCACTCTGGAAGACGGCTTGGATGATGAAGGCCATGATGACATTCCACGATGAAGCACAGAAGGCCATTTCGCAAGGCTACAACTGGTCCAAGGTTCGTGAGAGCACCGCAGACGTGCAGAGCGAGCTTCGAAACATGAAATTTGAAGTGCCAACCGAAGGCGAAGAGAATATCACCAAGAAGTACGAGGAGTTGTTGCAGAGGATGAATGAGAAGTTTGCAGCGGTTGTTGATGAGTAGTTTAAGGATGACGATGTCGCAGAGCTGGATATCTTCATGTGAGCTTGCCTTATGTGTAGATAACCCAAATATAGCGCGTCAACGGCGATCCAGAACGCAACGGCGCATTTAAACTCAATTGCCGACTCGATATTGGTGAATTTGCTCGGTATCATGGGTGGAGGTAGACATGAAATACCTACTGTGCAATGTGTGCATCGTGCTCCGGAAAATGATGCGCACCATGCCGATAGGGGATCGTGCTGTGACAACTATGATGTCTGCCAGAATACGAACATGGCACAGGGGTAGTGAGGCATGTCGTCTCAAAAATCAGGTAATGAGGGAGCGGTGTGCTACCTCCTACGACTTGTTGCGCTGGCTTCTTTAAGGTAACGAGTCGTCGCCGGTCTCAGGGTCCGAGGGTCCAAAGTATCACTTCTTCTACTGAGTCGAGGCGAACTAAATGTAGTAGGTGTACAATAGCACCCGCTGTCAGGCTGAGCTTTACCGGCGGATGAAGCTGGAACAGGTCGTACCGAGAGACCCTTCTACTCCCCGAGAAGGAGAGGGCTGTCTGATGAAGAAAGGTGTTGCTGGCATCTCGTTCGTATCAGTGGGATGAAGGAGTGGAGTGAAGCCAAGGATGGCAGGTCAAGGCCTCGGCTCCCCAACCAGCTGTTTGGCCTGTTCTACCGTAGATATCTCACCTCCTAGACTACATGTAGACATTGCACAAAGCACGATATTTCTCACCATGCTGCTTCTTGGACTCACGGGCTCAATTGCCACTGGCAAAAGTACAGTCTCATCCATCCTCTCCTGCCCACCCTATAATCTGCCCATCGTAGACGCCGATAAAGTCGCCCGCAAAGTCGTCGAACCAGGCACGTCTGGCTACAATCAAATTGTAGCAACATTTGGACCTTCCACACCAGATCTGCTCGTAGAGCCTACGGCCGAGAATGGCGGGGAAAGGGGACACAATGGCAAAGGAAGACCCCTCAACAGACCTGCTCTGGGAAGAAGAGTGTTTGGAGAAGGAAAAGACGAGGATAAGAAGAAGCTGAACTCTATCGTGCACCCCGCAGTGCGGAGAGAGATGTACAAGCAGATTCTCTACGCATATCTAAGCGGCAGTTGGGCTTGTGTATTGGACGTGCCATTACTCTTTGAGTCTGGCTGGGAACCTCTGTGTGGCACAATTTTGGTCGTAGGCGTCAGCGACCCGGCGATTCAGATGCAACGGCTGCGTGCGAGAGACGAGCATCTGACTGAAGAGGACGCAAAGAACAGAGTGGCTGCTCAGTGGGATGTCAGGGACAAGGCAAAGAGGTGTTTGAGGAGAGGAGAAAAGGCTGGCGTGGTCGTGTGGAATGATGGCGACCAGGCTGATCTCAAGAGGCAGATTGATGCCGTCATGAGTACGATCCGGAGTGGCAGTCCGCAGTGGTGGGCGTGGCTATTGTTGCTCTGTCCGCCCTTGGCTGTTGCGAGTGGTGCGTGGCACTATGTTCGCGGGTGGTGGATCAAGAGAGCTTGGGAGCATGAGCAGACAAAGGAGAAGGCCAAGCTATGAATACGATACCTATTGCACCATAAGGGACCTCACTGTGACGGCTTCCGGGTGCACAGCAGCCATGACGATGACGGGTATTCCACTGACATGTCGATGTTACTGCCATAGCCCAGCGGCACAGCGGCGGCTTCTCGCGCTGAACGCAGACATCTTCTGAGCAGCATGAGCGTCGGCGGCGCGCGGGAAGTCGTCGATGAAAGCTAGCGAACGCAAACACTCTCGATCGAAGGCTGCACAGTTCGTACTATGCAAGCCCAGCCGGTGCTATGCAGGAAACGTGAGTAAGATATATGCACGGACGAGTAGAGATGCTACTATCATTTACACAGAGCGGCCGTTACAGAGCGCAGCGGAAGCATCGAGTCCTGAGGCACCGTGAGTCTGCGTGCTCGGTGTGTTGGCTATTGTATGCAGGGGCTCGGCGCATGCGGTAGGTTGCCCATACCGTTTGTACCAGTAAGTGAGTAGTCTGGAGGTGTCTATGGTCCTCCGCCGTCTATCCATACGGTCAGACCATAACTTGCAAGTTGGAAGTATGTGCGCTAGTGTAATGAAGGAGTCGCAGGTGCCGGAGCACGAACCTTAACACGTTGATATAAGCGGTTGCAGAGTCGTGCACACCTCGAAATAGTGTAGAACGGCACTTCACGCAGTACTGTAGTTGCATCTGCATCTGCATTCAATTGCAATTGCTAGACAGCACCACTAACAACCCATCCAGTTTGCATCTTCCGGTATGCCAGCCAGCACAAATCCTCGATAGCGACGTCTCGACAGAAACACCTCACCCGCTGGTACGCCCAGCAAACGCAAACAACATCTGAGTTCGCCGAATCAGGGCAGCTGGAACCTTCACGTCCACCTCACAAGCATGTGAGGTGAGCGAAATGGCTGCTACTAAACTGATGAACTGCACCGGCGACTTCGTGCATCCACTTGGACTTCACCCACCTTCACCACAATTCCTGCCAGGCTCCGAACTTCAACCTGATAGCATCAGTGACGGCTATGCGATGGAGTGCAACCCGACCGAACTCTGGACAGTCGAGAGCAACATTGACTCTTATGTTGACGATCGGTGCCCTACCGAATGGGAACATCCACCCTCACTACAGTCACCGCAATCTCCAGAATCGTTCGCCTGGTCCCCCAGTGGACTCGTCCCACGACCTATTGACGCACTCAACATCACCGACGAGTCCAGAGTCGTGCCGGAAGGCGTGGCAGCCAGATTCGCGACCAGAGAGCTGAATGCGTTACGCGATGACAGCCTGACAGCATTACCGCGGTCACCAACCGACGAGACCCCAAGGTCCAGTAAGCTCAAGACACTGGACAGTGCTCTGCTGAGGAAGTTGTTCAAAGCAACCATCGACGAAAAACGTAGAATCGATGAATCCATGCGACAGAAGTCCCAAGATGTCAGCGCCAAGGTCACTGCCAAAGCTGGTGTTGAAGCTCGCAGTAGAAGAGTTGTGGAGCAGGGGAGTCCCACCATGCCGGACGACCATGAAGTTGTTCGCGGCCTGATGAAAAGCTTGAGCGGCCGGCTTCCGGGCATTGCATCAGAACAACTGCCCCCAGTTTCGGAGACAAAGTCAGAAAGCGCCAAGCATCGGAGCTCCCAAGATTCACAACGTTCATCACCGGGAGGATATAGCAGAAGGGGAAGTCTCGACACTGTTAAACTGAGACGAATTGCTGGAAAGAACGGCAAAGAAGCGTTCGCCGCCATGCCACGCAGATTGCCCAGCTTCAGTTCCGTCAAGTCCAGCAACGTCCGCGCCCTGGCCACTACCAAAGAAGAGGTGCAGGTCAAGGTAGTGAGTGATCGGCTTCAAGACTTGCCTGGCCATGGCCGCAAAAAGCTCGAAGCTCGTGACGCACGCATCAAACAGCGAGATTCATGCATCGTCGACCTTCAGAACTTCTTGCGAGAGACGGGCCCTATCGAAATCGACTCACCTGTCATCGATAAGCCAAAATCCTCCAAACCGAGTAAGCAGCAGCAGCAGCAGCAGCCAAAGGACAAGATTGAGAGAATAAAGAAGACCGCAACTGCAGCTAAAGACATTTTCCTGTCGCCGCTTGGTCCAAACGTGCAACAAGCGCCATCTGCTTCACACGACGCGACAGCTCCGCAGGAAATCTCGATATCAAAGCGCAGGGGCGATTTGGCCCACATGCAGGCGACCGTCGAGTCGACGACATCTCAAACCTGTTCTGATGTGCTCGCTGAGGTGACAGAGGGGCCACGACAAGACATTGAAAGGGACTGGGCCCAGGTCACTCCACAGAAACAGAACACGTCTACACCGGGACTTCACCGAACAGGTCGATCTGTCGACCCAACAACCTCGCCAATCGCTGTCAAGATGTCCCCGCGACCTGGGTTGCCCAAACTTGCGATCAAAATACCTGGTTCTTCGGGTTGGAAAGAGATCTCGTACACTCAAGATATGTCCTCTCCATCTGCTCGCGCGAAGTCTCCAGCAACGGCCATATCCCCCACAATATCAAAACAGTCAGTTCCGAACAACGTAAGACAGCAGGATGCCGACGCACAGTCTGACGAGGAAGAGGATGACGCCAAGGCTGAAGACGCTCGATCTGATGAGGAATACGGAGAAGGGGATCAAGTTGATGATCGCGAAATCGAGGCAGTCAAGCCACCGATGGAGCGCAAAGACTCCAAAACGGCTTCCCTCCACGCTGAGCCTGCTGCGCACAACACCCCATCTCAGAAAGGTAGTTCTTACTGGTTCAGGGACTACACTTCGCCCATGTCGAAGGCTTTCGAGTTCCGTCCCGTAGAGGGCACATCTTCCAACACACCACCACTTCGCACGCCGCAAGCAGCATCGAAGCAGATTCAGGGTGTGGTAGAGGGCTGGGTCCAGGAGGCACACGAAAGTCGGAGCTTGAAGCTGGCAGCTGCAAAGCAAGTCTTGCGTGCTCCCCGATCACCCGTCGTCGTGTCTCGGAGTCGAGGACTGTCAAGACCCTCCACCTCTCGTGGCTTCCGCGAACGCCCAGACGAATGGATGTTCTTAGCTCAAAACGCAGGCGCGTCTCCAGCGGGCGCCCTGAATGACGCATCTCGCCATGCTTACAGGCGGAGCCGATCGGCAGCCTCCAGTCAGAGATTTACAGCTTTGTCACTTCACACACAGGAGGAAGTTGGGCAGGGAGTAGTGAATGAAGACGAGCGAAAGAGTACTGCATGGGCGGCCGCAAGCTCCAGAAGCACCAAAGTGCCGATCAAGTCGATGAGTTTCAAGTCTGTCCCTCCTAGTCGAGCTCAAAGTCGCCCTTCCAGCCGAGCTCAGAGTCGCTGTTCCAGTGTGGCACCGCCAATATCACCCCAGAAGGGATGGGCCGGAGCGTCGCAGGGTTGGCAGCCGGCCGAGGAACAGAGTATGGATAGCTGGCCTGAGTATCCAGACCTCGATCACATCTCGAAGTTCAGTACTGCAGAGCAATCACGAAGGCGCCCCTCGCTGCCATCTACGCATCGAAGTCAGAAATTTCAGGGAGCTTCGATCCAGAGCTTGAACTCCAGAAAGTCGAGCGGGGCTTCTCATCACTCATCCACCACATCGTGTCCTCAGTCAATTCATGAAGAATCGGAGTGCAATTCTCTAGTTAGCCAACAGCTAGATGAACCACCGATGCCCGCGTTGCCGGAGTCCTCGCACCACGTCTTGGCAGATGAGCCATCTAAGCAACCAACGACTCGGACAACGGTCTTCGCCGGGAAGGGCTGGATCTCTCCACACCCTCTGAGCCGGTCGCCAACAGAAGTCGCCTCGTCGCCTCAATCACGGATCATGTTGCCTAGTGAAGCATTTCCGCACGGAGCTACCATGACGTTTGATGAGTGGAAGCAGATGCAGGAGCATGGGTTGCGTCTGCATCACAACCACTCTATCACGGAGAGTAGTAGGACATACCATGGCGTGTATCAAGACGAGCGTTATCGCCATGCAGCGTGGGAAGGCCGTGGATCTGTGGACGAGGGCAATCTTGAGCGGGACGGATCGCAGTCACCTGTGCATTCCTCGCTGCGATTCTCCGCCAAGACGCCACATGCCACAGACAGTAGCATCAATGCAGATAAGCACAGAGGCAGCTCCTTTTCTAAGGCAAACACTCGGCCATCCGTGAAGGGTTCGTCTCTGTTAGCCCACGGCAAAGAGTTCACCGCGCCAGTATTGGACGCCCGCAATGATGGCGGCGTATCCTTTGTAACAGGGTCTGCAAAGTTCTCGCGACATCAGCGCTCGAGTTCAGCTTAGGAGTTTGAACCGACAGCTAGTGATGGTCCTCGACAGAGTTACAAGAAGGCCGAGAAGATAGAAAGGAGTGGCCGCAAACTTGAGTCGGAGCACGCCCGGGAGCGCGACTCTCAATCAAACCCAACAGTCAAACGAGCTGGATCTCACCAAAAAAGCGAGGAAAGTCGACGTTCTCGTCGGAATCAAGGCACGGGACACAGTGAGCTTTCGTCCAGGAGCCATGGCTCGCGACACATTCACCGCACTGAGCGCAGTAACCACAGTAGGCGCTCGGATTGCACTTCACGAAGCTCCGAGGCGCAACACAGTCTTCGATCAGGCGAGAGCAGGAACTCTCGCCGTGGTGCCGAAATTGAACAGTCGTGGGATCAGGCGGAGCGAGGCGTAGCGGGATACTATGTGCCCCCACAGTACGACATGAAATATACGGAGAGACCACCACCTTCCAGACGGTAGTTAGTGGTTTGCGACATTTCCATCTCAACATCCAAAACTCAGATCGACAGAAAGGGAGTTATTGATTGGACTGCCATCGATGGGGAAATTGGTTTTGTTGTTTGTAATCGTAGCGAGCGAGCGAGTGAGCGAGCACTCAGTGCCATTCCATGATCAGCGTTCGAGCTGTCCTTTCGTAGCCCAAAAGAATAACAGAAGAGTTCTTAATGTTTTCACATCGATGGTCGATCCCGCATACCTTACCTAGGTACTTTACTTTCTCCATACCTTAGTGCTCGTCAGATCCAATGTGTCTCCCGTCGTGCCTCTTCCTCGTGACATGGAGGATCCCGTGCAGCGTGCAGTCGAGAGTCAGGTACCACCTAAGGTAAGGTACTGCCGCCTACCTCCCTCCCGTTCATGGATGGTGGAACGCATCATTGCCGTATTCCGCAAGAAGGCTCTGATGATGAGACTCGCTGGCTTGGGGGATCCCCTTGTTGAGGAGGTTTCTTCAGAACTAACTCTCGCTAGCCTGATGCTTGGCGGAGAAAGTGAAGCTGTCAAACATGTCCTCCCGTCGTTTCGAGGCCCTGAATTTGTCTGCTGCCTCAGGTAGGTGAGGGATCTAGGTAGCTTGTGCTCGGGCGCGTAGTCAGGCCCGTCGGACGGATGACATTAAACGGTGTTTGTCCCTTTTTCCCACGTCGGTTGGGCTGTGATGGAGGAGTGTGTTCTACACTTCTTCTGTGCAATTCTGTGGAGTAGGTGAAGCGCCGCGAGATTGTTGCGGCACGCGGGCTATTTTAAGGCGTCCTTCGGGGTATTGTGATGGGTATACCTGTCGTAGAGCGTGGATATCACCTTAGTAAGCGCCTCGAATGCGAGCTAATCCTGACTAGTCCGCACTAGTGCTGATCTTGCGTTTCAGGAACGCGACTGCCGTGCGACCCCTGGGCCCGAGCACACCTGCGCAACTCTTTTGACACGACAGCGACACTTCATCCCTGCTTCATTCACTGCTATAGTGTCCGCTCTACTCTACTTTACTTTGTCCGTAAAGTCACACCAACCACACTCTTTTTTGCTTGCTAGAAACAGGATCTCGCCATTGTGCTCCCCCAGCGCCCTTTGATATACCACGTTGTCGTCCTCCACCAGCCAACTCAGCTTCACCCACTAGCGGCGAGATCAGAGCAGAGCAGAGGAGACCCCGCCACGTCTGCAGCCCTACACCACCGCCCACCGACCATAATGGGTCTACTCAAGCACTTTCGAAGCCGATCCCGCCTGAAGCAGGACAGCCCACCGCGACCAAACTACGCCAATTATCCTCCTTCACCTCAGGCACCCCGACGCAATGGCCCCAATCTGACCCAACGACTCCCCGACAAGGTGCTCGCTAACATCTTCTCTTATGTCTGCCCGCACACCCAAGACTACACCTACGAGCCCTGCGAGCAGTCGCAGATAGGTGACGGTTGTATGCTCTGCGATCTGCGAGACCTCTCACGATGTGCAATGACTTGTCGAAAGTGGTATGCGACCGCACAACAACAGCTCTACACCAGCGTGCGCATCGACGCCGTACACTACTGTGAGCTGGAGGAGATTCTTGCCGAGAAGCGACGCAAAGCATCGAAGGGTCATTTCAGGAACAAGAGCGCCGTCGAGCCTGTGGAGGTGCCAAATATCAGGTTACAACTGTTATGCAGGACCGTAAGAGAACAGTCTAACTTGGCTTCTCAGGCCTTGTTTCTCAAGATACCATACATGACGCGCGAGACGGCCAAGGGCGACCTAGCTCGCACCGTCGCTGCGCTGCCGAACTTGCGCTACGTCGACCTGCCAGACGGGTTCTACAGTGGAGATCCAACATGCTTAGGGCTGCGCCAAGAGTTGCAGGCACGGTGTCCAGATATCAGAAAGATGATATACCGGAGTGGCTCCGAAGATGCCTTGGAACTGCTCGCACACAGGCATTGGCAGGCCATTGAGACCCTGGAGCTCGTGAATCTATCGGTAGAGCCAGCAACTCTACGTGTCGTGCTTGGTAGCCTCCCCACTCTGCGAGACTTGACTCTTTCCGACATGCCATGGATTGATGACAGCGTTCTCATGCCTGCGCAAGGCCAGCTTCCCGACTTTCCGGCAGTACAATTCTTGAGGCTGAAACATACCCCGAATCTGACCGCGCAAGGCCTCAGTGCATGGCTGGAAGCGCCACACGTGCGGGAAATGCTGTTCTCACTCAGTCTCGATGATACTGGTGTGACTATTCAGGACCTCCACCAGGTCCTTTGGGATGCCACCCACTTGTCACACCTGGCAGTTGTAGAGACAGTGTCTAAGTCGCTTTCTCTAGCTGCACAACAGCTACCACCTCTCTCCTCAATCTCGCTAGCAACACTGCACTTCGAGATCAGCAGCGCCGAAGATGTACATGGTCTACAAAAGCCGGCCGAGTCATATTACGCATATCTGGCCTCGTCGCTACACCAGAACGCGCTACCTGCTTTGACCACTCTCTACGTACGAGATCAGAGCTTTCCTGAACTATTACTGCTGCCCCCACTGCACATGGGCCTTCCTGGCGGTAACTCTGACCGCGGATCATTGAAAAATAAACCTAGCGGCATGACAGCCAACTCGCTCAGCTCGCCCTTTCAAGGCGGCGGCTTCAACCAAACTCTCGAAGTCTTCTCCAAAGGCATAGACGAGCTCGAGTGGGTCTTCACATCCATCACCCCCCAAAACAACCCCGCAGACAAACGAAGTAGTGTCATTGCATCAGGCGGCAGACCTATCAGTGCGTATAGTGCTGGGCGTGGTCTGGGACCACAATGGGCACAAGGTGGATTTGGTGGTGAGGCACGCAAGTCTGTTGTTGTCGGGAATGGCTTTGGCGGCTTTCTGGCAGTGCCGCAAGAAGAAGCTCCTCGTCCCAGGACGTCGGATGGTGCTGCTTCTCCTGGGAGGGGATTTGGAAGTTTCGGCCATCGATCCGACCGGAGTAGTTTCCTGCCAGCACCTCCAAAGCTGTTCGGTGAAGGTGCGCATCAGCGAAGGGGTAGTAAACACGACTTGTGGCGTTGAAAGATTGGCATTTCACGGAGGACGGGAGCTTGAGAATTATCGTGTGTGTGTGGTGGAGGGGTTGGTAATTATGACGAGAATCGAGTAATGGATGGCGGCTGGGCCATAAGCTTATTTGACGGATGACACGACTACAAAGGCATGTAAGCTGGATCTGCTTGCTTTTGGGCGAAGGACTCATCGGACGTTTAGACCACTACCAACCTTGGAAGGACAAGGTAGGGTATATGGAAGTACGAGAGAAGTGGGACACGGGCTTGTTGTTTCCTTGCGTAAGGTATGACGGCAAACCATATGGAATGAGTGAGATACCCGACAAAATATATCTGAATATTTTGCGATTTGAAGAGTTGATGACCCAGGGAATCTCTTTGACTGTCTTATACTATACCTCATCGACCTAGGTATTCAACGGCTTTTAGCAAAGATGCTCTCGACGCTCAGTCAAGGCTACGAACTATACCTAGAGGACATCGCGGCCTGTTCCCTTGTCAGACTACCTAGGTACTGTATATGCGTCCATACATGTACCTAAAGTACGGTATTGTTCCGATGTCTTGTCTAATTCGGGCTATAGGTATGTAGAGGTAGGAGGTACCTTAATGTACATGTAGGTAGTTGCCGTTACGTCAGCTAAGGTACATGTGTAACTGTACCTTCTCCATTAGCCGTTATCCCCGCTCCCTTACTCAATGCATCTTTTATTACCGAAGACGAGTACAGCTGCATATGCATTGATGAGAAACATGTCGTCCTCTACCATCATCTCTTCCGTGCTGGCCAACTGCATCCATCCCAACTCACACCACAATGTCCATCCCGAAAACAGCCCGCGCCTGGACGTACACCAACGGCTACCCCAACACTCTCACACAATCCACCATTTCCCTCCCCTCCCCCGATGAAATCCAGAACGATGAAAACAGCTTCCTCGTCCGCATCGCCGCGTGCGCCCTCAACCCCGTCGACATTCAGACGCAAAATCTCCCCAACTGGAACATCCCCTTGACGCCCCTCAATTACAACCACCCCAAAGGCACCGTCATGGATTTCTCGGGCACCGTCGTGGCAGCAGGCGCGAAATCACAATTCACAGCGGGAGATGAGATTTTTGGTATGACTCTCAAACCATATGCTCCTCCTGCGGGGGGTGCGCTGGCCGAGTATGCGAAATTTGATGCTGCGACGACGCCGGCGGTGCGTAAGCCGAAAGAATGGAGTTTTGAACAGGCGGCTGCGATTAGTCTGGTGTGGTTGACTGCGAAAGAGTGTATTGAGAAGGTGGAGAGTTGGGTGGAGAAGACGAAGACTAAGACAGTGGCGGTGCTGGGTGGGAGTAGTAGTGTGGGGATTTATACGATTATTCTGGCGAAGAAGAGGGGCTGGAAGGTGGTTGCTACGAGTTCGGGGAGGAACAAGGGATTTGTCTTGGATGAGTTGAAGGCAGATGCGCATGTGGACTATACCTCGCAGAATGTACGACAAGGTGTGGACGCGTTCCAGCCTGATGTGGTGATTGATTGTGTGGGTGGGACGGAGTGTATTGGGTTGCCGAGCAGTAAGAGGTACATCTCGATTGTGGGAGACAAGACGGGGAGGACGATGATGGGAGGCCCGTACACGTACTACGACATCCTGCATCCCTTCACGGCAGCTATGCAATGGCTGAGGTGGGCGCGGGGAGAGTACGGACTCGGTGAGAGCTATGATGTTGTGATCCTCAGTCCTAAGAAGGAGTGGCTCGAGGACGCGAAGGAGACCCTGACTGCCGACGACATTCACATCGATAGCGTGCATGCCTTTGAGGATGCCAAGCAGGCTTTCGAGAGGTTGAACACTGGCCGGGCGAAGGGGAAGGTGGTCATCCGTACGGGAAGCAAGCTGTAGAACAGCGCATACAGATATCCCGTGGCAGAGTAGGTACAGGAGGGTGGTCATGCCAATGATCGATAGCGTCTTGTCGATGATGTTGGCACTCCCACTCGTCTCTCAGAGAGGTCCCAAGGCCCTGTATCATTCCCGTACTGACCACTGTCGGTAATCAAGTATGTAAATTGAGGCATTTCACATCCATCTACAGTACAGGGGTCATGTCACCAATGGTGGCAGTGCTCAACTGCTCACTACTGCCAAGTGCCAAAGTGGCTACCTAAAAACGTTCGTCACACCCTTCACACATGGCACATGCAAATCCGGTACTTTGGTCCGCGGCCAGGGAACGCGCGCCAGCAGGGTTCATCAGTGATTAGGTGTGCGATGCTACAGATTTGGCGTGGGTGGGAGGAACATCGTCTTGTTCTCCCACGGCATTCATACCTCCGTTCGACGTCATCTCACTCGCCTCACATCACTTCACTCCATGCTGAGATGCACGAACATGTCATCAACGTGAGTTTTTTTTCTCTCAATGTTTTGTGAGGCTTCTTGTGAAGCACCCCGTTGTGGAACCACGTTGCGGATATTACCTATTGGGCATGCTCTATGCATGAAACGGCTGTCAGTGGATCCCCCCCCTTCAGGGAGCTAGATAATAGTCCGTGCGAGATTTCTTTCCTTTCCTGGCCGGGCCAGAACGGCAGCTCGTGCTTTCTGCTTTGAACTTTCTGGCACTGCTCTGCTCGGCTGTCCATGAGGAGGTCCATGTACTGTGAGGTGAGGTGAGGTGGTGCTGTGCTGGAACAATAAGCATAAACTCTCATCATCATTCGACTCCTCTCACTTGCATTCTCGCTCGGGCTATTTTACCTCTCTCACCACCAGAAACAACAACAGCAACAATAACCACTTCAGCAGTAGGAGGTAACTTCACTGTGCAACTACCTCCTATCACCACCCACGCCGTCGCTCGCCACTGCCTCTGCCTCCGCCGCCTGCACCACCATCCACCACCCTCGCACTACCCACCACCACCGACGACGTCTCCAGTAATCGCCCGTGGCACGCCCTGTGTGCAACTGCCCCGGCATTGACACCACCACCAACACCACCACCACCATCGCCGCCGTCGCCGCCGCCACGACCACCACGATCAACTAGCGCTCTCGAGTCGAGTTGCCATTGCCCTCACATCGATCCTTCCTTCTCCGCCGCCATGCTCCGCGCCGTGCTTGCCCCATGACCACCATGCATTTCCTCAATTTGCGCTCTAGACTGAAAGTCTAGCTCTACTATATCCATATCGACAACTGTCCGCCGGCCTCCCGGGCACCCGCTGGACTCGTCGTATCCTTCCAGAACGCATTCTTTTTGCAATTGGCGCGAGCGACATTTCCCACAATGGTCAACACCAACGATGGACCGCTATCGCCCCTCAGCGAGGTGGCCAGATATTTCATAGCCCTCATCCCCAGCAAGGACTCATTCAAGAAGCCGCACTTCAATTACATCACTCTGCACTACATGTATATGGTGCTCATGTCCATCATTGGCTCCATCATGCTGTTTCCCGCTGGACCGTCCGCACTGATGGAGTACATCGACGCTCTCTTCTTCGCGGCAGGCATGGCGACGCAGTCTGGTCTCAACACCATCGACGTGAACCTACTGCATACATACCAGCAAGTGGTCATGATGCTTCTGACGTGCTTGTGCACGCCCATCTTCATCAATACCTGCGTGGTATTCGTTCGGTTATACTGGTTCGAAAAGCGTTTCGAACATATCGTCAAGGAAGCACGGGCGAAAGCGAAACGAGGAAGGAGGTTCACATTAAGCCGATCGAAAAGTCAGATGCAGACAGAAAAGGATCCGCGGAACAGCGCAGCGGGTAAGATGGAGGCAGGCGGCGTGCAGGGGAAGCGGATCATCGTCAATCCGGAAACCGCAAGGTTTATTGATCGCAATGGTAACGACGAGGACACGGAGAAAAGGCGAGAACAATTCAGAGAAAAGGTTGGTCCGAGCATTGGTCTCGAGCCGAGCAATGATTCCCCGCTGGGGAGTACCTGTACTAGGACGAATAGCAAGGACAAAGACGCGAACACTGCCTCCTCGGATTCCACCGTCGCAGTGCCTGCTGTACATGTCGATGGAGAACATGAATACCCAAGCCCCAAGACACAGTCCCAGGCTCTCGCAGTGCCTATTGCACATGTTGATGGAGACCTTGAACATCCAAGCCCCAAGACGCAGTCCCATGCTCTCGCCGTGCCTGTTGCACATGTCGATGAAGAACATGATCATCCAAGCCCCAAGACGCAGCCCGAGACCCAATTCATGGGACTCAACCCCAAGCTGCTGCATCGCGAAATAACATTCGCCGATGAGGCTCCCCCATTGGGCCGCGAGTCGCCAGAGCTCGCTCGTGTTCCGGAGCAACGTGACGTCTCGAAGCATGTTGAGTTCCTGGAGCGACAGCAGGCCAATGCGAAGAAGGGTGGCGCGCTGTACATTCCTGGTCCGCGAGATTTTGACAGAGGTGAAAAGCCGGAAGCAGTGGATGATGATGACTTGGTGATATCGCGTCTCCAGAAGGCTTCGTCGTTCGGTGGACCCGCCCATCGGTCGCGAAGCGAGGATGGCCGTAGCGTAATGTCGCATGACGACCGCCAGGTACATCGAGGTATTACCATCAACCTGCCGGAGCATCCTGCTCACCGAGAGCGTGCTGCCACCAAATCCAAGGACGACGAAGAGGACATCGACGAAGACGAGGAGGAGAAGTCGAGATTTGCTAGAATGATTTCTGGTCTCGATCGTCGCCGTCACACACGGGTACCAAGTATCTCTGAAGGTCGACGAAGTTTTGCCCGAGCCTGGACTAATCTCACTGGACCGCCCAAAGATGTGGAGCCGATGCCCTACTTCAGCTGGACTGCCACTACGGGACGTAATAGCATTTTCATGGGTCTGACCTCGGAGCAACGAGAAGAGCTGGGCGGCATTGAATATCGTGCGCTGAAGACCTTGGCCAAGATTCTCATCGCTTACTACGTGGGCTTTCATGTGTTGGGAATGGTAGTCTTGCTGCCATGGATCAGGTACACGCAGCCATGGAACGGGGTCGTGGTTGAGGATGGTCAGAATCCCAGCTGGTGGGGAGTGTTTACACCAGCTTCCATGTTCAATGACCTGGGCTTCACTCTCACCCCAGACTCGATGATCAGCTTCCAGTCAGCCGTGCTGCCTCTCCTTTTCGGCTCTTTCTTGATCATCATTGGCAATACGGGGTTTCCCTGCATGCTTCGCTTCATTATCTGGACCCTATCCAAAATTGTATCCTATGAGAGCGAAATGTGGAAAGAACTTCGTTTCCTGCTCGACCATCCTCGCCGCTGCTTCACGTTGTTGTTTCCGAGCAAGGCAACATGGTGGCTCTTCTGGGTGTTGATTGGACTCAATTTACTCGATCTGGTCTTCTTCATCATACTGGATATCAATCAGCCCGTCGTGAGCGACCTTCATCCGGGAGTTCGAGTCCTCAACGGATGGTTCCAAGCCACATCCACTCGAACTGCTGGCTTCGCATCTGTCAATCTCGCCGACCTCCACGCTGCGATTCAAGTGAGCTACATGATCATGATGTACATCTCCGTCTTTCCCATCGCTATTTCCGTGCGCAGGACGAATGTATACGAAGAGAAATCGCTCGGCATCTTCGGCGGCGAGGAAGATGTATCGGGTGAGGGTGAACAGAGCTACGTCAGCCAGCATTTGCGTAGGCAGCTGTCCTTTGACTTGTGGTACATCTTCTTGGGACTTTTCATTATCGCCATTGTCGAAGGCGACCGGATTTCGAATACGAACGAGCCTGCCTTCACGATGTTCAGCGTACTTTTCGAAATCGTGTCTGCGTATGGCACCGTGGGACTATCGCTGGGATATCCTGGGATCAATGCTTCGTTCTCGGCAGAATTCCGGACCATCTCCAAGCTCGTCATCATTGCCATGATGATCAGAGGTCGACATCGCGGTCTTCCATATGCCCTCGATCGTGCCATTCTGCTGCCTAGTGACAAGCTACAGCAGAGGGAGCAAGAAGAAGCGGAGCGACAACTGGTTCGCCGCGGCAGCATGTTCGCCGAAGAGAACCAGAACATGTTTCCCCGCAACAAGACGTGGGAACAAGGTGAGCTCGACCAATGGGGGTTGCCCGCGCAGCATACTCGACCTCATAGTCGAGCCGACCATGCGACGACAGTCGGCTCGGGTGGGGATCATGAGCCGGAAGGTCTGCGCAGGGTCGTCACGAGAAGGTCTACGGCATTGTCGAACAAATCGGGCACTGGTGCTGTTCCCTCTTCCCCTTTGCGAACGCGAGGCCGCAGTCTGAGTCGAGTCATTGTGGGAGGATTGAGTGCGGGACCTACTTGGTCGAAACGAGATTAGTAGTCTCGTGGAGATGCGTAGTGGCTGTTCCCTTTTTCGATTTCATTTCACTCATTTGCTGCCTCTTTTCCAATTCTTTGTGGGAGTGAAAAGAGCAGCTAGTAACAGTTGGTTGGAGCGTTTTTAGCGAGCTTGCCAGAATACCACCCGCCACCAGGGACCACCAGTTTGGGATATAGATGGGGATGATGATGATGTGTAACAATAGTTGTATATTGGAAAAAAACAATCCACGGCCGTGCTTTTTGTGTCTTGTATATTTACCTTTTGGCATTTCTTTACTTTTTGACTCTGTTCTGTGCCCCGCGAGAGAGAGAGAGAGAGAGAGAGAGAGAGAGAGAGAGAGAAAGAGTTGATCATGTGCCTACATGTAGGTACTTACTACTACAGCAACGATGACAACGACGATGACAACGATAACCAACAAGAGACAGGCATACATGGGATTTGACATATATTCCTCGTCATCTGATGTTGAATTCCTGTGCTCATTATAAACTACATGTACATATACTAGAAACGCCTACATGTAGATACATACGAGAGATAGATAATAAGGTAAAACTCCTTCTCCCCCTCCGCCTGCTCCTTCCCTCCTCTCTTCCCTCCATGCTTCAGCTTTCATCCTTCATCTCTCCTCATTCCCAGCAACAGCCACGCTCGAATCATACAATTCCACATCCAATTCATACGTTTCCCACTGCTCACGTTCCACCCTCTCCTTTTCTTCGCTGAAAAACACCTCCAACGGAAACACTCCCACAACAAAACATTTGAAGACGCAATCCTGAATTGCGCCGCGAATCACGGTTGCCATGTTGGAATCTTTTCCCGAATGGCGAGGAGCTCCTCCTCCTCCGCCTGCGGTAGAAGTATGGCGTTCCACGAAGGGTTGAACGAGCAAGTCGCCGTCGTGGAGGAGGGGAAGGATGTATAACAGTAGTGCGCTGTTTGCTTGGTGCCCTGCAGAGGATGAGGAGGGAGGCGAGGAAGAGAAGGAGGGGGAAGTAGGGGAAGTAGGGGAAGTGGAGAGGTCTGCGTGTTTGAACCCTCGAGGAGTTTGTAGTCTCATGTTTTCTTCATTGGGAGTTTGATGAATGGCATCTAGAGTTCCATAGACGTGCAAAATGAGCTTCTGACCTGCAAAGTCGTCGGGAAAACTGGGATTGGCGGGGAAATTGCTTTCGTGGGTGGGTTCGGTGTCGCGGAGAACGACTTCGGAGAGGGTAGAGATACTGTTTCGGAAGCGGGACATGCGAGTTGCGGATTGTTGGTAACTGTCCATGCTAGAAGTGCGGCTATTGTCGGGGCGGTCTGGGTTGGGGGAGGTGGGTGGAGTGACGGGGGCCGAGCCCGCGAAGGTCCAGTTGGGGATCCATGAGAGACGTTTGGAGTCGCGTCGGGAGGAGCGATGGGGAACGTCTAGTTGCTGTTGTTGTTTTTGTTTCTGGAAAGTTTCATCGTGGCTGTTGCTGGGGTCTAAGGAGGAGGATGGACCTTCTTCTGTGTCTGGACTGATGTTGTCTTTGGGGAGCATGGGAGTGTCTTCTGGGACTGACGGGAGGACTATGGCTGCTTCGCGATGTGAGGCATTCGCGACATCTCCAGGCGAGGATCCAGCTGAGGACGAGGCACGCGATTTGCCATCTCGTGCGACAGGTTGATAGGCACCTTTGCTTGGATCGGAATGTCGTCTGCTCGTACCGCCACTCAGCCTGGAACTGGGAGGGAGCGAGGTTAGAATAGCCATATCGATTGTCTATACTGTTGGTTATTGCAGACGTAGAATTAACAATAACGAATTGTGTAATGTTGATACCAGATCGATATACCATTGTATCTATGAGGACGCGGCACGCGGTCGGACGGCTGGGACGTCTGAGACATGGGGCGTGCGAGTCCGCTACATCTTGCAATATCGTCTCAGTCGAGCGGAGGTTGCCATTGGTCACCGTTCTCGATGCTCGACTGGCATGAGGGGTGTCGCGTGCATGCCAATGGCGTTGCGCGCGGATTTGGCCATTGAGAAGACATGAATCCAGCACATGATCAGCATTGATGCTCCACCTGTACTGTGCATCATGCCCGTGTTTCTGCAGCACACAGCGCTGATGGTTCGCGGCTGACACCTACCAAAAAATACGCCCAGAGAGGGTTCATCATCTTCTGCACACCTCCTATCGGAAGGACGTGAAGTGAGCTCATCTCATCCTTTATCGAGCGCTCACAGGCACAGGCTCTGTCTGCTGCGTTATGCTTTTGTACTTGCATGCCGATCTGGATCAGATCGGACGGTGCATTCTGTATCGTCAGCATGAGCATCATCATCACCAATTCACCATCATCAGCCTGGACCGCCCAAACTTGGACCGAACAGTCCGTCCATGTCTTTGTCGTTCTTCGCACGCTCCGCCTTGATCTTGTTGGCCTTGGCGTCGTCTATGGCGCCCTCTTCGGCTCCGTTGCGCTTTGCGACAGCAGCTGCCTTGACGAGATCTCTCGTAGTGGGATCTCGACAACCTTCGAGCTTCTTCTCCAGTGCGGCGCGCTCATCTTTGGAAATGTTACTCTTGGGGTCGTAAGAAGCCAGCATCACTGAGCAGCTTTCAATGGCAGCCAAGATTCGGGGGCGCGTCGGTAATTGCAGAGGCAACTTGGCGTCCAGAAAGTAGGTGAGCAGTGGCGTGTCGGCCACGTGAAGTGCGGCAAACAGAATCTGTGAAGGCGTGTAGAGAAAATAGACATCGGTGAGTAGGGCCTCCACATCCAGCAAGTTCTTCGCTGCTTGCCACGCCAGCTGGATTCTCTCCACCAACTGCTTCTGCTGTATCTGGCCATCTGTGGTCTTCACCATGGTCCACTGCGTTCTATTGGCCGACTCTGGTCCCTTGAGCCTCAACATGCCCTGCTGTGCTTCCGATCCGCTCATCTGCGTTTGCACCACCGAGTCGACCCGTCCCTCGGCCATGTTCAGCAGCTCCATCAGGGCGCCTTTGAGCCCTCTGTATGGCTGACGCACATCGAGCATGAAGCGCAGAGCCTGCATGACCTTGTACTCGGGCGCCAGAACCGCTTCGGGGTCGGCGCTAATGGATCGAGAGAACTTGGACAGCGTGATGTGCGTGGCTTCGGTCTTGCTGGCGAGGAACATGACCGTCTTGTAGATTTCCTTGGGCGGATAGGTCATACAGCTGTTGTTGAGGTAGAAGCGCTTGAAGTATTGAATGGCCGTCGTGTAGATGTGCGCCTGCCACTGGATGTGCACGCCCGTCACCCGCAGCACATCGCAGTACTTTTGCACCAGTCGCAGCTCTTCGTCCTCGGTGAGACATGTCGCTGCCGCTGCCTCTGCTCCCGCTGTCGTCCCGCCATTCTGCTGTCCGCCGAGATATTGCTGGGCGCGGGCGAGGGCGAGGTCATGCGTCTTTCGGCGTTGAGCGGCGAGTTGTTCGGGTGAGAAGGACCAGAAGCGGAACTGTGTCGAGCGGCGGTACAGTTCGTCCTCGTCCAGTGTGCGTGTCGTGGTCGTGGTCATGGTGAGGATTGAGAGAGAGAGAGAGGAAGATGGAGAGGGTACGGATGGAGGAAGGGGAGCTAGAACTAGCTTACGGTAGGAGGTAGTGTAGGTAGGTAGGGTCGAGTCTGCTTACCTCCTACCTCCTACCTCTTGTTGGTTGTGATACTTCACTTCGACCACAACAATCAATCATCAATGCCACCACTCTCTATCGCCGACTCATACTCCCCCGCGAATATACTGTGAATCGATCAATTGCTCTTCGCTGGTCGTCTCGTAGCCTGTTGTTGCGTGATCTGTAGTGGACAATCGCTGAAAGAGTCCCAATACAAACAACACATGAAGACAACAAGATGGCCATATTGGCATTGCCTACCGAGATCATTTCTCATATCTTCACTCATCTTGACGATCGACATGTCTTCGCCGCACGTCTGAGCAGCAAGGTGCTCGAAGAAGCATCGTTCAGCCACTTTGGCAAGCGGTTTTTCCGCAAAAAAGGCTTCATGATCACCACTGCCAGTCTAGATGTATTCCAGCAAGTCTCGCAGCATCGAGGCCTTCAGAAACATGTCCAGCATATTTGGTTCAATCCAGACTGCTACACATTCGCTCGTCCCGCCTGTGCTCCAGACGACGAAGACTCCGATACGGACTCCGCAGGCGGCCTCGTCACACCCGTAGCAAACCAATCGTCTCAGCTGCTTCAAGCAGTCGACAAGCTCGCCGTCCAGTATGCGTGTTATCAAAAAGTCGTGATCGATCACGCCGAATTGCTGCACACGTCGAGACTAGAGATCGAGCTCGCCTCTGCTTTCCGATATTTTCCCAATCTCAGAACGATTGGCATGCGAAGAAGTGAAGACTATGGGCCGTATGGCTGGACAATCCTACGGGATGCCATCGGTGACGACCCACGTGTGCTGGGTCCAATTCCTTCGGGGCCTGTATACGACTTGTCGGACTCTACCTTCCTGTTCATGGCCATCGTATGTGCGGCAGCCAAGACCGGTCTCCGCTTAGAACGTCTCTATACCGATGCCATTGAAATTGACAATATCCGAGAGGAATGGCTGCCTACAGCCACCCTTGAAGCTGCGTGCAGCTCGATTCTGTACATTGAACTCAACGCCGTAAAAGGCTGGCTGAATACCCGACCTCACCTGAAGTCGCAACCATACAACACCTTGCGACGTCCCGAAGACTTCGGCTCCGGTCTCACCAGACTCCTTACAGCCACGACCAACTTGAAGGAGCTCGGTTTACAAATCTTCCCAGATCGAAAACAGTCCCACATGCTCGCCCCCACTGCTCGTAATCCAGACAGCTGGCGCCTGAGCTACCCATACGTCGTCCTACAGAAGCTCTCGACATCCTTGGCTCTACCACACCTCACACGCCTCAAGCTAGAGAAAGTGACCACCACATCCACCAATCTGATCAACTTCCTCAAACCCAGCGCTTCAAATCTCACAAGCCTCAAAATTCGAGACGTTCGCCTCCTCTCCTCCACTCCGACTTCCCCCAGCAACCCCTCCGTCTTCGTCACCACCAATTCCTCCACCTCCAATGACAGCGAAACCCGCCCCTGGCAAACATTCTTCAACTTCCTCCTGACCTCCTGTCCAGCCCTCGACTCCATCTTGCTCAATCACCTCATGCACGACCGGGGCACTGTATCATTTACAGAAGAAGAAGAATCCACTCCGCCATCTGTCTCTGCCGAGAATGCAGAATTCCTAATTGACCACCTTCCACCCAGTCACGGAGGCCAGGGCAGTTTTACGAGGTATGAACACGTCAATCTGCAAGTCGAAGGCCGGGAGTCGGTAAGAAGGGAGTTGGAGAGGGTGGTAGGTGGTGGTCATTGGTATCATGGGCCTTTGTTCAGTTACTTGATGGACGAGGAGGTGTGGCATACGGATACTTCTGATGAAGAGTGGTGATACAAAGAGAAAGATTGTATGGACGAGAAGAAGCAAGCGGCAGTCACTGAGAGCAACTGTTAACAGCCTTGCACTACTCTTGGCTTGGCGTATTTTACCTAACTGTAGCAGCTTTCCAGTTTATATAACCAAGTTTTTCGATCGATATTTTCTGTCGTAAGCACACGGCACATCAACTACCTGTATCTAGATACATGTACTCACTCATATGTTATATACCTCTTCCCCTTTCTGCATAACGGATCATCGCTAAACTGGATAGAGCGAACGGTCAGAATCTGGTCGGTAAAAAGAAAAAGATAAAGAAGATATAGCCGAGAGTACTTTAAAGAAGCAAGAAAAGAAGCACGAAGAAAGAAGAAAAGAAAAAAAAAAAACTAAAAAAAGGGGGTAGGGGTCGGTGACAGGCACGGGGTGAGTATACTATACATTTCATCATTTGAACTCATATTTTGTTTTATTCATATTCATATTCATTTCTCTGCTTATTGAATCTGGCGTAGTAGGTATTCTATACACCCTCGCTCACCAGCGCCATTTCTAGCGCCTCCTAGCTCTCTTTAGCGCCAAATTCCCGTTTCCCATTCCCATTCCTGATTCCATTCCCAAGCGAAGCTCCCTCTATCTCAATTTTTCGGAACGTCGAAGGTAATCTGGGTACATGTAGGCGCTTGCCTCTCTACCCACCCTCTCCACCAACCTTTGGTAGTAAGGTAGGTAGTTAGGTACCCCCAACCTCCCGTCCGATCCGATCCAATTCCCGCTCAACAAAGTTCCCTCAACTTGCCCCTCAAGATCTTCCCTGTGATAGACTTTGGCAACGCGTCCAAAAACACGACTTCCATCATCGAAACTTTATAACTCGCCAATTGTCTTCTCAATCTCGCTTTGACTTGTTCTTTCGTAATCAATCCATCTTCACCACTTCCCTTCTTCTCCTCCTCCTCCTCCTCATCATCATGCACAACTTGTCGAACCACAAACGCCACAGGATGTTCCCCCGTTGTGCCCGACAACGCACCCACAACTCCCGCATCAGCGATCCCGGGCAAAGTGAGCAGTGCATTCTCCAATTCCGTCGGCGAGACTTGGAACCCGTTGACTTTGATCAGGTCTTTACAGCGATCTATCAAGTATACTTTACCGTCTTGGGGGGAAATGTATCCGACATCGCCAGTTTTGAGCCAGCCACTGGTTGTACCGTCGTCCTCGAAGGCGTCAGCGGTCGCTTCGGGGTTGTTGAAGTAGCAAGTCATGAGGAGGTTGGGGCCTCGAATGTATAATTCTCCTGTCTCGGGGATGGTTTCTTCTCCGGTCGTGGTGGTGGTGGTGGTGGTGTGAAAGTCTGGTCGGGGAACGATACGGATTTCATAACCGGGGATAGGGCGACCAACAGAATTCGTCGAGTCGTTTTCACCGTATTTGAACGTCGTGAACCAGCCGCCTTCGGTCATACCCCAGACCTGTGCGATGCGAGGGGGTCCGTGTGGATTGTTGAGGTAAATGGCATCGAGGCGGTTCTTCAATTCAGGGACCAGCGGGGCGCCTCCACAGTAGATGTTGCGCAGGCTTTGGATTTGTGCGTGAGCGTCCGGATTGTCGACCAGGCGCATAATCAGGGGTGGAGGGGCGAAGGTCTCGGTGATTTGAAAGTCGAGGATGGCTTGGGGGAAGATCTTGGGGTCGAAGCGCTTGATGAAGTAGGTGGGTTGGCCCAGGCGCATGCTGTTGATGGCCATCTCGCCGGTGCTGAAGGAGTGGAAGATGGGAGTGCAGAACAGGCGACGGACGGGGTATGGCTTTGCGGCGTGGTTGTCTTGCGCGGCGGCTGCTTCGAGGACGTGTGACTTGTGAGTGCGAGCGGCCATCTTGGGCAGGCCGGTAGTCCCTGAAGTGCTGGCGAGTGCTGCGATCGAGGTGTTGTCGACCTGCGACAATGCCTCGAACAAGCTCTCGGGGGTTTTGGTCTTTTGCAATTCGTGCAGGTATCGGAACTCGCTGCTCTGGTTGCGGTGACAATGACCATGGTGCACACCACAGGCCGTCTGCTCTCTCGCGGGTTGTGGTTTGAGGAGGTCGCTGTACAGGATGATCTCGACGTCGCGGCCACAGTCTCGAACCGCCTCGCGGATCTTCTCAAGCTGCTCTTCGCATGTGATGACATATTTGGTCTCCGATGTGCGGAAATGGTGCGTCAGGTCGACGCTCTGGTAGCCAGGGTTGACGCCGGTCCAGCGGCACTTGGAGGCCCAGATGGCGTAGCACAGGATCGGGTAGACGATGTCGTTGGGGATGTTCAGGCAGACGGTGGTGTTCTCTTCGAAGGCGCCGGTGAGGTTTGCCGTGAGTTGAATGGCCTTCTCCTTGGTGATGTAGCGGGTGGGCTCTTCGGCATCGATGAGCACTGGCACGTTCGAGTCATATTGTCCCGAAAACGCCCATTGCACAATGTTGGCATCCTCAGCCGCGAGGCTGGACACTGAAACTGGCATGGTTGCACCTGTTTCTAGTGCTGTTGTTGTATGTGGGTTGTAAGGAGGAATTCCACTGCAAGCTGTGAGTAACACCCCTTAAACGCGTCGCAGACGCGGAGCGAGTCACAAATTCCTGCGAATTCACACAGGTGAAAGTGGAGTTTGTACTCACTTCTGAGAGCTTGTCGAGAAGAGCTCGACCGGCGTGCTTGAGAGTGTTGGAACAGTGGTGAATGAATCTTGAGCTTGCTTCTTGCGTTCTTCTTCGTCCTTTGACAGGCGTTGGAGCTGAGCAAGTACAAGAAAGAGTTGCCTTCGTTGCAGTCTGGTTGCTTGATGGCACTGGGAGTGATGGTCTTGGGAATTCCAGCTGAACGAAGAGCGTGTCCTTCGCTTTTGTACTCTCGCCAGGGACAAAGGGGGTGAGTCTGGTAACAAGCCTTCTTTGTGTGAAGCCATTGCTCTTTGAACCTCAAGCATTGATCGGACAAAGCTATTGTTCCCAGTGACTCGGCCGTGTAGCTATTTGTACGTGTTCGTTGTTCTCAAAGTTGTTCCCGGGGTGTTATGGTTCCCGATCCTCAGCCGTGTGGTTCTTGGAATAAAGCAGCGAATAGAGGGCCACAAAATTGGCAGTTATTGAAGGCGTTGACAACACAAAGACCTGTGAATGATGGTCAATCTCAGTGATGGGGTCGATTTCGCTGTCATGGTCCATGACCAAGAGGTGGTGGCATCTTCAAGCGGTCCAAGTAGTCACCTGAATGCAGAGACCGAGCCATCTGGTGTCCATGTTGTAGATCGATCCTACAGCCGGAGCCGGCGAGTGGCTGGGTGAACGATATGGTACTGCCGGACTGCGCCGTTGGCCTGCTTTCTTCTGAACACGGCAACCTCCCATACAACCTCAATCTCACTGCTGACACGCCGTGTACAGACCACAGCATGATTACGCAGATGGCTCAATTCTCCTCCAACGGTATGTCGATTCCCGACAGCAAGATGATATAACATGCTCAACCCCATGACCGACGCGCGTTCAATCGGCCCAGCTGGCTTCCATGGTTCGCGAGTGCAGACTGCTAACGGCGAGAACCATTCCGCAACCGATTCGAGTGTACAGATATCAACCAGATCCATCTGGAAACTGTCGATCATCGTCACGGGAATCCTCCAGCGGAACGACGTGCCACGGAGACTAAAGCCATGCCAAACCATCTTTTTTTACGCTCAGGCGCATTTTTTTTTTGACAGAAAACGTTCTCGGATCACGCGTTGAGGGTTGCCCGTGCATACCGTGGCCGCATTTAACGGTTGGAAAGGCGATAGGGATAGACATCTTCTTTCGATCCACCGAGACCCGCCTCTTCTTCTTTTTCTTCTTCACCACACCATCAAATCCCACATCGTCAAATCCTTCACTTCCATACTCACTCCCAAATACAACAAAAAAACCCAAAGCCAAGCCCCCCTTTTCCCCCCTTACCCCGACTAGGGATCCAGAACCGTCAACTTAAGCTTCATCGCCTATGCTGTGTAACGAATCCAACCCAAGCTTTTCTTAACAAAAAGGACATGCTCCACCTACCTCATACCCGACTACCGCTGACTTGACGTTTTAGCGTTATTCGCGACTCTGCAAAAAAACAGGATCACGAAAGGTATTGACCCTGTACTACTGGTTAGCGTCTGGTGCCAATGTGGCTGCGGAAGAGAAGAAGAAGAAGACTTTGATGCTTACTATATATATACACTCGCGCACAAGACGGTCTTGCAGGGAAGGATGGTTGCCGCGATTAGGAGAGAGAATAAACGAAAAAAAAGGTGGTCGTCTCGATATCTCCACCAAATATTATCATCTTTCTCAAAGGGACGACGACCCGCCCTCTTGATCCGGTTCCCCGAATCTTCCTGCTTGCACGCGCGCGCGCGCGAACACTGTACTTACGTCCTTGTGCGCCAGTATCCAGTAAATGTACGTAATAATGAAGAATCATCCGTCCCTCTTGAGCGCGCGCTGCAGATTCATTGACAAACTCCACAATCATCAGTGCCATGGCTCGTCCAACTTTCGATTTCGACTCCTGGATGTTCAGAAATAAAAAGCACACACACAGCTAGCTGCTCGCGTCGATTTCGCGATATGGCGATTCCTGGTGGAGGAAGTTCGCATTATGGAGTTCAAAGAAATCTGCGCATGCATGCATGCGTATGCAGAGGCTGCAGGGGCTGGGCCTCTCTCTCTCTCTCTCTAGATGCTCCCCAAAAAGTTTGCTCCCCTTTTGGACAAGGAGGCTCCGTCTTCTTCCCTTTCTCTTTCTGTCACCACAAAGGGCGCAGATATTCAAAATCTGCACTGCCTTTGTTCACAAAGGAATTAATCACTTGAACCCGCGCTGCTTTTTCCCTTTGACATTGGGCACAGCAGCTCGACAATGGGATTGTCGTGGTCCTCATTGTTGGCCCTGGTCGAGGATATAACCCCTCCCTCTCTTCCTTCAATTCTCCTTTCCATTACTCAAGTGCTGCTGAATATCGTCTGAGGTGCAATTCACTCTGAAGCAGTTATTACTCAGCCGTACCGGTAACGCACTTGAACCCCTTCACCTAGTTAGTCAGGTCAATTCACCTAGCCAACAACTAAGCAAACCCATTCATTCACTTGGCGCTAGGACCAAGAAATTCTGCAAGGGTCCAATGGCGGACTCGGTCGCGAATTTTGACGACCAGCACAACAACAACAACATGAATGAACCAACTACCACCACCTCCACCACCAACATGGAAATGATGGAGTTGTCCAACGACAACAACAACAAGCCGCAGCCGACTCCAGCGCAACTCGAAGATGGCCTTCTCCTTCAGAATCCCCCATCCGCGCACCTCGCTCCAAACAGCCGCGACAACGAGGCACCACAATCCCGATCCTCCGTAAATACGCTCGAGCAGGAGAGCGACTTTGAAATGATCGAAAACCAAATCGAGAGCGGCTCTTCTACACTCCAGCAGCACAACAACAACCACAGCAACAAAGAAGAAACCCCACAAGACAACTTTGACGAGTACATGGCCGACAAGAAAGATCTGCAGAGACTTGCGGACGACTTCCCCTTGCCATTGCCCAAGCACAATGAGAGATACAATAAGCTGCGCTATGCGCACTTTGCCGTGTATCAAAGATTGTTCGCGGTAGTGGTGGGAATCAACTTGGTCCTGATCGCGACGTTTGCAGCTCTGCTCACAACCACATCCAAATCCGCAGTCTTCATGTATGGAGATGCGGTGACAGCGGTAGCAGCGAATATTCTCCTGGCGATGTTGATGCGACAAGAGAATTGCATCAATATGCTGTTTCACAGCGTGTTGAGCCTGCCACGCTCGTGGCCCGTCAGCATTCGTCGACACGCCGCCAAGGTATATTGCTATGGAGGGGTGCACACGGCGAGCGGCATCAGTGCGGTGCTGTGGTACTTGTTCTTCGTGGTGCTGGTCTTTCGCGACTTTGTTGCCGTGAACGAGGCGCTTGGAAACGCTGTGAAAGGACTCGCCGGCGTGATTATGTGCTTGTTGGTCACGCTCTGCGCTGCGTCGTATCCGACCCTGCGCGCCAAATTTCACAATCAATGGGAACTGTCGCATAGATTTCTGGGCTGGACGCTGGTCGTCCTCATCTGGATTCAACTCTGCTGCGTCGTCGCATCGGATGCCTTGAAGCCGGAAAGCAGCAGCAACATGGGATCCATCCTCGTCAAGACTCCGGCTTTCTGGATGCTCCTCATCATCAGCTTCCTCCTCGTTTACCCCTGGATGCGTCTCCGCAAGGTATATCTCACGGTGGAGAAACTCTCCGCCCACGCCATCCAGGTACACGTGAAGACCAAGAAGCCCATCCCGACCTGCGTGGGAATCAGCTTCTCCCGCTCCCCGTTGATCGAAAATCACAAATTCGCCACCATCCCTAACCCCGACAAGGAATCCGCCTTTTCCGTCATCATCGCCAACAACGGAGATTGGACCCATCAGCTCATCAACGACTCGCCGCCACCTTTCCTCTGGACCCGAGGCATTCCCTCCCTGGGCGTCGCGCGCGTCTCCAAAATCTTCCGCCGCATCGTCCTCGTCGCTACCGGATCTGGCATCGGACCGCTCATGTCCTTTTTCAACTCGCACCCCGAATGGGCAATGCGCATTGTCTGGTCGGCACGAACGCCCGCGCTCAGCTATGGCAAGAAGAACATGCAAAATGTGCTTCGAGCAGATCCAAAAGCCATCATTCTGGACACGAGCAAGACGTCGTTCAAAGAGGAAGGCATGCCGGACTTGGTGAGGTTGGCGTATGGGGCATATCGGGACTTTGAGGCGGAGGGCGTTGTGGTGATTAGTAATCCAAAGGTTACCAAGGAGGTTGTGTTTGCGTTGGAGTCGAGAAAGGTACCTGCTTATGGGGCAATTTTTGACTCGTAGGCGCGCTGGGTTTGGATTTGGGCTTGTGCGATTGTGGTTCTCGATTGTTCGCCAGGAAAGTCTCCGGATTGGAAAATAAACCCCTCCCAAGAGGCGAGCAGGTCGACAGGTAGACAGGTAATGTACGCAGGCGCTGGGGCATGCGGTCGCGTAGATACGGTATCTTTGCTGCTTTGTAGGAGAAAAGGGGTACTTTTCACCTGACGGTCAGCGAACGCAAATGCAAATGCAAACAAACTCTTGAAATTAAGTCCATCTTTTCATATTTCTCTTCTCTTCTCCCAATACCGTCCCAATTCCGTGCTGCCTTGAATTTCCATGTAAAAAGCTGAGCCAAATTTTCTCTTGAGAGTTGAGACCCTGTGCAGACCGCCCATTGTAACGTGTCTCGTTACTGTCTGACTTCCACATCACTCTGACTTCCATCTCCTCTGATTCTCTTACCACCAGTCTCACTGTCCTCGAAGAACTGAACATTTCCAACGTCGTCGCCGTTTCATTTCCGGGAATAAAGAGGTAATGAATGTAGTAGCGACGCGAAGCAAAATCCCTTGGTCGAGTGGAGCGAAGGAAAGTCGCACTCGAAAATAATCGTCCCGGAGAAACACTTTCTTCTCGATGCTGCTGCTGCTGCTCTTGCTGCTGATGATATGCTGAACTCGATCCGCTTTTCCTGCAAGCTGAGGTGGGTTCGATTTGTCCCCTCCTCTCCCGTTCCTAAGACACAACTCTTCCGGAGAAGAGCAATAGAGAGGCAAGATCCTAATTAGGGATCCTAGAGGTAGATATGTCTCCATTGACTTCTATCGAACACGAAGTACTACTTCTTATGGTCTATAGTATTATCATCGCCTTCACCTTCCGTCGTCGGAATGGTTTTCTTCTCATCATCTTCATTTCCATCACCGTTGACTTGGGTCTCCTCTTTCATATCTACAGCAGGAGCAGCATCATCTTTGGCATTATTTTCCGCGTCAGCTTGCGGTTTCTCCCCCTCCTCCCCCTTCTCCTCTGCTGAAACCTTCGCCCTCACCAAGCCCAAAACCTCCTTCCCAATTTCCTCAAACCCTTCTACCCTCCCCAAACGAGCCTCGAAAGCCTCAGCATCTCGCAACAATCTTTTTTCGCCACTTGCACTTTCCACATCAACACCGTCAAAAGCTTTGGTCCATTGCTCACGATACCCCACGAATATTTGTCGCATAATCAACCTCACATCCAATTCTGACAAATGTCTCGAAAGCACTCTATGCAAAGTCAAAGTCTCCTTGGTCAGCGTTTCCATGTATGTATTAGGTTTCTCGTCATCTGGAGCAGGGGAGTCAAAGTCGATCAGGCTCATCGCCTTCACATGCGCAGTCGATCTCGAAGTCATAATCTCCACAAGCTTGTCGTGGATTCCGGATTGATGGTCTTGGTACAGACGTTTCATCTTGTCGAATTCGGCCAAGATGCCGCCCTGGCCAGCGGGGTTGTGGCGACGTACGCACTCGCGTATATAAGGAATGATGGCGACGACGAAGCTGAGAGCTTGAGACGCGAGCGCTAGATGCTTGGTAGTGATGTTTTTGAGACCGGCGATTTTGGTGGCGCCGGCGCCGAGGATGAGCTGGTTGGTGCGAGAGTTGAAGGTTCGGAGTACATCGATCAGGGAAGTCGAAATTTGTGGTGTCATGCTTGGTAGCGTGGAAGTAAGAGACAGGAAGGTGTCGATGCTGTCGAGCAGTGAAGACGCACTGGGGACAAGGATGAAGCGAGTCTCATCGATATATGCAGGCTTCGCTGTTGCTCCTTTGGCCGAGGTGGGAGCTGTGCCATTCGTGACAGGAGCCGCAGGGGTGCCGTTGGCAGTGTTGCCGTTCGTCTGAGGCTCTTCCCATATGGATGCAGTGCCTTGTGCCCACTCCGGTGGGTCTTTTGTCATTGATGCCAGAATCCGCTGCAATAATTCGTTGCGCGCGTCAGTAAAGTCTTCAGCATTCCAAGTGTCGCTATCAAGCATGTTAGCAACGCGTTCAGTCTCCGAAGTCCCCAGCACTTGGACGAATCCAGATATTTGTGCATTGATAATGCCCCTGAGTACGTTGCCTCCTCTGCCACTAATCGCCTCACACTCATCTGCAAACAGCCGATTGAGCGTGAAGTAGCGCAAGAAATGATCTTTAGACAAGCGGATGGTCTGCTCGTTTCGAACCCTGAGCACTCTTGTGATTTGTGACTGGGCGGTATCGACGGCCTGGCCGAGCAAGCTGGACATGTCCAGAGCCTGCGACAATTCTTCTTGCACGCTGGACTTGGTGTCCAGGTCACCGCCATTGACAAGCCTTTCCTCTATGCTAGAGACTGTGGCTGACCTGGAATGTGACTTGGGTGATTTCGGCTCAGGGGGTTGCATGCTACTCGTCACATCCAGGAGAATCTTGGTCTGCGTGGACACTCGTCGGAGGGCTTCCCCAATGGATGTATAGGCGTCGGCAAGCAGCTTCTCGGCATCTTCGGCGTCCATCGCTTTCAAGTGACGAGCCAACATGAGGCTTTTCTCCTGCTGGCTACGCTTCCCGCCGCCTCTCGACATGGTTGTCGAGGTGGACATCATGCTGTCCGCATCATCATCACTGCTACTAGGCATAAATCTACGGATGATTGCCTTGACTTCCTTATTGACGTCGTCCCGATACTTGGAACTTGCTGGTGCCGTGTGCCCTGCTCTGGCGAGTCCAGTCAACGCTGACAGTAAGTCTTTGCGGAACGCGTCATCCGTCTCCATGTATGTGGGTGGGATCCCTCGCTGTCGTGACCACCGTTTCAGAGTTTCAGCGGTGGGAACTTTCTGTACGTGTCGTCGCAAGTCGCCAATTAATATCGAGCTGAATCGCTGCGCAAAGCCTGTGCCTATTCGCAGCTGCAGCTCTTGCAGACCAGTGTCCAGGCCCTGGAGTGCCTTCAGCGGACGAAGGTCTATCAGCTCGCCATCTTCACCCCCGGGCTCTGGCTGACCACAGACCAGTCTTCCCACACGATCCATTTGGTCTGCCGCCTCGTCGTATGCGCCGTTGTCCACTAGCTCATCCGCCCTTTTCACATTGTCTACCACACTCTGCACCTGAGCGGTAGCGCTCCGTAGCTTCCGCACATTCTCCCGTCGCCTCCGTTTTGCTGCGATCTCGAGTCCAGAAACAGCGATTTCCTGATCTAACCTTTTCAGATCTTCCCGCAAGCTCTGTATCTTGGCCACACTCTGCGCTGCCTCCGTCTGTAGCTCTTTTAGAGAGCCCAGCGCTGTGAAGAAACCTGTACTAGCGGTACTAATGCTATTGATCAGGTGAACTTCAACCGTGTCCATGTACCAACTCAGCTTCTCTTGGAGGATGGCGTTGTTTGCCAGGCTTTTCCTCGGCATCTGAGGGGTGGCAGTTGAAGGCTGCGAACCCGGAGGAGGTCGCACGATTTCCGACTTTTCGGAGACGACGTCAAACGTCCTGGGGTTTTCGAGATGGAAGTTCTCGTCAAAGTAGACATTAGGTATGGTTGACAGGGGCGTGGGCTCGTTGCGATTTCGCCTGAACTGTGCCGAAGATCGACGACGTGGTACCGCTGGCGACTCTATAGGCGACATGATAGCTGGCGAGCTCGGCGCCGCAACGGTAGGGGTCGGCGGTGCAGAACTATCCGGCCTGCTCAGTCTCCTCTCCAGTGCTTCCACCTTCTCCAGATCCCTGTCCTTCCTGAGCCATGCCGGTTGGTCTGGCTCGGAGCGGCGCCGCTGAAAGCTCTCAAACAGCGGCCCAATGCGGTTCAGATAGTCGCGAAATTTTTCAGGCGGCACATGAGGCACGCTCGTCAGTGTCACTGGCGGGATATCCCTCGTTGTCGGAGCTTTGAAGCGTGAAGCGGCAGCTTGTGCTGCAGTATGTGGAACCAAGCCCGTTCGCATAATCGGGGACTGAAGTAGAGTAGATATGGCATTTTGGGACGTTTCCCGGATGGTGCTCCCCCGTCGTTGGTGCATCGAAGTATCCAGAGTACCACCTATAGAGCTCGCCGCCGACATGACACTGGCTGAACTGTCCCGCCGCGGGCGATATCGATACGATGCCGATCGAGGAGCATCGTGGGAAGGGAATGGGAAGGCAGAGTGAGTGGAGGCGGGCGATGCGACATGGTCGGGGCTGTCGAGGGAGTAGGCGGAGGAGGACATGGCCGACGTGAATCAGTCCAGCTGGCGCTCGTGCTCGGCGTCATGAGGAGATGCGAGGCGCTGGCGTGGTCGGGGAGGGAGGGACGGTGAGGTATATACAGGAACAGAGGGGAGAGGATGGTCGAGTGCACGGGAAGGAGGTGGTGTGCTCGTGGTTGTTCCCGTCAGTCGACTTTAACAGGATTAACAATAGAAGAACATCGAGTGTCCCAAGTACACGTCTCAGGCCATCCCGTCATGCTCCTAAACCGTCCTAAGGTAGTTCGACGCGGCACGGACAGCTCCCGTGCCGTGCTCGTCCCGGGCTCCCACTGGCTGAGCATGCGAGCACTTGACACGGATAGAGCCAGCCACGATATATGCCACATGGACGCGAAAGGACGCGTCGTGCACGCGGGAAGGTTTCGAGGAGCCGCCGAGGTGAAGTGTAGCACGTTTGGTCGGATCGCATCTCTGCTGCCATCTACACACAACCCACCACCCACCACATCACAATGGACCGGCAATCGGTATACACGCTCAGCCTGTTTGGCGAGGAGCAGAGTGCCAATGGAGACTCGAGCAACAAGCAGACGCAGCGGGAACTGGTGGCCTTTGTGCTGGACTTCCATCTCGACGGCAACTACATCTACCGGTATGCGGTGCAGCGAGGCGGCGGCGGTGGTGGTGAAAATGAAGAAGGAGAAGGAGAAGAAGAAGGAGAAAAAGGGATAGAGAACATGTCACTAAGCGCATCCGTGTAGGGACCAGATCCGCGAGAATGTGCTGTCCAAGCAATACTACTGCGACATCGACATTGCCCACCTGATCGCCTTCAACGAGGAGCTGGCCAACCGACTGAACAACGAGCCCGCCGACATTATTCCTATAGTATGTATGCCATGTCATATGGTCATGCACAGTCTAACCAGACACAGTTTGAAGCGGCGCTCAAGACGTGCACTCAACGCATCCTCTACCCCTCGCGCAGCCAGGAAGACCTCGCCCTCGCAAAAGCCCTCCCCGAACACCAACTCCTCATCCACTCCTCCGTCTCACAGACTTCCATCCGAGGCCTGACCGCCACCAACGTCTCGCACCTCGTCCGCATTCCCGGCATCGTCATTGGCGCCAGCACCCTGAGCTCAAAAGCAACAGCAGTCCACATCCAATGCAGAAGCTGTCAGCACGAGACGAATCTCGCAGTCACATCCGGCTTTTCGGGAATCACACTACCAAGGACATGTGGCAGAATAAAGGGCCCCGACGATCAGGGCGACAAGTGCCCTCTCGATCCATATTTCGTGGTGCACGAAAAGTCACAATTCATTGATCAGCAAGTCCTGAAGCTGCAGGAAGCACCGGACGATGTGCCTGTCGGCGAGCTGCCTCGTCACATTCTGGTCAGCGCAGACCGATATCTGGCCAATCGAGTGGTACCGGGCACGAGGTGTGTGGTAATGGGTGTGTTTAGCATCTACGCCAGCCAGAAAAACAGTAAAAACAGCGGAGCAGTCGCCATTCGGAATCCTTACCTTCGAGCCGTCGGTCTGCAAACCGACGCCTCCCACAATCAAGCCACAGGCATGGGCATCCAATTCAGTGAAGAGGAAGAGCAGGAGTTTTTGGAAATGTCCAGGCGACCCGACATCTACACGCTGTTCGCAGATTGCGTCGCACCCTCCATCTACGGGAATGGAGACATCAAAAAGGCCATTACATGTCTACTGCTGGGTGGCAGCAAGAAGATTCTACCAGATGGTATGAAACTCCGAGGAGACATCAACGTCCTGCTTCTGGGTGATCCTGGAACAGCAAAGTCGCAACTCCTCAAGTTTGTAGAAAAGTGCTCTCCTATTTCTGTCTACACATCTGGTAAAGGGTCCTCTGCAGCCGGTCTGACGGCTTCTGTGCAGCGAGACACGACGACGCGCGAGTTCTACCTGGAAGGAGGAGCCATGGTTCTGGCCGATGGTGGTGTAGTATGCATAGACGAATTCGACAAAATGCGAGATGAAGATCGAGTAGCCATTCACGAAGCCATGGAACAGCAGACCATATCCATTGCCAAAGCGGGCATCACTACCATTCTCAACTCCAGGACCTCCGTCTTGGCAGCAGCCAATCCCATCTTCGGGCGATACGATGATCTCAAATCACCGGGCGAGAACATTGATTTCCAAACCACCATCCTCTCACGTTTCGACCTCATATTCATCGTACGGGATGACCACGACCGGAATCGGGACGAGACCATTGCCAAACACGTCATGGGTCTTCACATGGGCGGCAAGGGTATCCAAGAGCACGTTCACTCCGAAATCCCCGTCGAGAAAATGAGGCGGTACATCAGCTATGCCAAGTCCCGATGTGCGCCCCGACTATCACCAGAAGCCGCCGAAAAGCTCTCCAGCCACTTTGTCTCCATCCGAAGACAAGTCGCTCGAGCCGAGCAAGACGCGAACCAGCGAAGCTCCATCCCCATCACCGTCCGTCAATTAGAGTCTCTCGTCCGCATCACCGAATCGCTCGCGAAAATCGAACTCCAGCCCATTGCGACAGAAAAGCACGTCGACGAAGCCATTCGGTTATTCCTGGGCTCCACCATGGACGCCGTCATGTCTGCAGGTGGCGACACCTCTGCATTGGGACTCGGCGGGAATCGAGAACTGGTCGAAGAAGTGCACAAAGTCGAAGAAGAAGTGCGTCGCAGATTACCCGTGGGCTATACTTCCACTTTGGCCACGTTGCGGAGAGAATTCGTCGATAAGAAGGGCTATAGTGAACAGAGTTTAAATCGCGCTTTGCAGGTCCTCGTGAGGAGGGAGAGTATCCAGTTTCGAAGAGGTGGGACGTTGGTGCATCGGAGTGGATTTTGAAATCTTCTCTCTCTTCTTTTTTCGAGAAATCAGAGAAGGAATTTTATCTATCTATGTCCCTCTAGTGAAATGATGCCCTCCCTCTCTCGCGCAGGTCGTTTTGAGAGCGCAATGCAATACAATCCAATACAATACCACCCAAAACTCAATATATCCAATATCCACCGCTCAAGTGACAAGTCCACCCAATCAACTCAAAGACACTAACTACTAAATCAGTCTAAACAGACAAAAAGAATCATCCTAACAAGGCTAACATATATAAATGTATATCCTACCTACCCTATCCTATCTTATCTAATTTACATACATACATACATACATAGAGGTAACTCTTTTATCCTTTTTTCGGTATAAGCAGAAAAAAAAAGAAGAAAAAAAATAACTTAAAAAGACTCAAAATGTATATATAGGTACCTAGGTATTGAGATAGGAGGTAAGGTAGAAACGAAGGAAGGTTCTTTTCTTTTCTTGGCTTTGCTTTGTTTTTTGTCTGCCTCCTCTGCCTGCCTCGTCTGTCTGCCTGGCTGCCTCGTCTGTCTGTCTGTCTGTCTGTCTGCCTCGTCTGTCTTATCTAGGCAGATAGGTAGATAGGTAAATACCTGAGTAGGTAGGTAAGTAGGTAGGTATGTAACATCCACCCATCTCGTACAGTACAGCATACATACAATACAGCATACATATCTCATCATACCTACACCACCACCACCACCTCCTACTAGGTAGGTATAAATCTCTCTAGAAATGTACCTATCCTATCCTATCCACCACCCTCCTACATACATACATACATACATCTATAAGACTTCAAGCCTCCTTCCGATCATCACGACCATCATCATCCAACAAAACCCTCTCAATAACAGCCGAATTCAAACCCGCCCAGCGCCTCTTTCCCCAAGCGAACCAGGAGAAAACAGCAAAGAGCCAGACAAAAGCGTTGATAGGGAGGGCGTACTTTGTGCATGTATATATCAGCTTTGCGGATCTTGATGTATATATATATATATCAAATTCGGGGGGAGAGGAAGGGAAAGAAACACTCACGTTGAAAAACTCAGCCGTAACGGGGAGATAAGAGGGAAAAGTCATAAACGTGCCTAACCACGCGGTAAAGAGGATAGCGGAGAGATTGATCGGGATGCCATATTTTCCGAGGGACCAGGGGGCCTAGAGAGAGGTGTTGATGTTAGCTTCTTCTTCTTCTCCTCCTCTGACATGTATCCATGTAAAAATTCACTACTAACCTCCTTAAAACGTCCAGATAATCGTGCCGTGAGCCCGCAGACGATAGCGATGAGATAGGATTGGAAGAGTCCAAAAGTGGATAGAGAGACGATGACGCTGAAAGCGGTATAGTTGGCCAGATTTAGGAGAGATAAAATCATGACCAGGATAATCGGAAGCCTACACGTAACGACCAAAAAAGGGAGAAGAGTCAATCATCACTCTGTCAGTTCAAAAAAAGCTGCGCCCCGCAAACTCGCTCGGCGGCTCGTGTCGAAAAACACGTCTTATTGAAACACACAGAGAGAGAGGGGGGGCACGAGAAAAGGGGGGGTTCACGTACCACACCGAACGGACCGGAATGCGATACTTGGGGTCCACATATGCAAAATATGAAGGCAAGGCCCCATCACGAGCCCACGCCCACGTGAGTCTCGAGACGGAAGCGACAGAACCAATGGTACCGGAGATAATGGTAGTCAAAATCCCTCCCAACATGGCCGATGCGCCTGCGACCGATTGGGTCGCGTTCAGGCAGATGTCCATGAGAGGGTAGGAGGAAGCGGATATCTGTTCGACGTCACCGACGCAATAGAGGAGGATGATGATCATCCCAAACGCCATGGCGGCGTTGACGCAAATGGACCAGAACATGGCTCGGGGGATGGTGGACCGGGCTTTTTTCGTTTCCTATAAAATGTAAGCAATGTTGGATTAGTAATTGGACCATGTCTGTGTTTGTGTGATGTATATAGAGAGATATATATACATGTAATATGGGATGGATGGAACCGTGGAAGAAGAATGTTTCATGGAAAAAGAGAAAACACCTACCTCGGAAATATGGGCCATAGCATCATAACCCACGAAACCCCAACTCAGGAGAATGATTCCGAGATTGAAGGAAACGAAATCACTCGTCCAGCCGGAGGCGTTGGCCTTTTCCAAGAATACAAACCTCGTGCTATGTCGGGGCGCCAGTGTGAGAAGTACAACGGCATACACGATCCAGAGGATCACGTGTAATAGTCCCGCGATCAGTTCAATCCAGGGAATGAGCCAAAAGGCATACATGTTCAACAATCCCAACGCGATCAGGAAGCCATACATGACCAGAATCGTATGCCATCCCTTCACGACATAGTCGGGATAGCTCGCCGTGACAATGACCGTCGTGCAGTTCGCTGCAATGTTGGTGACGCCTGCGAGGAGGGCGACCCAGGAGAACCACGTGATCCAGCCTTGCAGCCAAGTGATAAATCGCCGGACTAGAAGGTGCAAACACCGATCGCATTAGTCCCGACCATTAGTGAGGCCAAGGGAGGGTCACGTTTGAGGTGGGGTTTGAAGTATATCACGGTGGTACGTACATTGTGGTGGCGCAAACTGCCACGTCCAGTGATATTGTGCTCCGGCGATGGGTTGTACGGAGGCGAGCTCCGCAATGGAAGCGACTTGGCAGAGCACGCCTGGGACAACAATGAAGAAGCCCCAGACCATTGCTCGAGGTCCGCCGTTGAAGAATGCCAGACCGATGTTGCTGTCCATCCCATGACCCGTGCGATTAGCTTCGTTCATGATAGTCCATGGCTTCTAGGGGTTGGTGGTCTTGAAAAGTGATGTCTCGAAACATACGTTGTGATGGCCTCCCACGACTGCATGTAGCTGAGGGCAAAGAAGTACATTTGCGTGAAGCTGAAGATTCTCTACACCGGACTCCGTCAGTCATGACCCCAGCATGGCGGCTGCTGCTGTGTTCGAAGAGAGATTCGCATGGCACGCACCCGTACGCTGGTCTGCGTCGAATTCGACTGATTCGTTGCCGGCGCAGCTTCTTTGGTGCATTCGGCGGGGACATCGTCTCTGCTGTCGCTGTCTCGCGCCGTGGCCTCGTGCCTGGGGCCCGACTTCAACTCATATGCCTCCTCCATGGCAGTTTTGGGCGGCGGTACACAGTGTCGCAGGGTTGCGATGCTCGCGATCAAGCATTTAGATAAAGAGACAGACAGACTTCTTCATCCGAGGAACGTGGAGGCATGGTCTCCGCGTTTGTGCATGATTAATTCTGCGCTGGGGCCCTGCAGTGCCACGACGGCGGCGGGCGAGAGCGCGAGTATAAAAAACTAAGGAACGGCATGCAGCACGGCGTCTGCTGCCTGGTTTGGGGGACTGGTGGAGGTGCAAACATGGGAGAACATGGGAGGACAAATCGCCAAGACCTGCCGCGCTCGCCCGAACAGTCTTGTTGTGCACGATGGAACGTGACTGCATAAGCCCGCACGACATGATCTCTGGGCGATGTTGAGCCGAAGTTGAACCCCGCAAGTCCACCACTTCTCGACACTCCTCACTCCTTGTTCCCGGGAACGGTACGCGTGTCATCTTGCTCGTCTCACGCCAGCGCCGCCAGCCACGTTCGATTCACTGCTTGATTGCCATGAAATGAACACGAGCCTCCTGGGTAAGAAAGGCGACTTGGAGACTCCACTCACAGTCTCACACCCAGTGGGCCGAGACTGGTGCGAGAAGTGCGTGTGTGTATATTGTAGGAGGTACTGCAAACTAGGTACTGTATAGGTACTTTAGAGGTGAATACGACTGTCGCCGGGCAATTTGCCACAACGCGTAGAACAGTCCGAAACGCTGCTCCAACGGCAGCCGGAGATACTCTATGAAGGATGCGGTCGTGTCCAGGATCGCACATGAAGTTGTGCCTTCTTGAGCGTTGGCGGCGATCATTCTCCTTTTCCCTCTTTCTTCTTCTGAACGATGCTGCGAATGGTGGTATATGATTTCCTTTGTCGTTTGGCGTGATCGCTTCGTACCTACCTACTTCTGCGCCATGGCCGGGCGATGGGCTTGGCGACAGCTCGCTTCGACTCTCGAGAAATCGACGGAATGGACTGACGATGACTAGTGCCAGGAAGGGAAGCGTGCAGCTGCTCGTCACGGACAGTCTGTGGCAGAGCACGTGCAAGGTGTTCCCGTCCACACACAGACACCCACCCGCACACACACATGCACACACAGATCCGCCGGCGCATGATTCCTGTATGCCGATGCGTGTCCACTGTTCCCAGTTGGGTCACTGCATCGCAAAGTATGTGTGTCCCGATGCTGTTGAGCGTGAAAAGCATCTTACCTAAGGTACCTGAAGTTAGAGACTTTTCGTGCCGCGTTCAGCCGGCAGGTCTCCGAAGCTGAGCTACGAGAGGTGCAGTCCTCCAAGACCTTGGGCCATCAAAGTAGCCCTAGGCGATCAGTAGTAGTAGAACTACTTGAGTGATGGCCTGCGCTCTCCAAATCGGCGAATCTTCACGCACACGGGTGCGCTTCCGATCACTGAACGCACACTCATTCCTCTTGAGGCCCGGTTATGCGAGCCACTCCACGCTGACATGGCCACCGATGCCACCGGTACAGGTCTTTTCGAAGACCTTCTTCCTCCGCTTCATGAGGTGTCGCCGCAAGATCATGGCGCATATATCCTCATCGCTGCTGTCATCTTCATGATCCTTTCCGGACTGACGACCGTGGTCAAGTTGTATGCGACGGCGCATACGTTTCGCAGGCTCCGCGTGGACGATGTCGCCCTCGTCGCTGCATTGGTAAGCGTCATCACCCTCGAGAGCATCACAACGGGTGAGTGCTGATGATCAGTGGGAAGGTCTTCGCGCTGCTGTATACTGTCGTCACATGTGAAAGCGTCAAACATGGACTGGGACGCAGTGCTGAGAACTTGACTGTTGCCCAAACGCGCTCCGCTGGCCAGGTGAGGATGATATATACCATACGCAGCAGGTAGCTTCCGGTCACTGACGGGCATGTTCCAGTATTTCCTCGCCGCCAACGTGCTATCATACCCGTCGCTGGCGTCGTCCAAATGCTCAGTGGCCTTTTTGGTCATATCCATACAGCCGAGGCGATGGATCGTGACCAGCTTATATGGACTGTGTGCAGTGGTCGTGGTGTGGGCCATTGTCGCGATATGTGTGACCGCACTGCAATGTGGACCCGATCGCTGGGTGCTTGGGCCAGATAGCGATAATACCTGCATCGATCAGTACGCCGCACAGCTCGCCTTGAGTCTGGTCGACATCTTCACCGATGTGGGCCTCGTGATCCTCCCGGTCGTCATGGTTGCGAGTGTGCAGTTCTCCATCTGGAAACGGTTCATCGTGAGTTTCATGTTTGGACTGCGCATCTTGTCAGTGAGATTTGGTTTCTGTGATGGTACATGTATGCTTGAAGAGAGATCCGCTGACTGGATGAGCAGGGTGCCCGTCTTCATTGCCATCAATCTTGCTTATCAAGCCCGCTTCTATGAAAAGCCCACGCCTGATCGGACCTTTGCGGCAGTGATGCCATCCGTCTGGACCTCAATCGCCCTCCATCTCTCTCTGATCACCGCCTGTCTACCAGCACTGAAGCGCTTCCTGCTGGACTTTGGCGCCGGCGTCGCGAATGGCTTGATGGGTGAGGCTTTCGAACTCCAGCAAGGCCATATGACCAAACAGAGCCAGGGACACAGTTCCATGCGTGATAGTCGTCCGCCACATGGGGCTCGACCGCATCTCTTCTCACGCAGCTCGAGATCGAGAGTGGAGAGTAATACGCGTCGTTCGGATGGAAAATCTGGAGGCACAGCGGATCGCACGTCAGGCGAGCTCAGAGCGAGCGCCGAAGGCTCAACAGACGGCATCCTCCAGACGAGAGACTATCAAGTGCGATATGAGGCCGAAGATCTGATCGGGACAGCTCAATGAGGTCCTGCATACATGTACCTAGCCTTCCCACCCAGAAAATTACCTGTATTCTCCAGCGTATTCGTAGAAAAGATGGAAGTGATGCCATTGTCCGACAGGTGTCTCCCTACCTGGTACATAGGTAGTTCGGGAAGTAGGAGGAACCTGAATCCCGCCACTGTTGCCATAGACAGTGCTCGTTCCTTCTCATGTTGTACTTGAGTTCGACGGAATTGGTAGTTGTATGTTGCGCCATGTTACGAACAGAATACAGTGCCACAAAGATTTGAGGTACGAGTAGTGGGAGCCGCTGATGTGGATGCATTGGAAAGAGTGTTGTTGTTGTTGGTTTTGTTGTGCGACCAACATTTATAATGCCCAATGCCCAATGCCCAGACTTCTGTCACTGGCCAGAATACGAAGGGATAGGGCTCCCCCGGGCCACCCGACTCTCAACATCTTCGACGTCTTCCAGTATATTGTACAGCCGCAATGCAAAGTTCTCGGAGCATGATGTTTCAGCACGTATTCTGGTGACTTTATCAAGGGAGCAGAATGGTAGGGACAAGATCGATGGTCAAAGCAGGCCACGGGAGCCTCGTACCTGGGCTCTCGGCAAAGTCGACCGAGACGAACAAGAGCGCAGCCTCTCCGACACTCTAAAACGCCCTCCTCGTCTTAGTCTCGCTCGCTCCACCACCAGCAAAGAACAACGTCACAAAAGACAACAGCGACGAGACCGACTGGAAGAAACTTCCGCTGCACTCCGCGATAGTGCAGCATGCTACAGAGAAGTCTCTGAAAACTGCCATTGGCCGTGTGAGTGATCCTGCAGCACTACCTACCAGCTCCCCAGCCCCGTCGACCTTTACAGATGGCCTACCGCTTCTGAATTTCATCGTCTTGGACCTGGACTACACTCTTTGGGCCTTTGACATCAACAACCCAAGGTGGACAACCGGTCTTGAACTGTAATGGCGAAGAGGGTGGCTCCTACGATGATGTTTCTTCCATCCTATCTCACATCGCCGACCGAAACATCGTCATAGGGGCTGCCTTGAGAGGTTCTCGTGAAGATCTTGCGCTCTAGATGCTCTTTCTGCTCACGATCTCTGGAGGAATCGGGAGAACGTAGGCAGAAATGTTTTTTTTTTTAATGATAAGAAGCTGAACTTGGAAGCTGAATCGCTGGGAGTGGTGATGTATTTGGTCCACTAGCAGACATTGATGTAGGCGTGCAGCTGTGGTGATTCAAGAATAGGAAGATTACCTTACCCTGAAGAGTCCCAGTTGATCCATACCTACTGTATTTTTTGATACATGCTTCTTACCTCATTCTTCTACATGCCAAAAAGATATATGTTACGCGTCGCTCTGGGAGACCGCGGCAGTAAAGTCGTTCCTTTGTGCTTCACTTAAATGCTCTCGTAGGTGCGAGGTCCTGTTGTGGTGTGAGATGTGGACGAAGGGCGCGTCTCTTATGTAACAATGGTTCGAGAACCGCACCCAAATGATATGTTCAGGCTATTCGCATGTGACTCCAAATCTCGCTGGTATAATGGGACAGAAGAGAAGCACCAGTCTTGTGGTAGCGACGGCAAGGCAGAGTCACATTTTTCGCCAAGAAAGCCTTGGCGTGGCGATCTAAGACGGTAAAGTATTATTTGGAGTTTTCTCACAGCCAGCCACCAAGAAGGATACTCCCTTCCTGGTCAACAGCACAACATGGCGTCCAATAAAATCGTGCACACAGTGGTGCTAGATACCGGAGCAATCATCAAAAATGAGCCTCCAGTTTCCACACTTTTGAGTCAAGCCGAACACCTCGTCACCGTGCCCGCGATATTGTCAGAAATCAAGGATGCCGCCACGAGACAACGAGTCGAGACTACGTTGAAGCCTTTCCTCACCGTGAGATGGCCGAATCCAACTAGCATCAAGTTCGTGACCGACTTTGCGCGTAAGACGGGTGATCTTGCTGTTCTGAGCAAGCCTGACATCCAAATTATCGCTTTGACATACGAAATTGAGTGCGAGAGAAATGGAGGCGATTGGAGGCTGCGAAAAGTGCCCGGTCAGAAAGGATTGAATGGCGCGCCGCCTGCCAAAGAAGGAATCCAGGCTGAGGAGCCGTCTAAAGACGCCGCTGGCGAGCAGAATGAATTGCCAGCGTCAGAAATTTCCCACGAACCGGCCGAGCAAAAAGCAAATGAAGTTACCACGGAATCTGAGCCTGCACTCGCACAAACGGATGAAGCAGAAGCAGGAGATGTCCAACAACTGACCTCTGAGCTGGAAGCTACAGTCCTAGAAGAGAGCAAAAAGGAAATCCCAGCACCTCCAGCCTCCGAACCTACCAAAATAGACTCTGCACAAAACTCCTCCGAAAGCCAACAAGACTCCTCTTCCGACTCCGACTCAGAAGACGGCTGGATCACACCCTCCAACCTCAAAAGAAAACAAGCAGAAGACGCCCGCGGTACCTCCACGCCACCCCCCTCCTCCACCAAACCCCTCCAAGTCGCAGTCCTCACCTCGGATTTCGCCATGCAAAACGTCATCCTCCAAATCAACCTCAACCTCCTCTCCCCAACCCTCTCTCGCATCCAACACATCAAAACCTACATTCTCCGCTGCCACGCCTGTTTCCACATCTCCAAAGACTTGACTAAACAATTCTGTCCACGCTGCGGCCAACCCTCTCTCACGCGCGTCGCGTGCTCGACGAATTCCCAGGGAGAGTTTTCGCTGCATTTGAAGAAAAATATGCAGTGGAATAATCGGGGGAATCGTTATAGTGTTCCGAAACCTGTGCATGGGACGGCTAATGGGAAAAATTCGGGCGGTGGGAAAATGGGGTGGGGACATGAGTTGATTCTTGCCGAGGATCAGAAGGAATTTGAGAGGGCTAAGGCGTTGGAGAGGAGGACTAAGGAGAGGAGTTTGATGGATGAGGATTATCTTCCGGGGATTTTGACGGGCGAGAGGAAGGGGAGTGGTGCTGCTGCTGGGGGGAGGACGAGGGTGGGGGCTGGGAGGAATGTGAATTCGAGGAAGAGGTGAGAAGAGTACAGGTAGGTAACTTGATGAAATGGGATGAGATGCTGCCTACCTACACGACTTCTGATAGATTTTTTTGAGTTGAGAGTCACGATATGAATTTTACCTAAGCCTTTCCCTTTTCTTCTTTTTCCCTGCTAACGAGATTAAAATATAGGCAATTTTCATCGAAGTATACATACCTACCGTACATGCCCCCCGTATGTGAAAAACCGACCTTTCTGGCCGTCAAAACCTGTCTCTGTCTCGGTGGTATATACATAATGTACCTTAACTGAGCACCGCAAAACGCAATGCCTACCTGATGGTCGTCGGGGCCGAATACAGCAAACTCGCTACCTTAGTGGCTATGGGAGTAAGAGGTAAGGTAAGGTAGGTAGATACACATTTTTATTTTTATTTTGCGGGCATTCTACATACAGATACTAAGACTTTCCATTTCAGTCTCAGACACTCCATGAACGGCGCGAGCGTGAGTCGATGGTTGTTGTATGCCATGTGCGCCCTTGCTATGGAACTTTGGAGGAACCTGTCAGTTAAGACTATGTTGCCTGGCTTGTCTTGTCTTGCTTTGGTGCTTTGTTGCTGTGTTGCAAGAGTCACTTGGGTTGGCGCGGAAAACTCGACACCTGAGGTACATACTTAGAAGAAGGGAAGAGGGATGTTACCACGATGGTGGAATTGACGCGATCATCAACATTACAGACGGGAGGTCGCTTTACTACCACCACAACTACTACCACTGCCGCTGCGGAAACCATTGCTGGAGAATTTCTTCATCGTCATCATCGGGAGACGTACAGTCTATTTGCAGTCAGCCGGAGTTGTCAACACACACACACTCACTGTAGTGGGGACGAGAAGTCGCTTCGCACTTCTCAGGGGTAAACTGCCACAACCTCAGTCGCAATTTTGCGCAAGCACCTGTTTTTTCCATCAACCCCGAGTGCACCGCTCTCTCACCAACATCACCACCACCACCACCACAAACACAGAAGTTGCATGCACAAGAACATCACATCATCATCATCATGCCTTCCTCCTCCACCCTCAACACAGTGCAAGAGCGTCGATTCCTCTGGCACTACAAATTCACCGTCACCCGGCTGCACGCATGCGGTTTCGTCCACGAGTCCGCAGTCGTCGCCGGTTGGTATTGCGATCTGCTCGAGCGGTCCAGCGATCAATTGAAGGAGCATGCGCCGATTGACCAACAATTCTGCGAAGATATGGTTGCTGATGCGGGTGTCCGAAAATATTCGGAGAATGTGGCGCAGGTGGGAAATCAGACTGCGGATGTGGCTAGGTTGCTGTTTCATTATGGGAGAGGTGAGGAGGCGGAATTGTTCTCTGAGCGGGCGGCTTGGCTGCATGATTTGGCGGGCCGGATGAAGGAGTATGAGTTGCTTGTTGGGGAGCAGTTGGAGTAGGGGAGACGGGGGAAGACCTTGGGGGAGAACTTGCCAGAGGACGGGTTTGGGTGAGTGCGCTCTCTGCTGAGGGTTCGGAGAGGGGAAGTCGTTCGCTGGCTACACGTCTACAGTACCATGGAGGAGGTTCAGTTTAGGGCGAAGGGGATCACAGGCCGCATGCGTTTTAGCAAGAGTGTCATGGTGGAGCAAGATGGTCTCGGGAAGATATGGTGCGACGAGGCTGCTATTGTAACGATCAGATTCGACCTGGTAACAGAAAGGTCTGCAGCGCAAGCTGACACAAAGGCAGCGATAGAGGCTCGAGGCACGAGGAGGTCCCAACGACAGCCATAGATGTTGTACTGACCAAAAGTCTCTTCGACAGCCCGTCTTGTCTCTTTTCTTTCCATCTACATGACTGTACTCCTCACAGCGCTATACGTGCAGCTCCTCGTCTCACGTCCACTGCTCTTACAGCTATACCAGGTACGTATTCTCCCCAGCTCTTTTCAGGAATGATGCTTGATGAAATAAATGTACGGCACTTCTGACGCCGCCTACACAACCAACAAAAATGCGTAGCCAGCTCTTATAGTACCAACAGTCTCCCTCTGCGCTACTCGAAATCGTTTACCAGCAATTTTGGAACCCAGGGCCCAGCATGACGCCGAGCCAGAAGCCTGCTGACAACACTGTCTAATGGAAGCGGTGTATGGGGAGAAGAGAAGGGAGAGAAGAGAAGAGAGAAGAAAGTTTTGTTATGTGTGCGGAGAAGCTTGGACCAAGTCGGTAAATTGAAATGCCGATGCGCTGGATTCTACTTACACGGTTACACCTCTTATTACAACTGGCTCTAAAGCATTCAGAGTGAGGAGGGACCTAATGGGTATGGCCGTACCTTATGGGGTAAAGGGATCGATGCAGACACTTCACTTGTCATGGAATACCCCACATGTGTTGCTGTCTATCGTGAATGTGAATGATATATGCATGGACAAACGCATCCGGTGTGGGCGTGGGCGTGCGTTGTGACGATGATGAACACCTTCATCCATTCCTACCTAGTGGACGCATGCGGCATGGCCCGAATCACGATATAGTAGTACAGTATGAGGGTCTCCTGACATATCATCGTACTACCAGTGTCAAACAGGTGAGCTCACATCGCGTCGAGAGAAGGAGGCAATTGGCAACAAACTAGAACTCGAAACTATCCCCACGCACTTCCCAGGAAGCTGGCCTCTAGCCGATCGAAGCGTCTCGTAGCTTCCATCACGAGCTCCCGCGCATGTGACGACAGCTGCATCGACGAATCGACCAGCCATTGATCTTGCTCTTGAACCAACATCCAACCACTCTCGCTCTACCCATCACCTTTGCCTAACTCCCTTCACCGTACACATACGAACCATTCACCACATACTTTCACCTGACTGTCTAGGCGACTTGGCTTCGATTACTTCCTCTCTGGGCCACAGCCTAGAATCAAACACTTCGCTTTGCACTCTCCCTACCTTGCTGTAATACTGTTCCGGTCAAGCCGCAACCATGGTGTCTGACACCAAGCTATACGACCGGTTGGGCGTGTCAGCGACAGCTTCGCAAGAAGAGATCAAGAAAGCCTACCGAAAGCAGGCTCTCAAGAACCACCCCGACAAGAACCCCGCTGGCGCCGAGAAGTTCAAAGAGGCTTCCGAAGCATACGAGATCTTATCTGATCCTGAAAAGAGACGGAACTATGACAACTATGGCTACGACTTCATAACAGGCAATGGGCCGCCGCCTCCAGAACCAGGAGGGGATAATCCATACGCAGGCGCTGGAGGCTTTGGTGCGGGAGGTATGCCTGGTGGCTTTGGAGGTATGGGTGGAGGACCAGGAAGGACTTTCCACTTCACCTCATCAAATGGCCGAGGCGGTGGAGGAGCCTTCGGCGGCTTCAGTGACCCCAAAGACATCTTCGCAGAGTTCATGCGTGGAAGTGGAGGGTCTATGGGTGGGGGAGGCGGAGGCTTGGGCGGCGACGATGACGACTTCTTCACGAGCTTCGGCGGCGGGAGCTTTGGTGGGAGACCTGCTGGCGGACGCTCTGCTGGCTCACAACAATACCGCAGAAGAGAGCCTGAGCCAGAAACGACTGTCGTGGAGAAGAACCTGCCCGTCTCGCTGGAAGAGATGTACAATGGTGCACAGAAGAAACTCAAAGTACAACGCAAGACATACGATGCCCAGACTGGCAAGCAAAACACAGAAGACAAGATTCTCAGTGTACCGATCAAGCGAGGTCTGAAAGCCGGAAGCAAGATCAAGTACCCCGACATGGGCGATCAAGTAGAAGGTGGTGTACAAGATCTCCACTTCATCATCAAGGAGAAGCCGCACCCACTGTTCACGCGTGATGGGGACGACATTAAGCATACGGTAGAAATCAGCTTGAAAGAGGCTTTGACAGGTTGGAGTCGAACCGTACAAACGATTGATGGCAAGCAACTGTCCGTGTCGAGTGCTGGACCTACCAATCCGGATTGGGTAGAACGCTTCCCGAATCAGGGCATGCCTAAGAGTAAAACGCCCACCAGCAGAGGAGACTTTGTCGTTGGGGTGAAGATCAAGTTCCCGACGAGTCTCACAGCACAGCAGAAACAGCAATTGAAGGAGATTCTGCCGTAGGGGGTGGTAGGCGTGATGGGGTAGTGCAACTTAGCGATGTGGTGTTTTTTCAAGAAGATTTTTCAAAGCATGGCGAGGCGCTCAAGGAGAAAAAGAGCTTTTCAATTTTGGATCGGATCGGCTGGCGGACCCGAGAGTTAAAGGCGTTCGCAGCCCGCACGGAAATAAGTGGTGCAATGCAGTAGCTATCATAGACGACGTGAAATGAATGAGACGATGATTATAGGTGTCATTTTCTGCTCTCTCTCTCTCTCTCTCTCTCTCCCTCACACATCCACCCCCTTCTCTCCCCCTATCTCCATCACCCCCTCCTCCCCACACTCCACACTCACAGCATACAAAAGCACTCCAGCTCGCATCCCCCCAAACCCCATCTATACCTACAGGTACTCCCCAACTCCCCATTCCATAGCCGACTGCCCCCCCGTCCTCATCCTCATCCATCTACCTTTTTCCCCTTCTCAACCACCACCTCCCGAAAATAAAATAAATTTATTTTTTTCTCAATCCCCCTTTCATCGCCTCCTGGAACAACTGTACAGCTAGATACAGCTAGGGTACAGGTACAGGAACATGTCCAGCTTCTTGGTTCTCGTTGTCCTTGGCGTTTGTCGTTGGCGTTGACATCTGTGGGAGGTTGTCGTTGGCGTTCTCATTGTCGTTGTCGTTGGTGATGCAGAGTGCAGATTGCAGATTATGCAGATTACGCTTCCCATCCCATCATACATTTTTCTTTTCCTTCTTTCCAAAATTTTCGCTTTGGTACCTCCTAAGCCAGAAGGGACTTTTTCTGAAATTGTACATGTCGTCTTTAGCATTATCATTATCATCATCATCCAAGGAGGAGGAGGAGGAGGAGGAGGAGGAGGAGGAGGATGGGGAGGATGGGGAGGATGATAATGAGATGAAGAGAGGCTACCGCTACTGCTTTGCGGCCCTCACAGCATTTCATCAGCGGGGAAAGATTCCATGTCCATGTCCATGTCCGTGTCCATGTCCGTGTCCGTGATGGGTGGGTGGGTGGGTGGGTGGACCATGAGCCGTGGAGAGCAAGATGGGAATGTATTTTTGGCGGGCATTGGTGGGTTTTTAGAAGGAGGCCCGAAATGGGGTTGTGGCGATGTTGATGTTGATGGTGAGGAGGGTTGTTGGTGGAGAAATTGGAGGTTGAAATTTTCCTGTGAGAATTTCGTAGATTTCTGATGTTGCGGATTTTTTCGTCTGGTAGGTCGAGGAATTTTCTTCGTTGTCGAGGAGTTCGTTCTTCCACTTGTGAGGATGATGATGATGGGAGACGCTGGCGGATCTGCTGTGGAGGGGTCGGAAGTTGTTTGATTGCTTGATCGTGACTGGGCGAGTCAAAGTGTTGCGTGTTGCCTTGCTAGATGAATCTCGTTGGGGACTTGAAGGACATGATCCCGCGCTTGAGGTTGCCAGACAGCGTCTACGAGTCCGACATATTACACCGACGATGTAGTTCCCGATAGAGTAACCTCGGGTTCGCATTCAGTGATCTGCAAGGCAAAAATTAGAATCACCGACATTGTAACTCTCCTTGTCATCTCATGGAATCAAGATACTCACGAGCTCCGGCCACAATACAGTCCCTCCAGGCAGAGTACATCATCACGAGAAAGCTTTCGCCTTCTGCACTCCCCTTGGTATAAGGCGTTCGGTCTCCCCAGCCCAGAGGATTGACTACTGGACTGGCCACGCCGTTGCTTGACACGTGTTTGGCAATGGCCGCTCGATTGTCGTCTGCCCATTTGAGCATCTCGTTGGAGACCTGCCAGTTTGTTAGCTACGTGACCAACAAAATCTTTCCACGTCTCTCAACGGGATGATACTCACCGGCTTCTTGATGTCAGGATGCGTGTCTCTGACCTTTTGCGCGGAACCATTGAAGAGAGCACTCGCTTCTTCTTGCATCGCAGCTACTCTGTAGACAGTCGCGGTCAAGAGGGCGGTCCCGCTGACTTCTCCAAACCAGGTCGTGTCATTGAGATAATTCCGCAGCAAACCATCTTCTTTTGGTGAGCTCATCGCACCCTGCAAAATCTCGCCGATCCAAGTGAATAAATCCGCTTGGGCGATTTGTGCGTTCGCTTCGACTGCTGTGGGCGGCCAATGAAGCAGCGTGGCCAACACTCTCGCCATGCCCATTGCAGCCCAGCCATTACCCGTCGACCACCGCCCAAGATCCTCGTGTTCAGGTCCGAGGATGTGCTGCCATGTACCAGCGCTCACGGCGTCACTCGATGTGTTCGGCTTGAGCGCTTGTCGGTACGCGAGACATTGCATAATGGCCTTTTTGATGGTTTCCGTGCTATTGGTGGCCACTGCATAATAGGCCATGAATGGTGGAGCCATGTAGATGAAATCCGCCCATAGTTCCGCATAGTCGTCCCGGTGAGAGATGGCGCCATTTTTCCACTTGGGGACTTTGTCGAAATGCTGGAATTGTCGTTGCGCTGCCTCCGCATACCGCTTGTCGGTCTGCCCGATCATGAGGGCAGACACGCCCAGGGAAGCCGGATCACCCGAGGCCCCATCGCCATCGATGAGAGTTTCATTGTCGAGTCTGATATGGCGCTTGGCAAAGGCCAGCGCAGGCACCAGCCGAGGGTTCGAATCGGGCACTTTTCCAGCGGGAAAGGCTTGAGGCGAAAATACTGAAAGTCTGGGATTGTATAGTTCTAGTAGTGCCTCTGATGCTGTCCCGTATTCCCAGCTGTGGCCAGCCAGCTCCTGCGCTCGTTCGGCAGCAGCTTTGGCATTAAATCCAGCATCGTGCATGCAACATGAATCCGTGGCCGCGGCGGTGACTTGATGAATTGTACTTGCGAATGCCAGAATGGTGGCTACCAGGCCCGAAGAGATTCCCATTGCGAGATGGGTTGTAAGTGGTATTGCTGGATCATGAGGAGAGTGTGTATGAGCAGGAAACGGTCAACTACTTAGCCTATGCACGAGATCTCAGTGGTTTCGCAACTGGAATGCTATTTGGTGAGGCGACGTTGGCGTACGTTCTATGTCCCAAGGCCACCCTTGTCATACTATGGCGAGCTTTAGGCAGTTTTCCTTGGCTTGACTTACAGTAATACAGTAATAATAAGGTATGTACCGATTACCTCTTGACCAGGCCTGTACACCACAAGGTCCATCACTGCTGTGCCTTGCAGAGGCCGCAGTGCTCTCGATTGTCGTATTTTAATGGGAGGGCCCATGCAGTCTACGATGAGATCTGCAATGTCTTGACATGGTTATAGTTCCCACTACCTCCTCCTGTCCAAGTGTCTGTGTGTCCATCACAAAGCAAGTTCTAACGAGTGAAACGTGATATTAGCCTCCTGGGTTCAGAGTAAGAAAACGTCGTGAAAAAAGCATGATCTGCGAGATGACCTCCCTCTCCCTGCCCTGCTCTGCACCATCCCATCTCCGGCATTCACCCCAGCCAGTGGCCACTTTTTATAGTTGTTTCATCCCCGGTCCCAGGATCTGTCCGCTCCGTTACACCGCGGAACCGTTGCAGATCCGACTCACGCTGCTTGAAACACTCTGTGACTCTGCACGGCGAACTGGGCCAAGGAATCATGAGAGGGCATTGAAAGGAAAGAAAAAAAAGGAAAAAACACAAGTAATATACCAAGGTGGACGGGAGGCTTGGGAAGAGACGCAAAGAGTGATGTTGTTGTTGTTGTGAGTCGTTCTAATCCCAAAGTGAATAGCCCAGTGGATGTGGGACCAAGACTTTAGCCATCAGTCCGTCATTTTCACGCGAAATGGGCCTCGAAACCCCCCTGAGGGGTCGGTATCGCGCAAGAGTGCGACTCCGAGGGGGCATATCGCAACTCTATACACAAACCCATCGCATTCACGGGTGTTTTTGGTGAAGCATTAATAATGATGTGATGACGGGAGAGAAGAAGGTCCGAGAATGCCTTTTCTGTCACTTGCGCCAGAGCGACTGATGAGCGAGTCTCCTGCTGCTCGTACGTGAATGACCCTTTCCTCCTCCTCCTCCTCCTCCTCGTCATGCTGCTGCTGTTGTGCCGTCGGCCTCGCGGATGACCCTCTCACCACGACCACCACGACCACCACACCGCCCCATCCAGGCCCTGCACTGCACTGCACTGCATACTGCCGGTTTGGTAGCAAGAAGATGATCCATGATGGCCTCGAGCTCACCCGATTGCCCGCGATCAGTCCTCATCAACAACCCGAAACTGCGCCTACCTGCCACCACTGATCCGCCAAGCGAAACCAATCCTTCGACGCCCAAAGTATGGCTGATATTTGGAGCCACGGGACACATTGGGCGCAGTCTGGTGAAGAGCGCATTGAGCCACGGAGATCATGTCACGGCTGTGGGGAGGAGTATGGAGAACACTATGCAGCAGATGCAGGGGTGGCATGAGCAATGTCAGGGCCTGCTGTGTGATGTGCGCGTGAGAGCGACGGTGGAAGAAGTGGTGCAACAGAGCGCGAAGCATTGGGGCCGGATCGACATCATCGTCAAGTGAGTGAGTGTGTGTGTGCGTGCGGGAAATGATTTAATGTTGCGTGTGTAAGAGAAAGAGAGAGAGAGAGAGCGCGCGAGAGAGAGACCAGCACAGTCATTGACCATTCAACAACAGCTGCACAGGCTATGGTGTGATTGGAGCCTGCGAGGATCAGGACGATTGCGATTTACGCTCACAATTCGAAACCAACTTTATGGGAACCCTGAACATCATCCAATTGTCCTTGCCCCTCTTACGCGAACAAGCTGCGGCTCGGCAGGATGGTGATAATAATGCGGGAAGATACATCATCTTCTCCTCGACATCGGGAGCGCTGGGGGTGCCTGGCCTCGGGCCATATTGTGCGACCAAGTATGCTACCGAAGGTTTAATCGAGAGTATGCTCTACGAAATTGATGCTTTTGGAATCAAAGCCAGTCTCGTTGAGCCAGGCCACCTGCGCATTGACGAGCCCACCGGATTGGACGACAAAGCGGCAGATGAATCATTTGCCATTAAGAAATATGGTCATTTCTTGGTCAAAAGCCCTTCGGCACCATATGACACGCCCACGGCACCCGCGGGCCATGCCAGACGTGTTGTGCAATGGCTCTCCGATCGTCAGCCTACGAGTGCTGTCAAATCCGCGGAACTCGTCTGGCAACTGGGACATTGCAAATACCCGCCATTGAGATTATTGCTGGGAACGTATGCGATTGAGAGCGTGAGAGATCGATTGAAAAGTGTGATTGAGGAAATTGAGGATTGGAAGCATTTGCATTTCCCGACGAGTGTGGAGGAGGATGACAAAGGTCGCGCGTCCAAGAGTAATGAGGGTGAAGATGAGAGGGACGACAAGGACGAAGAGCGTCAGGATGAGGATGCAATGGATATTGTGGAGGATGGTGGCGACTCTAAAGGGGAAGATGGTTGAACTTGTATACTCGTGTATCATTGATTTTGTAATTTACCATTGTCTATATATCAGTTTCAGTTGTTTCTTGGGACAAGTTCACAAGGGCCATAGGAAGTAGGAGAGGAGTACTCTATAAGCTGCGCCAAGACCGAGTGCAAGTACAGCGAGCGGCTTTCTTCTTTTTGTCTCTTCTCTCTGCAAACATCCCACAACCGGAGCTCATCTCCTCGCTGTCGTCTTCAACACCACAGTGCGCCGAGGAGAGCACAATTCCAAAAATGACAACCCACAAACGCCCTCACAATGGCGACGGCTACTCCAGTGCCTCGAAGCGACATCATCACTCGTCCGAGACCAACAGCTACCACCGACCGAGCCAGAGCCACCGAGACCGACACGACCGCAATCGCAACAACAACAACAACAACAACAACAACAACAACACTCGACCACCGAGCAGCGCAGCAGCAGACACCACCACCAGCACCTCCACCTCCACCAGCTTACCACCACTCCCCCCAATCAAGCCACAATATCAAAAAACCGCCTTTTGTCACAAATCCCTCTACACCACCAGCCGCGAACTCGCCACATCAGATCTCACCTACGAACGCCTCGAATTCCTCGGAGACGCCTACATTGAACTCTTCGCCTCGCGCCTCATTTACGAATCCTACTCCCACCTCCCCGCCGGCCGCATGTCGCAAGTCCGCGAACTGTTAGTCAAAAATGAAACTTTGGCAGAATTGTCGCGAAGGTATGGATTTGATCAGAATATAGCCGTGGGAGCGGAAATTGGGGAGTTGTTGAGGGATAGTCGTGGGAGGGGGAATAAGGGGTATAATAAAATCGTGGGAGATGTGTTTGAGGCGTATGTCGCTGCTGTGGTGTTGAGTGATTTTGAAGGAAGAGGGTTTGAAAAGGCGGAAGGGTGGTGTAGAGATTTGTGGGAGGCGAAATTGGAGAGGGCTAAGAAGGAGGATAGGAGTTTGTTACCTCCTGCTGCGAGGCGGCCGTTTGACGAAGCGAAAGACGATGAAGGAAAAGAAGAAGCAGACGATGATAATATCCACCTCCACCTCCTCCGAACCACCTACGACCCCAACGCCAAAGCCACGCTCCAAAAACGCATCTATCACCAACCTCTCATTCGCCTCTTCTACGAAACTGACCGTCCCACCATTGAACTCAAAGGAGATCAAAAAGGTCAAAATGTGCATTTTATCGCTTTGTATGTTGAAGAAGCGTCAGCCGCCGACGAAAAATCGCATGCAAGTCGTCTTCCGCCGGAAAGATATTTATTAGCAAAAGGCCAAGGAAAAAATAAAGTCGAAGCGGGCAATTGGGCGGCTGTGGAGGCCATGTATGGGCCTATGAGGAGCCGGGTGGAGGAATTGGAGGGGAGGGTGAGAGAGGAGAAGGCTAGACGGGCGAGGGAGAGGGAGGAGGGGATTTTGAAGAAGGGTGTGGAGGGTACTAGTACTACTGATGGTGGTGGTGGTGGTGGTGGTGGTGGTGGTGGTGGAGGAGTCTGATGGTGGAGGAGTAGTGGCTGAACGGGAACATGAAGGCTTTGGGAAGAGGTGTTTCGAAGACTAGTGGTAGTAGGAGAAAATAGCATAATAGAGAACACTTATTTGTCTACTAGGAGGTAGAATTATTAACTATTCGATTCGGACGGATATATTGTATAGAGCTACATATAGGTAGTTGAGAGATATCAGAGCCCTATCCATCCATCCACTTGCCTCTTTCCACAACACTGGTTAGTTTTGTTACAACACAAGAGTTGAACACCATCATAGGACCCGAAATCACCAGCCACATCCCATTCATCATCATCATTATCATCAAATCGTCAAAAAAGGCCCACCACTAACAACGAGAGAAAAGAAATTCAAGACCAGAACCAGCCTCTCTTCGTCGTCGACTTCTCATCGCGTTGAGACTTGTCATCTCGCTGGGAAGCTTCGTCAGAATGTGCTTCATTTCGAGTGTGAAAACTCTCTGTAGTTTCCTCTCGGCCATCGACGAAGCGTTGCTTCAGCACCACTTTGGTCGTGACGGTCCCGTCGGGCAGGCGTGTAGTCTGCGTCGTGGTCAAGGTGGAAATAATATCAGGTTTTTTGCTCATCGTTTCCCCCGTGGGATAGGACTCGGACTCTGGGTTCTTGATGAGAGCACGCTCGCTTTGCTCCTCACGTGCTCCACTCAGTCGCCAGTCGTTCTGCTTCTCCAGCAGCATCATCATCACCTGCTTCTGCAAGTTGTTATAGTTGGAGGTGGTTTCTTGTGCAGATTCGGTGTCTCGTGATGGTAGATCTGGACTGGACTGGTGTTGCGAGTCCCCACGTGTTGTACTCATGTTGTGCCCAGTCATCTTCTCCAGATTCTCGTGTTCCTGTTGGAGGCGGCCTACCATCTCCCTGAGCTTCGCAAGTGGGACGAAACCCTGTTGGTCGTCAAAGAACTCGTTCCCGGTCAGTGCATATAACCGCCGAAACAGAGCTAACCTCTCGGGGTGGTATAAGTCGGGCTGGTTGCCAGACTGCAATTGATCTTCTCTTTGGAGATCAGCTTCATTCTCACAAGCCATATTTCCCTTGGCCCGGTCGTCGCCAGAAACCTTGTGAGCGTCCGATGCCTCGTTCTCATCTGGAGTGTTTGCCTGTGATGGCCATCCCTGCCCATCTGACTTTCTTCGTCCCTCGTGGTTCACTGGACACAAGTAGGAGGATTCATAGAGATCCTGCTCCGTCGCAGGGTAAAAGCGCACGGGCAAAGGCTCGGCTTCCGTGTCTGCAGTCGCCTTTGTTCCCACTTCAGAGACCAAGTCCCGGAAGTCGGCCGCTAAAGGCGAATCATTTGACGAGTCTGGGCGGGTGTGGTTCGAGAATAAGTTTCGCTGCTCCAGAAGATCAGTGACAAACGATTGTCTGAGCTCACGTACTGCGTGTACATGATTGTAGGTGCGTGGAAGCTGCATAGGCAGGATACCACGACATTGCAAGCTCAGCATCCATTCCAGGCCAGGTCCAGTGAAAGTAGACTGCGGCCGACCATGGGGCACTCTCATGCCGACTCGTTCAATGGAGGGTCCCATAGGCTTGTCCAAGGAAGCATTGAGGAGGTCTTCAAATGCGGCTCGCCACTTGGCACCATGCTCGCCCAGCTGGGGATGCGCTTCCAGTCGTATGGGTGAGTAGCAACTTCGCTTGAACCAGTTGACGGAGAGCCAGTGTGGATGAAAGGATGTGATCCCACTGAGTATGTCCACGTCAAGCACGTTCGTCTCGGGATCACGATACAAGGCCTCGACCATCTCTGTGGGGACATCCGAGTTGCGCATCTGAGCCATTTCGAGTAGCTCAGCTGCCGCATCGATCGCTTCTTCTTTCTCTTGTGCACTTCTTCTCGAATTCTGCAGCTGGATGTGATCGGGCGAGTCGGTGCTCCCCGTCCATCGTTGTGAAATGTCTTGCTCTTCGGCCCGTTGCTGATCCTGTGCTCGCTGCATCCTCGACTTCACGTCCAGCTCGGCGGAGTGGGAGGGACGAGGGTGGAGGGCGGTGGTGATGGAGGATATGCCGTTATCGATGATTTTCTTAAAGGCAGAGAAGGGGCCAGCACTACTACCAGCAGCAGTGTTGAAATCCCGCTCGAGTCGTGTGGTTTCGGTGCGTAAGTCGTGGAACAAGCGATCGTGCTCCGCCTTGAGAGTCTGCAATAGTTTGTCATTCCAGAGGCTGGAGTCGTCGTCGTCGTTGGCGCCCATGGTGGATGAGAGTGGGGATATCTCGTATGTGCTGATTGATGGATGGACGAGAGGTGAGTTGGTGGGAGTAGAGAGTACAACTGCGGGCGCTTAAGATAGCGATAGCTCTCCGTACGCTAGGAACCATCTGCGGCTCGTGCTCTAGCATCCTCTATCGCATACCGGGCACGACTATACAGCCATCAACAACCGCTCTCCGGCCGTCCCTCTACAGACTACTGTACAAGGGTGATGACACTATTCTAGAGAAACTACTCAAGAGGATGCAAACGGACACAAGTGAAATTCGGAAATGGAAAATCATGCGGTTTGGGAAGCAAGATGGAACATAAGGTATCACCTAGTATGGTACAGGTAGGTATACATGTAAAAGCTTGGGAACAAATTCGAGTTGTTCATCTTCATCTTCTGATTCAAAGTTCTTCTTCTTCTTCTTCTTCTAGCTGCCGTCTGAAAAAGAATAAAAATCGCAGCGCATTGGCACAGCTTCGAATGCAAATTCGAGCGTGCTGGGGGTATCATCTACCTGTACATATTATTGTTTCGTCAAAAACGAGAATTTCTTCAGCTTGTTCCCGCCAACGCCTTGCTGTACGCAGAATTTCAATCATCATCATCATCGTCGTCGTCGTCGTCGTCATCATCATCATAATTATCATCATCAGCATCATCATCATCGTCATCCTCAAAAGCTATCCATCTCTTCTCGTTGTCGCAGATATTCCTTTGCCAGCAAATCGCCGCCTTTGCTGCTCAAGCTCATCCAGTGATGGGCTACACACATGGTCGCCGGGTCCATGCGGTGCGGATCTTGATTCTTCTTCCACTTGCCTTCCATTTCGTCCTTGAACACGTCCTTGGGTCGGGCAAAGGGCGCAATCACTCGATCCAACAGCTCGGGATGGGTCAGGTACAACGTCGCAAGCTCCCGTTGGGCGACAATGTCGCCTTCCTTGGCCGTGATCTGCAACAGATGTGCAGCATCAGCCATGCTATAGCGAGAGATGTCTGCGGCAGGTGGACTCGGTGCCGGGAAGATGGCCGAGTCTCGCTCCTGCTGCGCAGTAGAGGGACTTCGTCCATGACCACGATTGTTCGAGTGGTATGCAATGATGCTATCTGCAGTCTCGACCATGATCTCTCGGACTTCAGCCTTGAGACTGGTGAGCGCGAGTGCTGCATGCGTGAATGCTTTGCCCTGAGGGGTATCACACAGCACGGACGCAGGTAATAGCGAGGCGATGCACTGCAGGTCTCGAAAGATCGTGCGAGGTCGCAGGGAGCTTCGAGCAAAGAGGCTGCGAAAGCCAGCAATGCTCACTCCCGTCGCATCATCGGTGCCAGTGGTGTTGAGGGTCAAACGATTCGCGTCTCGGGCGGTGCGCATCGATGATGTGGATGGCGAGGCCCAGCGTTGCTGCTGCTGCTGCTCCGCCATGTAGGGTACCACCAGACGGTCAATATCATACAGACATGCCAGTTTGGTGGTGGGGTTGCTGTGAGCGGTAAACTTCTGCATCAAGCGCTCAAAAGCGTGATCAAAATCGAATCGCATCATGAAGGAGGGCCTCGCAGGCATGTCAGTAGTGACGGTAGGAGTGTGCGAACCTGCGCTGGACTGCCACGAGTGCACACTGCGCAAGTGTCGTTCAGCGAGCTCCAAGCCCAGGCCCGTCCAGAACGCTTGATCAGTCTCACTACCATCGCTGAAGAGAGTCGAAGTCAGATCACTGAGGATCAGACTCGTCACACGCTGACGCAGTCGTTCGAGAGCCCGTGAGTCTGCAGAGAGGCGGTTGGTCACGTCTTTGAGCGGTGTCATGTCAAGAGCGGACTGCGTGTGAGAAGAGATGACGCTCGTGGCACTGGAAGGCGAGTCCACCTCGGACATGGCCGGCGACCAGAAAGGCGCGGACGATCGATTAGTCAGAGTCGGACTACGCGCATCCAGGTAGTCCCTCGAGCTGGAGTTTGAAAGTGTATGGGAGGTCGTCGAGAGGCTATCGTTGCTGCGCAGCTGAGAACTCAACGATAGGTAGTCCGACTGGAGTGAACTTCCATAGAGACCCGGCAGAAAGGCGGCTTTGCGAGGACCGACATCTCTCGTCGTCCGAAAGGAGTGGTCTGCAGCGAACAGCACGTTCGACCAGAGCATCGCGTTCTCGACATGCGAGCTGCTACTCACTACGTCGACACACTTTCGTACTTCCAGGTACAGCCGGTGCAGACGCTCCTCGCCTTTACAGAGATTGTCAATATTCTCGCGCTGCATCCACTGCATCGTGGCCTTGGACTGTTCGTCGCTGAGCTTATTGGGACCGCCGTGGTCCAATCTGGCGCTCAGCAGCTCCAATATCTGTGCTTCGGATTTGAGGTGAAGGCTGGCATGGGACACTCGGGTCGAGTTCCAGTGTCTCAGTGGCGGAGGACTTCTCTGCTTCGGTACTGCTCGGGCAGACTTTCCCATGATACGCAGGGCACTCGCCACCAATCGCACTTCCTCGTAGACTGCAGAAGTGCGAACATCGGATATGTACCACATCTTGTCTCGAAGCGCTTCATTTTCCTTTGAGATTGTCTTCAGAGATGCCAGGTGCAGAGCAGAGCGGGGTTGCAACGCTGCAGACCACTGCAGACTCAGCGACTCCAGTGCGGCGACCTCGTCCACGGAGAGGCGTGCATCGGCCTGGAGCACGCGGAGAATGCGTGCCAGTGCAGCCGTTCCTTGGGGAGGCAGAATCGCGGCGTGGGCGTCTTGCATTTGCTGGAACCAGCGCTGTGCACTCACAAAATCCGAGCGTGCCTGACAGTCGTGGATCGCGCTTCCGAACAAACGTTGCAACTGACACCAGGCTGATGGGGGAGCCGTGGAGTCCTGGCCCAGGTGTTGCCATGATGGAGGTGGTCCGTATCTGCGAAGCACGGCCTCGAGGGACTGTGCCACCGCAAGATGGGCCTCGTCCATTCTCTCGCGTGGGCTGTTGGGGGAAGAGTGGCAGCGCCGAATGTGTCGGAGATGAGAATATCGTTGGCGCATGGTACATAGTGATTTGTGCTCAGATTCTACAGCAACGACACCCCAGAGCTCCGTGGTGCTACTGGTGCGCGTGGAAATATCTTCCAGGTCGCGATATGCGTCGAGAATATGACCATCGTGCATGCCGTCCTCTCTGCTGGAGTCTGGTACCATACCTTCGCCGCCACAGCCATGGAAGAGCTCGCGGTGATATGGCGAGGACCCAGGCAGATCGTTCGCCCACTGATCCGGTGACTTGGACGCATTGCTAAACAGAGAGAATCCGGACACAGACGAAGCCGACGATTGCAGGCCGGATTTGAAGGCATCGGAATCCGAAGATATCGAAGACGGACGTCTGTGCGGATACAGGGCGGCGAGAATGGTGGTGACATCCTTCAACGAGACCACCAGAAATGGAGTGGAAGGTAGGATCGTGCCCGTACTACAGTCCACAGGAGAAGCAGCAGCAGCAGCAGCAGCAGCAGCGGGTCCGGTGAGGCGTGTCATGATGGCATTGACGCGCTGGACCGTCTCGGGCACGAGCACGTTGCCATGTTTCCAATCGTAGGCGACATCAAAGACGGCCTTTTGTGCTCGGACGGCAATCTCGCGAAGGATGCGTTGTCGGGAGACATCCGACATGTAGTGGTCAGTCATCAACGTGTAGGCCTAATACCGCTCATATCAGCAGGTAACTCAGGATATGACAAAGCACGGAAAGAGAGTCGTTACCTCGGGGAGGTTGACGAGATGGCTGGTAAAGGAAGAGAAGAGCCATCTCGTCAAGATGAAGGAGGGAAGTGCACGCTGGTAGGGAGTGGAAGTGCGCAATTTGTCATAGATGGCATGACAGAGCGAGAGAGCTCCGGGTGGAATGGCACTGGGGGCAGTCCGATCACCAAAGAGCTCCAGCAACGACTCCGTAGCGCCGGCGTAGAAGGCCTCCACCTGCGCTTCATCCCGGAGGGAGACACCGGACCGGGATTCGACACGAGCACGAAAGGTCTGCTTGGTAGGCTGATCAAGAAGGAGAAAGGCGCCGCGCTGTAAGGTGTCGAGCATCCAAATCTCAATCCGGTCCTTTCCTGGCCATGGAAGGAGAGTCGACCAAATGTCCAGCAGTGCTGGGATGAGCTTCTCACTCCCGGATTTCTGCTCGGATATTAGTCGAGCGCAGACGGTAGCCCAGACGTCGGTGGTGCGCCGGCGCTCAGAGTCATCCGTCAGGAGGCATGCGCTCGGTGCATACACCAATGCCTCCAGTGGACTGCCATAGGAGTGTCCGGTCAGCACATCCACTACGGTATCCACGGTGAATCCCAAGGGGCGGGAGCTGCGGGAATTCCGCGAGGGAGCAGCGAAGATGGACTCGCTGGACTTGGTCATGATGCGTTCCGGGAGCAAGGCATTCAGCTCCCGTGATGTGAGCGACAAGACACGTTCGGCGATAAAGTGGCCATCATATCGGAGCTTGGTCAGCACATCCAATACCGTCAGCCTGGCAGGAGCGGCAAGCTCATCCAGGAATGAGGTCGCAGGATGATGGGTGGACGAGGGAGATGTAGAGGGAGAGGAAGAGGAAGAGGCAGCAGCGGGCGGGCCACGTGAGTCCACATCCTGCACGGCTGGGGAGGGAATTTTGGAGGCATCCTCACGGGCGTCCTGGAAGGCATGTAATAATACGGCAAAGCTGGATTTGTCCTCGGAGCGGATGCACTCTGCCAGCGTGTGCTGCACGGAACGAGCAGTTAGACGCAGTCGCGCAGCTTTGGCCGCGGCTATGTGCAGTTTTTGCAAATGGTCCTGGGCAGATGCGCAGCATCGCTTATGGTATTTCTGCAGGCGCAGAAGGTGAGTGATCTGGGACAAGCAGACGGCATCGGGGAGGTCATTATGATGTGTTGGGGGAGCAGCAGCAGCAGCAGTAGCTGTAGTAGTAGCTGTAGTAGTAGCTGTAGTAGCAGTAGCAGCAGCAGCAGCAGCAGTAATAGCAGCAGTAGCAGCATCAGCAGGTGGCCTCGCTAGCGAGTCTCGTGGATGCTGGGGCCGATGCATTGTCGGAGAGCGAGGGCGTCCAGAAGAGAGGTGTTGGAGGGTTATCTGACCTGGTTGGGGGTGTAAGTTGGGCTCCATCCGCAGACATGGCGCTTGTGTGGCCATAGAGGTGGACGAGATGGACGAGGCAGATGGTGAGAAGGTGGAGGCGGAGGAGGAGGATGAGCAGGAGGAGGGTCGAGGAGGACAGGTTGGGGGAAGGGGAGCAGAGGCAGGTCTTGGCGGTAGGTTGGGCATGAAGTTGATCAGAGAGCCGTGCACGGCAGGAGAAGAGGTGGTCCGAGAGCGAGAGGACGGGAACGGGGACGGGGACGGGGACGGAGACGGGGACGAGGAAGAGGGCGACAGGGCTGCTGCTGCATGGCGATGGGAGGGAGAGCGAGAAAGGTGAGGATGAGGATGAGAATGAGAATGAGAATGAGGGCGTCGGCGTGACACAGGCTCAGAGGCTGCAGGAGGCAACATGAGTTAGCGCTGCCGTTGACAGTACAGCAGCAGCAGTTGGCAGCAGTGGCAGCAGTCAGGTCAGGTTAGGTAAGGTCAGGTAGAAGGGAGGTAAGTCGGTTGATGTGCTGGCAGTTTCTGCTCTGTTCTGCTTTCAGCTCCCGTCTGCCTCAGCTCTCTCGAGCACCTCCTACCTCCTACGCTGCCACCTCAGTGGAGCAGGAGATTGGTGGCAAGTGGTAGTGGTGGGGAACACGGCAAGTCTGTCTGTGCATTGTGATTGGCCTGTACCCGGGACCTGACCAGACCTGACCAGACCTGACCTGACCCGCCGAACGAACAACGAACGAACGTACATGGGAATGGCAACAGATTCTGTTCCGCCGCCTCGTGTGGCTGTGGCGGTGGCGTGGGCTCCGTCGCAGACATGGTCATGCTCTCAGATGGGGCGGCGCAGTCGTGTCTGTCTGAGGCGAGGAGGACGGGAGGCTCCCAGCTACCTGTAGAGGTCGTCGACGTTTTCATGCCATGGCGTCGTAGGTACCTAGGTAGTCATGCATCCAGATCCATTATATGATAATAAAAATAATAATAAAACAATAAAAAGAATTGAAGAAAAAAAGAAGAGTGGACAATGGTGTCGACTGTCGAGAGAGGGCTGACGACTGACTGGGCCTGGGCCGAACTCGAATTTAGGTCGGCAGGGAAGGGGAAGGGGAAGGGATGGGATGGGATAGGATAGGATGGTTCCGCCGAGAGCTTACTACCGGACTAGGCACGGTATGAGCTGGCAGCGGCACGTCGGGAGGATGAGAGCAGTAGTCCCGTGCACAGGGTATTGTCGAAGAAGGGGGAAAAGATGAGGAAGAAGAATGCGACGACGAGATGAGTGGATGAGAATGAAAAGCAGATGTAGAGAGGACTGGACTGGACTGGACTGGACTGGACTGGACTACCTCTACAGGAACTGCACTCCCAGGACAACGACAACAACTTTCCTCTCCCTCGTTTGGTTGGTGGGTGAGATGGGTGGATGACATGAGTCGTGCGTGATCACATTGTACCTTGGCTATACATATCTACCTACACCCGCCTACATACCCGCCTACATACCTAAGGTACCTACCTGACCTAAGTACATGTAAAGTAGTCGTGTGACGCCGATGATGATGATGATGATGATGATGACAATGACAATGAACAACACCTAAGCTACATACAGGTAATGTAGAGTAAGCAAACGACGTGGCGACTGACCTGCACTAGGAAGTAGAGGTAGGAGGTAGGTATCAACTTGACTGGGCGAAACGAAGCGATGCAATGCGAGGCCAGGCGAGGCGAGGCGAGGCGAGACGACAACGCGACCGTGCAGTGCAGACCGTGCAGTGCAGACCGTGCAGTGCAGTGCAGTGCAGTACAGTGCAGTATGCAGCGGCTGATGCGTTTGCATCTTTTTTTTTCCGCTTGCCTTTCTTCCCGCCGCGTGTTCCCTGTTCCCAGCCACTCACAGAGTCCAACAGACCAGACACGCATACATGCATAAGGTGATATTGCATGTACCGTACTTAGGTACCGTGTGCATGTGTATGTGTGTGTGTGTGTGGGCATATATATGCATACTGCATAAGGCGTGATGCATGATGCAGAAGGTGTGCATAAGTGCGTGGTATGGATATACAGCCTCTTATCTGTTTGTTTATTGGTAGGTATATATACATGTAAGAGAGAGAGTCTCTAGAAGGTAGATAGATAAATCAGTATACAATAGAACAAATACACCCACCTACCTACATCTAAGGTCACCTACCTAATATTTCGATTTTCCTATCGAAGTCTTCTAGAATATATCTACCTTACCTGAGTATACCTACCTACCTTACCTGGATGTATCCTTATTAGGTACACTCCAATTCATCTTCTCTATACCTTCCTCCCTTCCTCCCTTCCCCCTTTCCTCCCTTCTAACAGAGAAAGTAACAGAGAATTCGAATAAGAATTCAAAAGAGAAAGAAAAAGAAACAAGACAAATCAGCCCTGAATCTGGTTGTCCCCCAAAAAAAAGACAAAAAAGACACGTCAGCACCTCCTAGGTTCATGGATTATATACAAAAAAAAGGTAGAAAAGTAAAAGTAAAATCTCAAAGGCAAAAGATAAAAGGCAAAAGACTGAAAAGGGTAAAAAGTGTGGCCTTGAGGCCTGGGTTACATATGTAGGTACCTATGTATGTATGTATGTACACAACACATATGTACACAACACAACACAACACAACACAACACAACACAACACAACACAACACAACACAATACGGGGCCGTCGGCGGATATGTAGGAGGTATGTATGTATGTAGGAGGTAAGGTAACTGTAGGTAGGAGGTAGTATATGTTGGATTGTTGTGTTGACTACATATCTTGTCGGACTCTCTGTTTTGGACTATCTGTCTGTTTGTCTGGAGCTGGGAGACCACATTGTAGATGTACCTACTCCTCTCTCTCTCTCTCTCTCTCTCTCTCTTGAGAGAAGGAAAGAAGAAAGAAGAAGAAGTGAAGATGATAAGAAACACTAGCATCTCATCTCATCTCGTTTCATCTCTACTCTAGATTTCCATTATCCTCGCTGCAATTCCATACGACGACAAGTTTCCTTCCATCGCCGTCATCGTCTGACGCGAGTCCTGTTCCGTTGCGTTCTGTTTTCCTTTTTTGCCTTTTCTTTCTGTTGCCGCTAGAAAGAAAAGATTCCCATCCCATTCTCCCTCCTTGAGCTCCAAGAACCAGAAAAAAGAAAAAAAGAGAAAAAAAAAAAAAACCCGACAAAAACGCCAAATCATTCCATCCCATCCTTTTCCTCATAATAGTATTCGTCAAAAGAAAAAGGAAAAAAAAGGAAAAAAAAAAAGAAACTTCCCTGCCCCATTCAAGCAGTAATCATCTGCTGTTGCTGCAACTCCCCTCCCTGCCCAGCACCACCACAAACCCCATTCCCATTCCCATTCTCCCCAAGATTCCCCCCCTGATTCCCACTCCCTCCACTCCCCCCAACAGCCTGCAAATACTGCAAAATACTACAATCATTACACTGAATCAACTTCTGCAAATCCACCACCTGCTGCTGCAAATTCCTCACATTCTCCTCCGCCACATCCCTCTCGCTCTCCAATTCCTTAATATACGTCGCCGCAGTCGCAATAATCATCGCTTTGGAAGGTAAGCGTGGCGGGAGAGCTGCGTCTTCCACGTCGATTGTCGCACCTCCTCCACCGGAAGAAGATGAAGATGAAGAACAGAGGTAGGCGTTTTTGAGAGAGGGAAGAGTCAAGCGGAGAGTTTCGATTTGCGTGTTCAGGTTGTCGCGGTAGCGGCGTTCGATGATGGTGTGCGGGATGCGGCGGTGGGGACGCATGGGGCGTTGAGGGGTGAGGGGGAGGGTTGTTGTTGTTGATGTTGTTGTGTTGGATGATGTGTTATTGTTGTTGTTATTGGAGGAGGATATCATCGACGAAGAGCGTTTATGATGACCACAATGCTCCGAGCTACTTTCCGAGTCACTGCTCACAGCCGTAGAAGCTACGCCCGAAGACTTGGAAAAGCGCATATGAGAGTCGCTGGGCGTGCGTGGGAGGACGGGACAGACGACATTGCCGCCTTTGCATTCGTCGGGAACGTTGCCGCCGAGGCATTGGAGAGAGGGGAAACAATTCACGAGGTCGATGGATGGTGACTCCATGATTGTATGTATATGTGTATGTGTATGTGAGTGTGAGTGTGTGAGAGAGCAAGAGAAGAGGGATGAAAATCAAATAAATCTTCTGATATATGGTACGGTCGATCTCTCCAGACACTTTTTTCCCACCTACCGTAGCGAAAGGATCAGAATATATGTACTTATCACCGTATCACAAAGCCCCGGGTCCGACCGTCCCTCTCTCTTCCGGCATGATTTTTGATTAACAAGGCGTCATCTTGGCACATGGAACCTAAGTAGGTAAATGTGGTGTGATATGGTGGCGTGATGTTCCTCTCCCAAAACTATCCGCGCCTCGGCTTTCTTCCCGCGAAACTCTCCCCTACCTCCTAGTGGAGACGCCTATATCGCTCTTCGTGCCGCGACCGCGATATGAATGGGGGAAATCCTGCTTTCCGATATATGCGATACACACTGTATATAGGAGGTTACTTACTTACCTGGAACCGGTGCATAGGTACCTACGAATGAATTACCGGTGCATAGGTAGTAATAATCTTAGCCTACCGTACCGCCTACTTCTCTCCTACTTGCCTTATACCGACCCTCTGGTTTCTGGTCTGGTCATCTCTTCCACTTTCTATTAATAATAATCATCTTGATCGTACCTCCTCCTCTCTCTCTCAATTTCTCTTAACCGCGTCTACGACAATCCAATCGCTACGTCGAGAACTTTTTCTCGTGTTCGATCGAGTCTTCCGCTCGTACTGTAGCCTTACTCTATATACATCGACATCCGTATCGTATATACCTACCTTATAGTTAGACGATACCTACCTAGTACTAGTAGTAGATCCATTACCGTCTCTCTCTCTCTCTCTCTCTCTCTCTCTCTCTCTCTCTCTCTCTCTCTTGGAACTTAGGTCGGCCTCGTCATATTATCTGCTCTTACCGCTAGGCATATAGAATAGGCCATGTCGATGTCTACCTATATACCTTCTATACCTTATACATCTATCCAATTCTCCTATCGTTCTGATACCTATATCTGCTAATATATACTTCTATGAAAATCTCGATTATTACCTTACGTCTCGTGTCTCTCTCTCTTCTTTCTCTTCTTTCTACCTTACCTACTAAGATACCTATAGGTAGGAGAGGAATTTTGTGCAAGTCGTGTTTTCCTAGGAGGTAGGTATGTAAGGTACCTAAGCTAAGGTAGGTATATAAAAGGTCGGCGTCGATCCGATGTGGTCTCAATACCTACAGTAGGTACATGTAGGTTTTCAAGGCTGGACTACCTCTAGGTGTAAAAAAAAGATTATGTCTTTGATTTTTTATACGTATCTACTACTGTGCATCTCTGCATACATTTACCTGTAATACATGAGGCATCAAGGATTCGTATCGTACAGTTTGAGGGCTTCTTTTTTTTTCATCTCTGTCTCTCTCTCCCTCTCTCTCTCTCCGTCTGCCTCTCCGCCTCTCTATCCCATTCTTTTTCCTCTCTCTTCCTCTCTTTTTCCTCTCCCTCTCCACTGCTCTGTACAATCATGCCCGACGTGCTTTTGCGATGCGCCACATTTCTCCCAAAAATCCTTCATACGCCAGTTGTGCAAGCACCGCCCTAGGAATCTACACGAAATTCTTGAGACCAGCCACCTGGACTGCCACTTCTCGCGCTCGTCTTCTTCACCATCCGTCTGAACCAGACCCATGGCCAGTCCCCTGGAGTTGCCCGCTCCTCCGCATCGTCCCAAACGGCGGCCTCCTACGCCTTTCGTGAGCGAGTGACTCGCGCATTGGGAGATGCAGCAGTGTCTTTGCCGGTCGAGTATCCATTCATGTTCTGCGCACTGCCGCTCATCCTTCTCCTCACTTGGTTGATGTCGGGAATCTGCTCATCCTTCATCTCCACGAGAGCGCTCGTCGCGCGGGCTCTACCCTTCTTGATCGGCTTCTTGTAGGTGGAAATGTAGAATCCAATGAAGAGGACGAGGTACGAGCTGAGAATGCCCATGCCAGCGAATGCGGCAAACTCCTCACCCGCGCACATGCCCGCGGTGGGAAGCCATGGGAAGTATCTCGCACTAAAGTACGTGTATGAGGCAAAGTAGACGAAGCCGAGATCAATCACGAACTGGATGATTTGCAGCATCGTGATGTACTTTTTCCACCAGATCTTGATGCCGCGCGCCGACTGGAAGTAGTACCAGTACATGACGACGTGTACCATGAGGTTCAGCGTAATGGGGACCCACGACACCGCGGTGTGGCCGAGGAGTTGGGTGTAGCAGAGGAGAGCGGTGGCGCCGTGGTGGTAGGTATGGAGGAAGGTGAGCGGCTTCTTCTTGAGGAAGAGGAAGCAGGTGTCGATCAACTCGAGGTACTTGGTCAGGTAGTTGAGCTGGTTTCCTCTCTCTATCATTAGCAGATGTACCAGGGCGTTTTTTGGTTGACAGAGGGCAGAGGGCATGCTCAAGCGGTCCACTTACGTAGTATAGGACGACCAATGGCTGGGTCCAGCCTCCATTGTAATGGCAGATGGCGTAAAAGACACCATTGCGGGTGATGGTGGGAATCAACTGCTCGAGGAAGAGCAATAACAGGGTGCCACTGATGGCGGTCAAATAGAAGTTGTGAATCTTGAAGAACAGGCTCAGCTTGAAGGGTTGGCGATCCTTCATCAACTCGCGGCCACCAAATATGATGATGTAGTAGGAGATGAGCGAGATGGCCGTTTCGGCCATGCTAGCCATGGGCGTCTTGCCCGGAATGAAGCGGAACTCCTCGGGGGTGTATCCCTTGACGGCGGTGAAAGCCTTTGCGAAAATGGGCCATAAGGCGACGCCAAAGGGTCGGTCGAGGGTGGGCATGCCCACCTCGAGCCAGTCTGGAGAAGAAGCCATGGCGATGCGATCGATGGATTGGTTGGGAGACGGGCGGCCACCAGAGTTGGGTTTGGAGACAGGTGGTGGGAGAGAGGATTTGGGAAAGATGGATGCGGGAGAAGGGGGCGCGCGCGCCGGCACGTCAACCTGAGTTCTAGTGGAGGTCAGGTAAGGTCAGGTCAGGTCAGGTAGGTAGAAGTTCGAACGAACGAAAGATGATGGCAACAGTCGTCGGGAGGCCCGCGTGTCCACACGTCCACTCCGTCAAGCACCGACCCAGTCGTACCTCGATAAAGTGAAGAGAGTGGAGGTCGTGAGAGTCGGCCAATCCCGACCGACGCGTTGGTTGGTTGGTGTTGTCTACCTCACTTCTACCACTGTAACCACACACAGTCCACACTACCTTTTTTCCCTTTTTTTTCCTTCCCTTTCTTTCTTCCCTTTCCCCACTGAGATGGAGCGACCAGGATTTCCCAAGGAGGAGAGTCAGGTAGTAGCGACGAGGGCCGTTGCAGGGCTAGGCTGGGAAGAAGGAGGGCAAAGAAAGACAACTTTAGAGAGAGAGAGAGAGAGAATGGGAAGTGAATGTTAGGTATAATAAGGTAACAACCTGGAAAAGTGAAGACTGGAAGACAAGAATACATGTACCTACTACCGTAATGATTCTTTCTGTCTATGTCAGGTACAGGTATACTTATTACCAACTTGGCAGCGGAAATTGATCATTCACGCCTGCCTCTGGTCGTGTTCTCTGCCGGTCCAATCAACAACGCGTGCACGCCAAGCCCAATGTCGTTGGCCGCCCCAGATGGCTCGACTGAGTCTAGTCTCTCCTGCGCTAGGAGGTGCTATGGATGCTAGCACCAAAGAAGAAATCTCGGTCAATGCGAGAACGACACGCTCCCGACTGTCACATGAAAACTTCCATCTCTCTCTTTTCCCCTTTTACCTTCTCCCTACTCCCTACCTCCTACCTACCTACCTACGTCTCTCTGTCCATCATGTCTCCCCCGAAAGTGACAAGTAAAGACTCAAGTGAAGACGGCAGCAAAAGTCTACTGTTACCTACAGCTGTCTTCATATGCCTACCATCAATGTAGGAGCAATATGCTCACTGTCTGTCCTCTTCTACGCAAGGTAGGTACCTACATGTACGCATTCATTGAACATGAATGACATGTATGCTCTCGACACCCAATGTCAACGGGTGTTTTGTTTATTCAGATCCAATGCTACTACATCTACACACCCCTCCTCCACCCAAACGCCAACGCTACATGCGCATTTACCACCATATCAGTGATATCACATGCTCCATATTGAGCGGGGCTCGCTTGTCTAGTAATACTGTCCAAGTCCTCCACTCAATGCCCGAACTGCTCCACATGGTGCGTCCAGAGACTCGCTTCGTCGTCGTGCACTTGCAGATGACCATCTGGACATGTCAGCAAGAGAGCAACACAAAAAGAAAAAGGCTGCACACGTCCAAAGCAGAGCAAAACTTACATTCGCACTCGTCGATCATCGCCAGCGCTGGCAAAGATGCCGTGATTGGTAGGGTGCCATGCCACAGCATTCACTGTTCCAGGGTGATGTGCTTCGAGCGACGCAACGAGCGTGCCTGTCTGACGTCGCCAGATATACACCCGAGAGTCTGTATGCAGTCAGTACCCTATACGCATACCTAGTCGGAGAGAGTGCAACAAAAAAAAAGAAATAAAAACAAAAACTCACCCTCGCTGCCACTAATGACGAAATTCTCCCCGGCACCTCCAAAAGCACTACGGATGACGAATTCTCGTTGAACGGCACCTTCGTAGCGTTGCACCACCTCGCCCGTCTCAGAGTCAATGGCAAGCACTCTACCCTCGTTCATATTGACGAGCAAGAGGTCGCCGTCGGTAGAAAAGTTGATCGAAGTGAGTCGGTCTTCCATCTGCCACTCTGCAAGCTTGCGATATCGATCGGCTTGGCTCAAAGAGTAGAGCATGATGCGATTGTCTATGGTCGTGGCAACCATGCGGGTCCCCGTCGAGTCAACAGCACAGTCTGTGATTCTGAAGCTCGTCGGCTGATCACTCTTCATCGACGGGTCCCAAGGGGGATCGCGCCAGGAATGTATTTCAGGATTCCGTAATACTGAGCCGCTGCTGCTCGACCCAGCTGACCGAAGTGAGTACATCCCCAGAGGCCGCCTAGATCCTTGGGTCCCGACGACAAAGGATTGCGAGTCTGGCAGCCAAGCGGCCGTCGTGACGGGATAGTCAAAGTGGTCGGCGTGGCAGACCCGTTGACCATCTCGTACATTTACCACCACGAATTCGTTGTTCTTGCTGCACGATATGAGGTACTTGTCGTCGGGAGAGAATGCTACGTAGCAAATGCCTCTATTGTCGCTTGCACCACCGGCGCTGTTAGATGCACTCGCATGTGGACTGCGCTCATGCTCTCTGAATTCGTGGATAGGGCGCCATCGCACAGTGTCATACACGACCACCAATCCATCTTTGCCAGCCGTAGCCAGCATGCTTCCATCGTGACTAAACTCCACGAACCATACTTCATCTGCATGCGATCGTAACTCGAACTGGGTCTGGAGTGGAAAGTCTTCTTCGGAGCACTCGTGGTCTGTATATAGACTGGGCTGCGCAGCAGTATTGTGATATCTGCAGGCATGAATCTGATCTTCTTGGACAGACGAGAGAAGTGTGGCAAGTCGATGCTCCGGAATCATCACGGATGGTGAAATCGATTTTGATATTTCGGAAAGCAGATTGCTTCGACTTTCTCCTTGAACGCCATCCCAATCCGCCTTCTGATGAAATTCTTCCAAAGGGCACGTTACCAGGCTCGCAAGGAAGTGCCGTCTCCCGATGTCTGTCTTGAGTGGCGTCAGCTCACTCCTCAGGACGCTTAGTGCTGCGCTCAGATCTCGTGCTTCCAGCAATTCGAGATACTTTTGTTGCCGCAGGAGGAATTTGAGCCATGTGACGTTGGCACCTTCCGCAAGTGGAAGCCCTCTTCTTGATGAGCCATTCTGACTGGCAAAGGACAAACCCTCTGATTTCCGCCACGATGTGCTATGCCCGTTGCACAACGGCACTCCTCCCTCGGCGTCCGCAACGTCGACTCCGAGCAATAATGACTCGGCCTCCTCCCACTCCCCACTCAAGACTGCGCTCCTGAATGCAGCAACGCTCGGGATCTCCAGCTCATGCCCGCTCTCCTTCGAAAGCTGCTTTGCGGCATCCCTGTAGCCGAGATCACTCAGCGTCTGCAAGAGGATGCGCGTCACTTCTTCTCTGTCATGGCCGAAGAACGGCTCCGTGTTCTGCGGTACTGCCGCCACTGCGCCCTCCCCATGTCCATACCCATCATGCCCATTGGTGTGGTGGCCGTTTGTCTCGCTCTTGGAAGAGCCGTTGGTGTGCGGGGAAGAAGCGTTGTGGGAAGAGGCGTTGGTCGATGGCCGTTGCTGTGTTCGTTCAGCGGAATCCAGCCGCATAGTCCTGTTCTCGTCGATGCTACTGTGATCAGTGGGTCGTCGAGCTCGCTTCGTGGGGTGCCTGCCAGAAGCAGTGGCCCTTTCCGCGGGCGAACCAGACCGACTGGCCGTATCAGGCAGCGAAGAGCGACGTCTCCGCTTGCGGGATCGATCAGGGTCGTGCGGCGAAGTGATGACGTGGGCCGCTGGAACTTCAGTGGCCGGGGCGGTGGTGGCAGACAAAGTATCCTGGACTGGGGAGGGAGCAGTGGGGAGGGTTGGTGGTGGTGGTGGTGGTGGTGCCTCGAGCGAGGCGGAAAGGTCGCCTGGACGGGCGGTATGGAGGTGGGACTGCGCCGAGTGGTGGTGGTGCTGCTGCTGCCCCTCGTTCTCCAGCGCGAAGACTCGCACGTTGCGCGAACGTGCTATGCTCGGCGGTTCTGAAGGTGGCCTCACAGGGCCGAAGGCATAGGTAGGACTCTCAGAGCGCGGTGAGCGAGACGGCAGGGGCAGTAGTGGTAGTAGCTGGACAGACGACCCGAGAGCAAGAGGTGCCGGGGGATGTCCCTCGACTGGCGGAGAACGTCCACAGTAGCTACCCGGAGGTGCTCGCGGGGCGGGGCGATGGTAGAAGGGCGGTGAGGAAGGCGGAGGAAGACTGTCTGTAGTAGTGGTTGGATGTTGTGATGTTGTGGGAAGCCGAGGACAGTGGGAGCTTCAAAAGGCAAGCAAGCAAGCAAGCAGGTATAGTACATGTAGTGGCCAGTAGGTACAGTACATGTAGGTACAGGTAGTAGTCGGTCCTCAAGACTGACCGACAGCTTCGTGATCTCATCAGTCAGCCAGGAATCCGTGATCCGGGAGGTGCCGCCGCCATCTTATGCCTCCTTCCCGTCCTCTTCCACCACCTCTTCCACCCCCTCCGCCACCTCCCACCACTCCTCCTCCTCCTCCCCTCCTCCCATGCCCTCCTCCTTACCCGTCTTCGCTTCTGCTATTGTCTTGCTACCTGATTCTTACAGAACCGTCAGACAACAAAGCACCTTTGATTTTGATGCCAGAAACACATGCACAACCACCTACAACGAGTCACACTGCATCCTCACCACCAAGGCATCAACCACGACTTCATGGCGCCACACGTGAGTTCCGAGGAATGGGCGGGCACCTGATCTGCTCCACTTATCACCTCTCATCCCACACTTCGAGGTCCCTTGGCGGACCAGTCACATGGGAGGGGACAACGATAAGACTGAAGCGCTGATTCGACTGGACCTGCATACTATTTTGCTGCATTCATACGCCTGACTTATCTCCCGTCGCCATACTCATGCCTCTATCTGGCTGATACGCTCGTCCAAGTCTCGCGTACTCACAAGACGGAGTGCCCCAGTCTACCGAAAAGGCGACCGAGCGACTTTTCTACAATACACTACTGCAGTACATGTGGGATGCAATGCAAAGGCTCGTATGTGTCCCTTGTTTACCCCTAGAATCATCCAGAAGCCAGCTTCCTTGAGCGCACGCTGGACCATAGCCCTTTACTGCGCACTTCTGGCTGCAATTGCTCGTACAGATCAATCTCTCGTACTAGGCCACCCACACTCAGATCTGCTGTGCCCATTTTGACGTATCTGGTCTTCTTCACCACCTTCCAGATGACAAAGGCCATTGGAAATGCGGCTAGAAAGGTGTAGTCCAGAAAGAAGAAGGTCGTGCTCCAGCCGCCCACAATGAACAGGTCGTAGCCCAGGAGGAGCATCATGATCATGCAGCCCGTCATGGCAATGTGTGATGTGTACGGCTGGAACTTGCCGCGGTATGGCAATGTCCTGCGATCTACGCCCTGCTTGATCAATGCTGCATAGAAATGGCGGTATGTCAAAGCCACTGCAAAGTAATTCAACAGCTGTGCAGCCGTAATCAAATCTACAAGCCACGTCAAAACCTTTGCGCTGGACGCGCTCACCTGTAAGAAGGCCAGGCAGCAGATGGCGAGGATGGCAAACACCGAGAACACAGGTACGCCATTCTTGAGAGTCCGAGAGAAGAAGGCGGGTGCGTGACCAGCGAGTGCCATGCCGTCCAGAGTCCTCGTCGCAGCAAAGAAAATGCCGTTACCGGAACTGAGGACAGACGTCATGATCAAAGCGTTGACGAGGTGCGGTAATCCGGAAATCTTCAATCGGTTCATGGCAATGACATATGGACTTGCTGCCCCGGTACCGCTTCCAGCAACATCACCACTCAGCACGGCGCTCAAGGTTTCGTCGTTGTATGGAATGACGATGCCCATTGCCAGACTCGATGATACAAAGAAAAAGAGCATGCGCCAGACAAACGATCGATACGCTTTTCGAAGCACTCTGCGAGGACTGGCTGTCTCACCAGCAACCATGGCAATGTACTCTGGGCCACAAATCGTGAATGTGGCTTGCACGATGCAGGACAACACCCCCAGGAATCGCCCGGTGGATCCTGGAACCAGGTGCTCGACGAATGCGCCGGGTTCATTCCAAAACCGGAAGCCATAGCGATCATGTATTGGATTCCCGCCCAGCATGGTGACAAAGGTGAAGGACAGACAGATTCCGATCAGAAAGACCTTGAAGATGGCCATGTAGGACTCGGCAATCCCAAAGTACTTCACTGACACCGTGTTGAGGAGCCTGGGAAATGTCAGCGTCTGTTCTCCAGCACACACACTACACCTACCCGTAGATGACAATAATCACCACAATCACCGCCTCGACAGGAATTGCACTCGTCCAAAACCCCAGCAAGATATTAAACGCCACAATCTCAAATGGCACCAGCAGCGCCATATTCAGGAAAAAGTTCCAACTCATCGCAAAACTCAATGCCTCATCCACCCACACCCCACCCAACCGCACAAATGGCGAAGGGATGGGTGCATAGCAGACCATTTCCGCAAAGCATTCGTTCACACTCAGCATGACTCCTCCCCAGATCACGAAGCCCATGAAGAGACCTGCGGGCCCGCCTTTGGGAAGTGCGGAGCCCATTTGCACAAACAGCGAAGTTCCAATCGCGCCGCCAATGGCGAAGAGTTGCACTTCTTTGGACCCGAGCTTGCGATGGAGGTGGTGTGTGTTGCCCGAGAGAGATTCCGAGTCTCCGATTTCGATGTCGCTGCCGCCTCCGCCGTTGCTGCTGCTTTTGGTGACATCTGTCATGGGGAATTTGGATTCACCGCTGCTATTAGCGTTTTGCTTTCCTTCTCCGGGAATGGAGTCCATGATTCAATCTTTTTTCCCTCTTGATCGCAGGATTTTTTCGATGCGATGGAATGGAATCAATAAAATGTGTAGAGTGTCGAAAGGAAAGCTGTGGACGATCGATATAACCCCCCCGGGAGCTGGTTGGCCTTCCATCTTTTCAAATCTGCTCTACGACCCCGGTGAGAGATCGCAATAAACACGTGATTGTGTTGCCTGCAAAGTGGTGGACTTATCTCTCTCCATGGCCGGTCAGGCCTATCTCTCCTCTCCTGGCTCCTTGTAAAGTGGGGTGAGGGGGTCGCTTGGTAGCCAGGTATGATTGCGCCCCGTCCCCTCTCAGATTCTTGGTCGCGTCAGGCTTCGGATACCGATTCTACTTTACCCTATCCTTTCTTCCGACACATAAAGAGAGGTAGAATTGTGGACCAGTGAGATTGTCTTGTGTTGACCGAAGATATCATGATTCTAGGGCTCAAAACAAGATCGTCCATCATTGGTGAAAATCTCTTGGCGCCTTATCCTCTCGACCGCAACGCTGCCGTCTTTCTCTCTCGTGAGCGATGGAATGAAGAACGTTGAATGGCGCGTGAACCTTTTGCGGAGCAGTAGGCGCTATTATAGAACGACTTTGAACGCCTCCATGCTTTGGGTTGTACCGTGATAATCATCTGGCCCTAATGGAGACGACGGCGACGACGATGACTTGTCTGCGTGCGGCGATGTATGGACGATGATGAATAAGACGAGGTTTGCGAAGCAGAAATCGAGACTGGAAGATGTCTAGTGAGTATTCATGCCGAAACCAAGGCTGGTTGGATGGAGGGTTATGAAACGTCGTTGTGTTGGTGTTCACTAATCAGGCTGATTATATATTCTAGAGTGTTGATGGAATTCGATTTCCGAACGCCACACTGAGCTTGCTCCAAAGCCTAGATTCTTTTACGAAGGTGCCTCGTCGAAAGCTGGGATCATTTACCAGCTCCCCCATGTTTGTCTTATTCTTCGGAACTCGGCATTCCGGCAAGATTCCTTGTCGATCTTTGAGCTTTCATATCATGGATCGGATTTGTGAAACCACCTCCTCCTACAGGCAGCAGTAGGAGTTACCTCCTATCTCCACCAGCAAAAGGAAGCCTGCACCAGGAAGCAGCCTGCACTAGAAAGGCAGCCTGCACTAGAAATGTAGCCTGCACTAGCGGTAGCCTCCCTCGGGTCAGTCATCCAGCAGAATTGCATACCTCCATTGCCTTGGACACGAGAGTAGTAGTGACTGACATGACTGCTCAGGTACTCTTCCAGGGCGGAACTCACATGACACCAGAAGCGAGTCAAGAGATATAAGATACTTATTAAGCTTCGGTGAGCCTCAAGGCTTACCTCAGTAGCGCTTATAAGGTCGTTCACTCTTGCGGGGTCACTATTCTCTAGTGGGTCCTAGCGTGCTCCGGAGAGGAGATGGGACTGGGCTTTTTGCATCCAAGATGCGACAATTGCATTGGATCGAACGCATAAGCACGACCCACGAGTGGTAGCACCAACTACCAAGTAATGGATTTCCGAGAAGCATCGTCACAACAACCTTGACGCCATGCTCGCCCCGATTCTACGGTATAGACTGTATGACAAACAGTCTGCTGATACAATGCCGTTACTGACTTCTGGCTAGACAGTGACATCTTGCTAGGCACCCCAGCTCGGGCACTTCCCTATCATTCTAGTACAAACTACGTACCGCTCGAGGTCGCCGATTCATCATTATGGCCAGTATGTCAATCGAAGCCCTTCCCCGCCCTTTACACGCCTATCTCGATGCTTATAACGCGTCGAGACCCACTCCAGATTCCAAACGATCAGTTTGGTGTTGTACGACGTGCGGTCAATTCAAGCGACAATGTGGGCAGTTTTGTTTCAGGGGACCCTCCTAGCGCTATTGTCACTCAACGTTGCAGAAGCTGCAGTGATCACACAGCGTGGAACGTCCTCGACATGTACCAATGTACGTTGATCGTTGCAGTGCGGATGGGATTGTCTGAGACGCCGGCTGACATGCTTTGCTATAGCCACTCGTCAGGAAGGAATGGTAAGCAGAAGTTTACATCATTGTTGTTTTCGAAGACGATGGGATGAGACCTAACACAGAAGAGTAGGCGAAGTCTTTCAACAATTGAGAAAAAAGCGTACATCGATGCAGTATTGTGTCTGCAGCAGCATCCCGCTATCACCAAAGAACAGTTCAAGGACAACCCTTGGGTCCACCCTATCAATAGATACGATGACTTCCAAGCCGTCCACCATAATCAGACACTCTCTATACACTTTGTGGTGAGTTAAGTGCCACCCGACTCGCCTGCTCACTGAAATCTGACGTACACACACAGGGTCACTTCCTATTATGGCATCGCTACATGGTGTCCCAATATGAGCGCACGTTGAGGGAAGTATGCGGATATCCAGGGGCTCAGCCGTAAGTCGAACCCCGAACCCACTGGAAAGAAACCAGAAAAGTCGTCACACCATCCAAGATCGGGAGGCACTGAAAACACACACACCATCGCACAGATATTGGGACTATTCACGCGACGCCTCCCACACCGACAACTTCTCCATGGCAGGCTACCAAACCGACGTGTTTTCCCCCACCATCGGTTTCGGTGGCAATGGCGCCTACGTCGAAACAGGATCCACACCCGACCCCTACAATTTCACAGGAGAATTAAGTCGCACAGGAGGAGGATGTGTTCTCGACGGACCCTTCACTCTCCCTCATTTCTCCGTCAACGTCAACCGCACAGACGGACCCGGCGCTTGCTTGAAACGCGATTTCTCCCCTCGGATTTTCAACTATTTCACTTTACCCGAGAGAATCGAACTCATTCTCGCTCAACCCGACTATACCTCTTTCGACCGCGCCATCGAAGGTCTGCCGGATCCCAGGTATCCGAATATTCACACTGGAGGTCACTTTGCCGTCGGAGGATTGTTGGGCCAGGCAGGGAGTATCTATAATAGTCCTGGCGAACCTTTGTTTTATCTGCATCATACGAATTTGGATAGTATTTTGTGGCTGTGGCAGAAACAGGATCCTGAGAAGAGATTGCATGAAGTTGGGGGACCGGTGAAAATGTTGGATTATGGTGGTGTGAATGTTACGTTGGATTTTGAGGTGGATTTGGGCGTCATTGCGGGAAGTGTGAAGTTGGGAGATTTGTTGGATACGCAGGGTTCTGTGTTGTGTTATGTTTATGAGAGATGATGGGTAGTGGTGGTGGTAGTGGTGGTGGTTGGTGGTGGTGGTTTGTTGGAATTGTGACAAAGAATAGAAATGATGAATGGCTTTCGAGGGGAAAAGTTTTACGGCCTGATATGCGTACCTATGTTTATCTAAGGTAGTAGCTACCCCTGTGAGCTCCCATTGTCTTTTCTTTTCTTTTTTTCTTTTTCAATATCTTTTCTCACAAGTGCCTCCTCGTTTTGTCAAACTACCTCCTAGCCACTAGAAGTAGTACTTTACTTGAAACTTCCCTATCCAAACCTCTACCTTCGCAAGACCTTTTTTCTTATCGACCTCTCTATAGACTATTAGGCTCCTCGAAGAACCAAATCAAAATTTCCCCTTCCCTTCCAAACTATGCTATAATACTAAAAACAATTGTTTCTTACAATATTCGATAAAAGCAATCTACTAAGCCCCTAGGAAGAAAGAAAGATGATTTGTATAGATAAGAATTATACTAAGACAAGAACAAGAACAAGTATTTCTAGGTAGGTATCTAGTAATATTATTTCTATATATAAAACAAAAGGAAAACAAAAGGGGTTATTTGTATATACCTCGATAAAACAGAAGAGGTAGTTAAGACTACTTAGTATTAGGTAGGGATAATATTTTATTTTTATGTTATTTAACTAGGAGGATTGATAGGATGTTTGGAAGTTTAGAAGTTTAGAAGTTTAGATTTAGATTTAGAGGGAGGTTGGATAAGGAGGGGAGATAGGGGTATAGAGGTATAGAGGGATAGAGGAGTCGGGTCTAGGCGAGGCGAGGCGAGGCGAGGCGAGGCGAAGTTGAATTTGATAAGGGAAGTGCTACAAATTATTGTTGTTGGTTAATTGGTTGTTTTCTTGCCTCTCTCTCTTTAGAGGGCTGCTCGGTAGTTTTTTTTTCTTCTGCTTCTCTTTTACCTCTTTTAAAGTGAAATTTTGAAAAATGATCTAGCAAGACAAGACAAGCAAGACAAGGATAGTAATAGTAGCGGTAATAGGAGGAGGAGGGGTAGTTGGCGAGGCCTCTTCTCCGGAGAGAGAGAGACTTTTTGCGTTGTTTACTTACCTATTTTACTGAGGTGCATACTGTATAAGGTACAGATCGAAAAGAAAGGTATTGATATGTATGCACCATTTACCTATTCACCGTCAAGATCTGTACTAATAGGAGGAAGAAGAAGAAGAAGAAGAAGAAGAAGAAGAAGAAGAAGAAGAAGAAGAAGAAGAA